TTCCCCCCCCCCCCCCCCCCCCAAAAAACAAAAAGAAGAAATTCTCTCCCCTAAACCATCATCTTCTACAATATTAAACCTGTCTAGTTAGGTGTGCTCGGGCCATCTGGCCACCCCTTTCCAAGAGCTATAATTGTTTCAGTCAAACTTCTATGGCTCTTGGAAGCTCCTATCTACTTACCCTTAGTAGCTTTATCATCACACCAGTACCACAGATTCCTTGCCAAATCCTTGTCTTCAGCAAGCTTTGAAGTACCATCCTCAGTGGCAATGGGGATAAAGTATTTTCCTTTTTGGTCCTTTGATTCTACTTCTGGAGATGCCGCGAGATATATTGCTGTCGCAGCAGCGTCTATTGGCGACTGGCCAATAATTTGGAAAAGTTCTTTGAGAGCCGTGCCGCCTAATGAGCCAAAAAGATCTTTCCAAACATCCATGGCCTCCGTCGGAATGCTATGGGTTATTAGCTCCCTCCATAATGTGTCTTGTGGGAACGGCGTCATGCAAAGATGGGAAGAGAAGGTTAAGATGGATTGAAGAAGAAAGCATGTGAGGATAGACTTACTTCCCTGGGAAGAAGCAATTTGCATACACCTTCGCCGATCCTCTCTTATCCAGGCGCCTTGCAAGTTCTCTTGTAAATAAGATGTTCCCTAGCTTACTAGCAACAATGAGCACTGAGCCTGGGTTCGTAAAATAGTCAATCTTACCTCCTCGCATATCGCCAACAGGAATCTAGAGCAGCAGGGCTCTTGATGGGCGTTGGGGACATTGTGAGATCAAGGTCCAGCTCCTGACATCCCATATGGAGTGAGGAGGAAGTCACCACAATCCTCGAGTTACCATGCTTCTCGGCTGTGCTCTCAAGCTTTGGGAGGAGGACGTTGGTCAAGACGAATACCCCAACGACATTAGCTGCGAAAATGGTTTCAATTCCTTGCGGGGAGAGTGTATAATCTTTTACCGGTGGAGAACCTATCTCTTCATCAGTCATAGACGACATAAGAACTTAAACAGGAACACTTCCCGGCATTGTTGATCAGCATGTCTAAGCGGTCCAACTTCTGCATTAAATCATCCGCGACCTTCTTGGCTACCGTGATATCACTAAGATCGCATTTCCTGAATTCCACTCGATCCTCGGGAACTTGCAACTCCTTCCAATAATCAATTGCCTGCTGAAATTTCTCGGGGCTGCGGGCTAGGACATAGACTTTCGAGATGTCGTGTTTGAGAAGCTGCGCAACGATTTCTCTCCCAAACCCAGCGTTACCGCCTGTTACTACGGCGACTTTGTCTGTCAGGGGAGGGGTATCTTTGAGATCAAAATTGCGATAGGTTCTTAGACCGCTCATTTTGGCTGTCTGGTATGAGATTTCAATAAGTTATCAGTATGGTTTATAAGTAGGTCAGTGAGGTTGAAATATTCAAGGGGGAGGCTCTTTGCGCGACTTTCCCTTGAGAGGGTTGTAAATAAGTACAGTAGGTACATTGACGTCGACACTGCCGGAACATCCGCCACAAATATAATGACGGTTCTGCAACATTCACGAGTACAGGAATCGGATATTGGAAACGTCATGGTATTAGTTGAATATCTATACTGATTTCGCAATGCAGCCGCTCCCAGCTTTGACGCCAAAGTCTGACATTCTGAAGCGCGTGGACACTTATAATATCTAATTCTCATCCATCCTGTAGGTGTTGAATCTACTCTACCAACCGACCTATACACCTTGCGCCAAAAGATAACAATGCTTGGTTCCGAATCTAGACCTTGGTCTGCTTAACCATCCACGACAGAAGGTCAACCTTCGTAACAACTGCGACTGGCTTTGGCAAGCCTCCGTTCTCGATGCCTCCCTTCTCGGTGACGATGGCTGCGCTATTCCATTCGAAGAACTTGCTCAAGGCCGACAATGGCGTGTCCATTGTGATCTCGATGAATTTTCTTTTTGGCTTCTTCTGTTGCTTTCCATCACTGTTGTCCTCTGCTCCATCCGTTCTTGATACCTTAGATAGACTGCCCATGTCTTTGGGATCGGTGACTACCTCTGGGATTGAAGAGAAGTCGAACATGACATCAGAGACAGGACTTTTGCCCGTTGCGCGGCCACGACTGATCCAACTCAAGAGATTCCCAAGAGTCACGAGGCCAACAAGTTTGCCACCGGTTGGTGAGAGAACTGGAAGTTGGTCGAATCCTTTCTCCCGCATTGTCTCAATAGCATCCGAACAAGGGGAGTTTGATAGAACAGTCGTAACGGGCTTGAGCCTGAGAGAGCGTAAGGTCGCACCTGAATATGGGTCCTTTTTGGAAGTCGGCGGTTGAGCGGGAGACGAGGGTAACGTATTTGGCGGGGTTGGGGGGAGGAGGTCATTGGCAGCTAACCAGTCATCGTCCGCGAATTTACTTAGATAACTGCGGATGCTGTCTGGTAGAATGACAACAACTATGTCGCCTTTTCCAAGTCCTAGATCCTTCACCCCTTTAACCATTGCTGAAATCGCGCTTCCACTGCTTCCACCAACCAGAAGACCCTCCTCTGCAATGAGTCTCCTAGCAAAAGCAAATGATTCTCGATCATCAGTCTTATACCATTTGTCAACTGCGTTTCTGTCCAGAACATCAGGAATGAAATCATAACCAATTCCCTCCACCTTGTATGGCTCATTGGCGTGCTCTAAATTCAAACTCTCGGGTAGAGCGAGGATAGATCCAAAGGGATCTGCGGCTATGACCTTGATATCGGGATTATGCTTTTTCAAACCCCGGGCTAGACCCGTAATCGTACCACCAGTACCAGCACCCGCAACAATTGCCTTGATCTTTCCATCTGTCTGCCTCCAGATCTCTTCAGCCGTACCATATTCATGTGCCAGAGGGTTGTCTTTGTTGGCATACTGATCCAAGATATGGGAATTGGGGATTTCCTGTTGTAGGCGCTTTGCAACCCCAATATGGGATTCTGGAGAATCAAATGCCGCCTGAGTTGGAGTACGAATAATTGTGGCGCCTAGAGCTCGGAGTACTGCAACCTTTTCAGGCGACATTTTCTCTGGAAGAGTAATGATGGTCTTGTAGCCTTTGATAGCCCCAACCAGAGCAAGGCCAATACCTCTATAAAAGGTCAGAAGAGCTGAATAAAGATAGTGGACTATGCGTACGTGTTTCCACTGGTAGGCTCGATGAGGGTATCTCCAGGTTTTATCCTTCCGGACCGTTCAGCCTCCTCGATCATTCGCAGGGCAATCCGGTCCTTCACACTCCCTCCAGCATTGAAGAGCTCGACCTTGGCGTAGACTTCGGCCTCGATTCCTAGACTCTGCGGAATCCTATTGAGACGAACCAAGGGCGTATTTCCTATCAGCTCCGTAGCTGATTGCGCCATGACCGGGGGAACGGCGGGTTTGCTGATTGTCGAGGTCATTTCTCAGTTGATATGAGAGAGAGAACAGAAACAGGGCCGAGAACAACAGTATGAGATCTTGAGGTTAGGTAGAATAGGTAGAATGGTGTCTCGAGGACTAGGATTGAAAGGGAGAAGAGAATTCTTTGTAAAGGACCAAGTACTCCTGCCCCGCCCCGTGAGATGATGCAACAAAAAGTTCTTGGGTTTTCCAGAACCGTGTCTAGCCGTCGAGCTGATAGGCGATAACGGCATACCTTAAGACATAGTACCTATAATAAGAAACGCCAATTCTTCCCCCCAATTGGCATGCAAGAAAGGCTAATTATTGTCGCCGAAGGTACCTTAGGTTTTACTATCGGTTTGTACGTTTAAAGGGTAGAAGAGCTATTTTTGTCTGCTTTACATATCGTCTTCTAAAGTTTTACATTAGCTCTGCAATACCTTCTACAATGAGAATGGTTCTTTACTATTCAAACAATCTTGGACACTCAAGCCTCAATCCCAGACTTCGTATTATTCCCAGGCTTTACCCGCATGTCTACCGCTATGCAGAGGAATCATATAGTCGACTTGAACGTCTATGTTCCTCATCAGCACGAAGAGAGGAGGTAGCTTAAGGAAGAAATGATGCTACGGCCTGCTGATAATCCAAGACGGAAGTCAAGTTTGAAGCTAGATAGAGTTATTAATCAATTCAACCAATTCAATTGTACTTGACTTACGACTAAGGCTGTCTAAGGGGAAATAAAGTACAGAAACAGAGATGATACAGGTAGGCCAACGACGAGACATATACTTCAATGACGACTTGACAACTAGGCATTCGCTCTTGTTTGGTGTTGCGGTCCCACCAGCAGGTAATGGTAATAAGATTCCGTATATGTCTACTGCGGTGTGTAAGGTAAATATTCGTGCCAGGTACCACCTGTATTATAAGGTCCAATACAGTATTATAATATCATATACCTAGGGCCTACCTAAAATAAGTAGAATGATAATAACCTTAAATTTATGTCGTGTGAGTTGACAGTAAGGTGTTCTCTTTCTTCTACAGACGACGTTTCTATTTTGGATACCTATGATAATTTGCTAAGGACGCCCCATCCAACGCTCGCCACGGTAAATCGTCACGACCTCGTTACGTTACTTTGTTCACGGACATCAACAACTCCCCCACCGAATTTGCGTCTCGAACCCTTTCCCTCCAACTTCTAAGTCACTCGTTTCGCAGATAGATCATATACGCACAAACTCAGTCACGATGCGGTCATCGTCCGCCCTTCTCTCCCTCCTCGTGTCCCTCCCTTTCGTGTTCGCCGAGCCCAAATTCACAGTACCAGCAGCCGGCGCATCGCTGCCAGCGGGAGCCATCACCGTTACTTGGACAGATGCTGGAGCTGCGCCCTCGATATCTGATCTCAGTTCCTACCAACTGTTTCTATTTACTGGGTCGAATGCCTCGCCCGTCCAACTAGAGAACCTGGCAACTGATGGTACTTTCACCTCCGGCAACACGATAACTGCCACCATCTCCCCCGGTATAGGAGGAGAAACTCCTAAGAATGCATAGTGAGAGCCACAGCCCCATATCCTGGGATTTCATTTACTGATGTAACGTGTGCAGCTTCCTGGGAATGATCGCTACCGCGACGGCAGGAGGAACGCTTCGTGTATATTCCGACCGATTTACCCTCACCGGAATGACGGGTGTCTTTACTCCAGAAGTACAAACTGCGCTTGAGGGTGTAACTGGCACCGCTGGGCCGCCAGCTGTGAATAATGTCGCTGCTGCTGCTCCTGCTGCTGGAACAACAGCGGTCGAGGATGGCGTATATGGAACCCCATTTAATCTACAAACTGGCCCGACGAGATACGCTCCTATGCAGCCAGTTCCTGGCACCAAGATCACTGCTACCAACACAAAACCTTTGTACTCGACCTCCTCGGTTGTCTTGGCCACTACATATTTACCTTTGCCGACTATCTCGACTACTGTCACCCAAGCCCAAACATTCTCCGTTGCTAGTCATCCCAACTCGGTAAGGGAACTGTATCCTTTCTATGAAAGCAGTCTAACTCTAGATAGGCTCCAGCTGCGTCACAACCTACCGACGATATGCAGAGATTCCTGAATCGCTGGAAGGATTAAACCAGGTTTGACCGGCCCGCATTTGAAATATTAGCGCTTTCATATACATGATCATACCCGAATGCATGAGAGGGAATAGCAAGCATATTTGGTTGAAAAATAGATGCAGCTGTAGAGGAAGTGGAAATGGAGTCTGGAGTTGGGGGTCTCGGGGATTTCGATGACGAACATACAGCGGAGCTGCTGTGCTCTGTACCTGCTTGATGTTTTGAATGCCATGTCGTTCTTGACGGGGCTTCAAACTATGTTTGGCAGCAGTTGTCTTATCGAGCCAAGTGCAGAGCGTCAGCCAGTGAGCAAGCAATTACTCTTGAAAAGCCCCCCAACACATTTGAGTGAGGTCAGACAATCCAACTCAACTCAAGGGTTGAGCTTCCTTGTGTAAAAAGTTTTGCTAGGTTACTGTACAATAGTCGTAAGGCAATTTTCCAGTGGCTTCCTTTGGTGAAAAGCGGCAGCAAGCCGCCGCGAGTGTTTAGAGAACCTACCTACCTGACGTATTATTACTCCCGAGAGACCGAAATGGATGTGAAGCCTCGACGGCCCACAAGAACGTAATGCTGATGGCTGGAAACAGCACGGCTGCGTGTAGGGCTGCAGATGTGCAAAGGCTACTGCACCTTGCAAGCACAGTTTGCCACCAGACATGGGGAATTGGAGGTCTCAAGAAGCTTGATATGACGAGGGAAAAGCTGGAGACCCATGCTTTGGTGTACAAGCAGCGAACCAGGACGAAGAAGAGAAAGCCAGGGATATGAAAGGGGCAGTGATTGCAGCGAATACCTAGAGAAACTACGCAGGTAGATTACTAGACCGGATTCCTGATCTCTTGGAATCTTGGAAGTTGGAAAACATAAATGGGGCCACTCCCCTCTTCTTCTTTGAGGAGATAACATCTCTCCTCTTCACAACTCCAAGCCGGTATCGTAAAGAGCATCATTACCTCTGGCGAAGTAATAGTTGTTGATAATTCTTTCCTGTCAGGATCACACGGCGTACGGCAAGATCAGCGAAGAGGCGCCTCCGCAATAACCCTTTACCCCGGGCATTACCCAGACGGAATCACGGATCCCTCTCACTACCTACCTTACTCCACACTGTCACGGTGCATGGCTTGCCTAGGCCTCTGTGCCACGGCCCACCAGATCGAAGCTTGTGCTTTTGCAATTTCAGGAACCAGGGCCCTGCAGAACTATCAGCAGCCTCCTCTGCCCTCAAATCGAACCCTTTGAGGGCGGTTCAAACAGACCGCGTAGCCTCGAATCCGGGTACAGTATCATATTTGTTATCCAAGGCCAATCCTGATGGGGACTGACGAGCCATCATTATCCTTTTGGAGGTCCAGCGGCCTGGCCTGGGCAGCGGCGTTGAACACACTAGGTGGTTTGACCGCAGCGTTGTCTCTAGGCCCTTTTGCCTCTTTGCCTCTTTGCCTCGGCAGCACTATACCTACCTTACGACAAGCAACAAGACATATAAACCCCTTTGCTCCAGAGCTGGGCCGCGCTGCCTAAGAGCCTTTCAATATGTACTTCCAGTCGTCTTCATCAATCGACTCTCTGCCACCAAGAGGACACCTCACTAATAAACACCTCGATCTTCACCCAGGGCCCCTTTGACGTCCGGACGGCCTCGACCCATTACGCAGAACTGACTACTGGTATCGCATCCTGGAAAAGACCCGCGAAAAGGCCCGCGGCTTGCAGCTATTATTATAATACTATTTGCCCCTCCCCACCCCACCAGGACCCTTACGCGCACACCGCAGCCAGCTGTCGAACTGAATAAAAGTCCTTCCTGTCTCCTGACCTGGAGCACTCTCGACAATTCGAGAATATGCGCCTCTGGACAACGGAGGAAGAAGCATTCACCATCAAGCCGCCACGGCCGTGGCTCCTGGGAGTCAACAGGGCCTTGAAACGTGAAGGATAATTCGCCATGGCCTCTATGAACGCAGTGGAGGGTTTGGAGCCCATTCATGATTCTGCCGATACCTTCGTCTTACCACCACCTCCAAGTCCCTCTGCGGATAAGGGTCTTACCCTTGCAGCTCCCAGCGACAACGGCGACACAACACCCTCCTCGCCGTCGAGCCTCGATGTATTTACACTCACCCCGGTGACGGCTCTGAAACTGTTATGCGGGGGAATCGAGGCATTAGTCCGGATCACGGGAGAGTATGGTATCTAGGCCTGTCTAACGCGATGTTTTGCTGACGATTGCTTCCAGTGTTCCTCCGACCCCCCCTCCGGCGTTCTCGACACCACCTAATATGCGAGGCATGCAGGCGGAGAAAGAGAACATTGTGAAAAGCAACTCATATACAAACCTGGCCAGTCTGCGCTCGACGATGCTGTCAAACTCGAGCCCGGGCGAGGAAGATATCGATGGGGTGACCTTGAGGAAAGCCCCGATGGCCAGTCCTGCTCTAACTCCCATGGAACCATATATCATCATTGGGGACAATGCCGAACCCTTGAATGTTCAGCACAGTGCCATCACACGCAAATTTTATTCGAAACATCCGCCCGCGATCTCCCTGGACGATTATCTTATGCGGATACACAAATTCTGCCCCATGTCTACGGCAGTCTATCTTGCGACAAGCTTTTACATACACAGACTAGCAGTCGATGAACGCGCCATTCCAGTTACCCGTCGCAATTGTCACCGACTGATATTGGCAGGTCTTCGCGTGGCTATGAAAGCCCACGAGGATCTCAGCTATTCACATTCGCGATTTGCAAGAGTTGGAGGTGTCAGTGAAAATGAGCTAGGGCGATTGGAGATCGGGTTCTGTTTTCTGACCAACTTTGAATTCAAGACTAGCAAGGATATACTTCTACAACATGCCATTAGCCTCAAGGAGATATCTTCTCTACAGGGTTCGATGAATTTCGTCCCGAGACTGCCTTTGAAGAGCAAGACGAAGCCAAACCCCGCTCAAGAAACGGTGGTGGAGTTGAAATTGGATGTATTGACCAGGGGAAAACGGAGACGGGAATCAGTCGAAGAAGACACAAGCGTCGGCAACGCTGGGAGTTAGATGCTGCTGAACGCTGTTGTGTAATTCCAGGCTGCAACGTCGCAGCAAAGTGGAAAATAAAAATTCAAGGAGAGCTTAGGTGTAGGGGTCAGAAGGTATAGGACCGGCTTTATGGGCTAGAATCTGGCATAGGAGGGACATCTTGATACCTGCGAAAGTCCCGTATTGGATACGATTTAGGCGTCTGGAAAGGGGGAATTTAGCACTACATACCTCGGGCAGCATGGGCAAAGAGCGTGGTTCAAAACGGGTCACATATTGGAATAAATTGTCTTTTGCAGGGCGAAGCACCAGCAACTACTTTGCGTACTCAGCGACGATGATTGATACAAAGACTACATCGAGATCCTCAATTTTGTTTTTAAGTCTCCCATTTGCTCTAGAGCCCATCGACCCGTATTATATGATTTTCATTGATTTTGGCACGCACAGTCGTCCTATTGAATCTCTAATCGTAGCGTCTTATCAGACAATCGGTTATCACGTGACAGTTGGGGACGTCCATGATGATCATTAGATCTAGATCCACGAATTGTGTGCCATTGTTGACAGACGGTGCAAGTTTATTAACCCGTTCGGAGGTCTCATGTTATCCTCAAGCAGATGTCTACCCCATACTCGGCTGCATTCGGTGGCAACCCCACTTCGCTACTTCAGGACAACCAGTGATTTGGGCATCAGCTTCCACAGAACACCCCGGGCGATAAGACAAACTCTGTTCGCAAGTACCACTGCAACATCTCCAGCATCAGTGCCACGATTATCACGCATAAACCTCTCACATACACATCGGTCGTTGGCATCCGCAGCCAAGTTTCACAAATCAGGGACTGAGGAGAGCAAGATGGCAGCGTACGAAAGTGTCCTGGCGGGGAAATACCCCGCGAAAGCCCATGCTAGGAGAGTGGTTGAGTATATCAGGAAGACCAATCCAAATGCCACTGGCGTCCTCTACCTCGAGGGTCAAAAGACGCAGATGATTGAGGACAGCGACGAGACAATGCCTTTCCGGTACGGCATCCCCGCACCTGGCGCATGGCAGAGCTAATGAGCCGTCTTAGACAACGAAGATACTTCTACTATCTGACAGGATGTGCACTCCCAGACTCTTACTTTGCGTATGATATCGCAACAGATAAGAGCACCCTATTCATTCCACCAATCGACCCCGAGTCCGTGGTGTGGTCTGGCCTCCCCGTCTCCGAAAGTGAAGCGCTGAAACTCTACGATGTCGACAGCGTACAGACGAGCAAGGAGGTAGCACCATATCTCGCACACCCGGGCCCCAAAGGCACCGTATGGGCCATCGCCGGCCAAGTCTCCGACCACGTCTCCTTCCTAGAATTTGAGGATAAGGACTTCACGCTGTTGAAGGAGGCGATCGAGGAGTGTAGGGTGGTGAAGGACGAATACGAGATTGCTCTTACGATGAAGGCAAATGCAATCTCGACGATTGGCCATACGGCGGTGATGAAGGCAGTCAAGAAGGCTAAAAATGAACGAGAGCTCGAGGGCCTTTTTATTGAGAAGAGTATCTCGAACGGAGCGAGGGAACAGGCATATCATTCCATTGTTGCGAGTGGGACGGCAGCGGCTACTTTGCATTATATGAATAATGATGCTCCTCTGCAGGGGAAACTCAATCTGCTGCTGGATGCAGGTGCAGAGTACAACTGTTATGCTTCTGATATTGTGAGTGAGCTTCTTATTTTGTCTGGTTGTTTGAGAAAGACTCTCAGTACCCTCCGCTACCAATTCTTATAAGGACTTTGGACATGCTAACCTGATTCATAGACCCGAACTTTTCCCATATCAGGGAAATTCACCCCGGAAAGTAGGGCAATATACGACATAGTCTTACAGATGCAGTCTGTCTGCATCAACATGCTCAAGGAGGGAGTGGTCTGGGACGACGTCCATCTCACAGCTCATGCAATAGCCATTGATGGTTTACACGCTCTTGGAATCTTAAAAGGGAAGAAAGAAGATATCCTCGAAGCTCGAACGAGCGTAGCGTTCTTCCCTCACGGCCTAGGTCATTATCTAGGAATGGATACTCATGACACCGGTGGACATCCCAACTACGAGGACAAGGATGCCATGTTCAAGTATCTACGAGTTAGGGGCAAGCTTCCTGCTGGTAGTATCATCACCGTTGAACCCGGAGTTTGTCTTCCCCATCATCCCTTTCCTATCAGTCAATTCCTAACAATAACATTAGATCTATTTCTGCCGCTTTATTATTGAGCCGTACCTCAAGGATCCAGTTCACTCTCAGTACATCGACGCCTCTGTCCTAAACGAATATTGGGACGTTGGAGGCGTGCGTATCGAAGGTACATCCCCCCCCTCCTCCTCCTGTCCCCTGATAAACCTTATATTCTAACACAAAGTCGCAGATAATGTCTTGATCACGAAAACTGGTTATGAGAATCTGACGACGACACCGAAGGATGTAGCAGAGATGGAGAAGATCATTAATGGCTTATAAGCACTCTGATATATTAGCTCGCTGAATCCAAATTGTAATACGTTTTATATATCCATACTTGCTTCGACCTTTAGAATCGGTTGAAATGTGAAATGGGCTGATGTTCCCCGCTGCGTCCGTTATATATCTACTGGTCAAGCTGACGGGGTAAACCTTTTTTTTCAATGAATGCGGAAACTATGAGCCATCTCTCCATGCCCCCTCCAAATTACCAAAGCAGAGCTAGGTAGGTAAGTTCATCCTTAAACTTGAAGTACATAGCTTAAAATCATCCAAGGAGCTATAAACACGTGACCAGGACAGGAAATCCAGGGGTGGGGGTAACTACCTAGTTTACAGTTTCGCACGTCTTGCTAAGACCACAGAACGTGAATTAAAGAATTGATTGATATGAGCTAATACGATTTCCCAGCCTTCCCAAGGAGGTAATTACTAGCCATTCTAGCTCCTCATTCATTCGTGACTATTTTTTAGGGGGAAAAAGGGGGGGGGGGTAGTGAAGAATATGAAAAGGGGGGAAGAAAAGGGGGAGAAGAAAAGGGGGAGAAGAGGGGGGGTCATTTTAAAGGCTCTTTTCAATAAATCATCTCACAATCTCGCTCGGTCATCAGGATATCCGCTTTTGCCCTTGATGACGCGGTATGCTCCGCCCCCTTTTCCAAACATGGTCCTCAGGTCTCGCGCAAGCCACTCTGGCCGCTCAGTTGCGTAGAAATGCCCCCCGGTAGCGTTGTCTGATTCAAAGACCACGTCGCCGAGCGTTCGGGCCCAGGTCTTGGGGAGGACGCTTAGTTCTTTCGGGTTATATGCTGTAGGGGATCAAATCAATCAGCAAACAGATATAGATGGGTACATAACCTTTTGTGGGGGGGCGGGGGGGTTTGAGGGAGAGATTACCGAGCCCCAACTTCACGCCGCCGATATACTCTATTATACGCTGTCTTGTCACGGCCCCGGGGCCGGGCTTCGTGTGCTGGATCTCGTAGTAGATACGGTGGGCGGCACCCGGCCCCGCACGGCTGAACTGGTAGATGCTGACCCAGGTGAGGATCTCGTCGTCGGTCCACGGATACGCGTCGGTCCAATCGTGCAGCTTCTCGTAGATCCAGGCCAGGAGGGCGACGGGCGAGTCGGTCAAGGCGTAGGCCAGCGTCTGCGGCTTCGTCGCCTGCACCATGAAATAGCCGCTTCCCTCGGCGGTGAACCAGCCGGTGCGCTGGAAGCCGGCTTTGTCCTGCGCCGAGTAGGGCGTCAGCGCGTGCTGGACTGCCAGCAGCGGGTGCTTGGAGAAGCGCGGCGGGGAGGCCCCGATCATGTTGATGTGGGAGGCTTTGCAGTGCTGCGGGTATAGCAGCCCGATGGCTCTCGTGATGAAGAACCCCCAGTCGCCGCCCTGCGTCACGTACTGGTCGTACCCCAGCTGGAGCATGAGTTTGTGACATGTCTCGGCGTACTGCGCGGCGGCGAACCCGCGCTTCTTGACGCCGCTGCTGAAGCCGTAGTTGGGCAGCGAGGGCGCCACGATGTGGAAGGCGGGCCCGCCGGGCGCGGCCAGCAGAGGGAGGATATGCATGACTTCGATGAAGGAGCCGGGCCCTGCAATAAATAGCTAGAGGTCAACGATGGGGCCTCGGTGATATGAGGAGAGGTACTTGCAGCCATGGACAAAGAGCAGCGGGATGGCATTCTCTACCTCGCTCTTCTGCCATACGAAATGGATGTCCAGCTGGTCGAACCCGTCAACTTGCACAGCGGTATGGTACTGCGGGAGCTGGTTCAGCTTATCCTCGGTTTGCCGCCAGTCCCAGTCCTCCCATGTTTTGGTCAGCCTCTTCACATCCGCAAGCGGGACTCCCAGATCCCACTGCGCGCCCTCGAGTTCGTCTGGAAATTGGGCCTGGGATAGTTTGGTCTTCAGGCTGTCCACTTGTGCCTGGGGGACGGAGATCTTGTATGGTTCGGGGGCCATAGCTGCTGCAGCAGTTCAGGACTCTGGATGTTTGGATCGTAAGAGGGATCGATCGAGGTCTCAAACTCTCGACTCGAGTGGTCTGATATTTGGAGGAAACCCCGTGTTATATAGCGGGAACTTGAGCTTGTTGAGCAGGGGCTCTCATCCACGGCCTGGATGATGAAATGCACAGCTTACATGTGGGGTAAGGGGATCATCGGTCTTGGAGACCAATTGCATTTGATGTTGCATGTCTGGGGGAGTGGAGGAGTGTTGCCTCCCGCCCTTTCACGAGCCATGTACATACAGGACATCTCCCCGCTCTCACGTCTGGTACCTAGACATACCCTAGCTTTTATTCAGCCAATCAGGTTTTAGGAGGTCAGCTCTGTAAACAGCATCTCGTGGGGTGTATTGAAGCCAACCCGAGTTCTCGTAACTATAAGATTTTGAAATGAACGTTGTAGATTGTTATTCTAGGAACCAGATATAGAATGAATGTATCCGGGTAGTAGTAAGGCAAGGTTTGTTCAACTGAACGCGGGTCCGTAATTGAATACCGCAGTTGGTGGAAGTTCTCTCAACAAATCACACAAATCATCCGGTATAGTGTAGGGGTTAACATACTCCGCTTTCATGACCACATTCAAATGTGCAGTCAGAGAACCGGAGAGCCCCGGGTTCGATTCCCGGTACCGGAAATCAAAGTTGTCTTTTTTTTTCTTGCCTATTTCCTCTTTGCCCCTGAAAATGAGAGATGTTGCGTACGGTATAGTCGTACGTTTTTACTGTTTTTGTCATTTTTATCTTCATCTCGGATCTTTCTTTTCGTGCCGTTTTTGACGGCTTCTTCTGATCCCTCGGTTGCGGGGGCGGGCCGCATCCAGGCTCGCTGCGCCCTCAATTACTGGGAGGATTCCACTCATCCATCTCTTTTACATCCCAAGTCTTGCGGGACTTGTTTTACGGTTTTTGAAGTCAGATTCATACAAATTACGTTATCCTATATTACGCCGTCCCTTTGCCGTTCATCCTGGTATAGAATTCCCTTCAACACCTTAAAAAGTACACAACCAGGAGTTAAAACATTACCTCCTCCTCCGCTTTAGCTCCCAGTTGATATCTTCGTCCTCAAACTCAACTTCCTCCTCGGTCATTGGCTCAGCCTCATCATCGTTTGAAGTCGTCAAATCCAAAACCCCTTGATGTAGCTCATCCAGGAGATTAGTTTCGATGCCTTTGTTCCCCAGAAGGAAATCCCCAAAATACTTAACCGCATTGAAAGCCTCCTCGCCTGTGGGGACGATGTTCTCCTTTGGCAATAAAAACCCATAGCTTCCAGTATCCCTTAACTTGATCTGGTAGCTGTACCGGACGCGCAGTTCATGATAGAACCAATCGATCGCTGAGCCGCCTCCTGTCTCCATTCGTGAGAACCCACCGGTGGCCGCGAATTGTGATGGGATGGCGCCCTCGCATGCAGAGGCAACGCCGTATTGCTCCCCACAAGATATCCTGATAGCTTTGGCCAGTCCCATTCCTAGTTCTTCCAGATTTTCCAAACTGGGTGGGTCGGCACTGCACGAATAGGAGTACGGGTATAACACCTTCTGCGAGTAAGAATGGAGGTCAAGGAAGCCGACAAAGTTGACGCCATTGTTTTCGGTCTCGTTCTTGGCCCATTCAGCCAATCTATGTGACTCTACAGCCTGGAAAGCTTCCTCACCGGGGTAGCTTTCCGAACATGGATTGGGGTTCATTGTGTTGCCATCCCATTCAAATCCGAACGCCCTGTCTAAATCAAGGCCGCGGCAAAATCTAAGGCTCGTTTGCTGACGGTTCTTCCGCCACAGGCGATCATTCTCCCAAGTATACACATAACCGTCGGGGTTGATGGTAGGGATCATCACAAAATCGAACTCTTGTAGAAGTTTAGTTATTCCCGGGAACTTGCCATATGAAGTGATCAGACTCCAGGCGATATATGTCACAGTGCTTACTGATATCCACTCTCGAGCGTGTAGACCTCCAGATATAAGGATGGTCTTGCGAGGCTCCGAAGGCTCTTGGGGGAGGCTAGGGGATACCCCAATTCGGAGGGCAGGAATATCTCGTCCCTCATATGTTGTACCAATATTGATCATTCGCACATGGGTGGTGAACATGGACGCCATGAGACGCATCCATGGCACGATAACCGACAAGGGTTGGTAATCTCGGAAGAATATATTGTCAACTCCATCTGAGGTCTTCAATGAAGGTGTAAAGGCGTGTGCATGGGTCGGTGGAAATGACGGCTCCGAAGAGGGCACAGAGGGGTAAGATTGGTAGATGGTCTTTGCCAGATCCGGCATAAGATGTGAATATGCCTTTTGTAAAGAGTCGGGGAGTAACCCAAGGAGTGATGGTACCTGGGAAGATTGGTCAAAGGTGATTCTGGACAGATGATGGGAGTGGAGTGATAAGGGCGGAACTCACATCCTCCTCTCTGAGGCGGATATCGGCCCAATTGCTTGTAAACTCCCACACGTCCAGAAATAGGGTATCCGCAGCCTCTGCTAACATCCGCTCTTCATATGGAGTACTAAGATTGAATCGGAGGACCACCTCTCCGCCATATTTGGCCAGCAGTGTGGACGGAAGTTGGGAGGATGAACGCGAGAGAGAGGCGTCAAAGTCGGCCTTGGCGGGTTTTGGTGGCAAGCCAAACACCTTCTCCACGGCGGTGTCCCTCAGCCAGGCCACCTGCGGGAATATGTTGCGAAGCTTCCATGGCTGAGGCTGGGGCGGGGGGAACTGGCTGTTCAGCTTATCGGGTGTACCCGAGGTCGAGGGAGCGGCGACGACGTGAAGTTGGAGCGGAGCCCAGACGAGAAGAAGCAGAAGAGGAAGAAGAAAGGAAGCGTTGAAGGAGGGCTGCATAGTCAGTAGCATGAGCCTCCTGGGTCGAGAGGCAGTACCCGCACAGTACCTATAGGAGGACACAGTAGTGTTTAGTGTTTAGCAGGATGGCAAGATACCTTACAGTGGCAGGATTAGGATTTCGGGATTCTTCCAGAGGACCATGGGCAGTTCTTGGAACATGGGGTGGAGCCTAGGCGGGGCCATAAGGCTGGAACAGTGTACCAAGGAGTCGGACATGTCACGTACATGCAACTTACATATCCCTTAATCCTTGAATAGCATGTGGGCGGATTATTGTTTCTGCGTTATCATTAATTATTTTCTTTTTCTTTTTCTTTTTCTTTTTTCCTTTCTTTTTCTTTTTCTCCCTTCCTCATAACTGTGTGGCTGGACTGTTCTTTTGCGATGGCTGGGAGCAGTGTCATGGATCCCGTCGCTGGTACCGGTCGGCGGGGCGGGGTGGAAACGGTCGCGCCGCTGATATAAATATATAAATAAATACCACCCAGGTACGCGTAATACCCCGTAATACCCCATAATACCCATAATACCCATACAATACCGTAATCTGGTGGGTATTTCCTCTAATACCATCCTGTAATACGTCGTAATACGTTGCTGTCGTCGTACGTCGTAGCTGCGCTTGGCATCACTGGAGCCTCAGGTGCACATCCACTCCCTCCCACAACTCCCTCCCCCCCCATCGTCTTCTCTATTCGACTCCATTCATTTCCATTCACCTCCATTCATTCCCTCCCCCCAAACATATCTTCATCCGATACGAAGGGACGCCTCGGATTGCCATGGGATCGTTCGTGATCTAAAAACAGGACGAAGCCGTCCCTGTTCCTCCACAATCCGCCTCGTTACCCAGTCCCTCGTTTCTCCCCCCCCTCCCAAACTCCTGAGCCCGCGCCGCCATTCCCTGATATCCTCACCCGCTTCTCCATCCCCTACAGCTCCGAATCCTAGACCTTGGCTATGAGAATCGATTCTACTGTACCATTACTCCCGCAACAGCACTATCCCCGCGCTCAATTAGCCCCTTTCGCCAGCCCTGCTTTGGAGTCCGATCAATGACTTCACACTTTCATTCCAGCCATGCCCGACATAACAGGCCTGTTGCGCCGCAGAGATACTCCCAGCAATGGCGGTATCCGACGGCATAGCTTCTACTCGGCCGACTCAACAAGCAAACTCGGCTTCATGGGTAGCAGGGCCAGCGAGCAGATCCCGCGAAGACCGCAGCCTGCAGATTTCCTGACTCCGTCAACAGCTGCATCTGGGACTCCTTCGACAGCAGGAAGCTCGGTCGAAGATGTTACTCGGTCTGAGGAGCGTCCAGACTCTCCGCCGATTCAGGAAGAATCTACAAAACCGCGTCGTTTTACCATGCTGAGATCCCGTATCGCCTCAGATTCGCAGCTGTCAACAAGGGCTCGACTGCAGGCCGAGTCTGCCCCTCCTGTTCCACGTCGTAGGTGCCTTTGTTGCCCCGCTCATATGTATCACAATCTAACAATAAAGCTATAGCTCCAGAGATCATCACGACTGCTCCTACAATGGACATGCCTCAACCACGCGCGGCGAGGAAGAGATCGAGAGTGCGGCTTCCTGGGCGCGGAAAGCCTTCGGCTGATGATCATGGAAACGAGGCATTACCTGTGACGGACAATGAGAAGAAGGAACGAAGAATGACCATGTCGGAGGCTGGCCCATCCGGTAGCAGAAGTAGGGTTACGTTTGATGAGCCCGATAGGCCGGCGACCCAGCCTGGTGGTCCTCCTGCATACGGTGACGAAGGTTCTTCTGCATTAGCTATACCTGTCAATCGACTCTCCGAGTCTTCAAGATCAGATGCTAGTTCAGGAGACCATGGAGTCTATGCAACAACTACGACGACCACACATACTGTTCAGACAACCACTACCTTCTTCCGTCTCCCTCGACGCAAGAAAACAGCCCCGTTATTTGATCTATCGCACCTCCCTCAAAAATCCAACAACTTAGACTCTCAATTATTGGCTCCCCCTCTGGAACCTGCACACAGCTCTGCAAACAGTTCAGTTGTTAGTCCGGGGGCTGCATCTCCTTCGCAGTCTTTACAGTCACCCTCCACATCCACAGAGGACGTGGAAGCACATGAATTCGCTACCCCTCTACCCTCCCCAGTTCGCCCTTCTTCAACAAAACTTTCTACTGGCGTGCCAATATTGCGACATGATTCCAGTGCTTCTACTAATTCTTCCCCAAGGCCTTCAAGGCTTGGCATGCGTGGTAGATCATCCACCTTGAGCTCTTTGCGCTCTTTGCGAAATGTCCCAAGTGAAGAACCATTGCCCACCCCCACCTTGCCATCAGCGCGAACGTCTACTTCTACAGGAAGGAAAAGCTTTGGTGATCTCTTTGGTCTGTCCTACCGGTTGCGTCAGATATCGGAGCAGCCCCCACTACCTCGGCAAGGCTCCGGGGCTGCGACTCCTGGGTCCAACGCATCGAAGCACAACTCAGTGCAGCTTACTAGGGAGCCGATCGTTCTTCCGGAACGACACGAAGACGATACACCTGCAAAGTATCTTGTTCGCCTCGAGGAAGCTGTCAGCAGAGGCGTCGTTGCGAGTGTGCTATCCAAAGGCAATGACCCCTTCTCACAGGCTGTTCTTCGGAGCTATATGCGAGGGTTTGGCTTCTTTGGTGATCCCATGGATATGGCCATTAGGAAATTATTGATGGAGGTCGAGTTGCCAAAAGAAACTCAACATATCGATCGTTGTCTCCAGGGATTCGCGAATAGATATCACGAATGCAACCCTGGAATATATGCCTCTCCAGACCAAGCTTACTTCATTGCCTTCTCACTCCTTATCCTGCACACGGATGTGTTCAATAAGAACAACAAACACAAGATGCAAAAGCCAGATTACATAAAGAATACCCGTGGCGAGGGGATCTTCGACGAGATCCTGGAATGCTTCTACGACAACATTTCCTATACACCATTCATTCATGTCGAGGATGATCTCGATATCAATGGGGAGCGAATCATACCACATAAGGTGAAGAAGAGGTCCAAGTTTGCGAATGTGGACCCAACGAAGCGACCATCCAAAGAACCAGTCGATCCTTATACTCTCATCATTGATAGTAAGCTGGATACATTGAGACCGAATCTCAAGGATGTGATGCATTTGGAAGAACATTACAGCTATCTTGGCACGGCTCCTTCGCTCAATCTCCAGAATCTGCAAAAAACGTTCTTCAGGACGGGTATCCTGCAAATCATCTCAGCAAGATCACGGCCCGACGCTTTCATGTCCGAACAGACAGCCACCAACCCGGAGGAAGCGGGTCCCGGTATTGTCGATATCAAGATTACGAAGGTCGGCCTCCTTTGGCGTAAGGATGCCAAGAAGAAGAAGACCAGATCCCCATGGCAGGAGTGGGGAGCGATTCTCACCGGAGCCCAGCTTTATTTCTTCCGTAATACAGCTTGGATCAAGAACTTGATGCACCAACATGAAACTCATATCAAACAAGGCCATGATGGAACCCCCGTCATCTTCAAGCCCCCGCTTGAGCAATTCAAGCCTGATGCGCTTATGTCAACTGACGATGCCGTTGCACTTGTAGACTCGACCTATAAGAAGCACAAGAATGCCTTCATCTTCGTTCGCCATGGAGGTTTCGAGGAAACGTTCTTAGCTGACAACGAGGATGAAATGAATGACTGGCTCGCAAAACTCAACTACGCAGCAGCTTTCCGAACTTCAGGAGTTCGCATGCGAGGAGTGGTCGGGGGTAACTATGAGGGCCAACGCGCGCGTGGCATCAGACGACTAGAAAGCAACGACGAAACGACGAAATCTGTGCAGACGCCTACTGGAGAGGTTACTATCGTCAGCGGGAAGATTGATCCTAAGATGGCACAAGAAATTCTTGCGGCTCGTCGAGAAATTATGCTGCAAAAGATTGCGGAAGCCGAGGAGAAACTTGCTGTTGCAGAGAAACAGCTTGATGCACAGCTAAGGAATGCTCGCCACTTACAGATATTGGCCCCGATCCAGGAAAAGACACGAGAGCAAGTCCTATCTGCGGCCGCCCGTATGTCAGCCCAACTCAAATGGGGGCGAATGGAGATATGGCGGTTAAGGTGTCACAAAGATATCCTAATGATGGACTTGGAAGAGGAGAACAATACAATGCGAACCGAAACTCCCACCGAAGTCCCTCCACCAGATCACGCCTCTGTCACTCGTTTGGATTCCAAAGCGAGCAGTCCGTCCCCTCAACGTAATACACTCTCTCCACCTTTGGCCTCGGGCCCGCGGCCTTCAACATCGGCCCAGGCGACGACACCTCAACTTGAAAAGGATCATGGAACAGAGGAAATCTTCCCGACCCCATCGCTCTCCAGCTCTTCGAGCTTCCACAAAGCCGAAGCTTCATGGGAGCTTCCACATTTAGGATTCGAGAACCGCGGTGTTCGGAAGACCTCGTTATCTAGCGTAGCTCACTCGAGTCCTCACTTGGCTCCAACCACATCACGATCCGGTTTAAACCCCGATATCACGAACGAGGCACAACGACGTCCGTCGATCACTCACATTGATGCCGCAGAGCAAGCAATCCTTGAGCAAGCAGGTCTTGCCGATTTGGACAAAATGCAAGACGGCAAACGACCAGGCACTGGTCTAGAAAATGATGAGAGTAAAGATAAAGCCTTTGAAAAAGAGAAGTCGGATCGTCGAAAGATTCGCCTCAGTCTTCAGCGAACCCTCCGAGAGGCTCACGTGCCAACCCATAGCCGAAGCCGTAAAGGGAGGGGCTCGATGTCCAGCAATGGGATGTCGGAAGAAGCTAATGAGGATGTTCTATCCCGAGGTACGGGTAGCTTTGTTGTCCACGGCAAGAAAGCATCCGTTATCACTTTCGGGTCAGAGCTCCAAAACATGTCGCCAGAAGAGCGCCTGCGTCTCCGGAAGCAGACCCGTAAAGATGGTTTAGATGTCGTTTCGACCACAACAGTGGATGACGACTTTCATTCTGTTCTTTCGCAAGCCGTCGAACACCATGAACGTCATGGTTCAGCAGCAACCGCGAACACAACGACTGCTATGAACTTCAGGGACTTGCATGGGAGACTCTCTCCAAATGGTTTGAGCGTTCCTGCCACTACGGCGTCAGACGGTGATGATAGCGAGGCCGCCGTCAGTTTCTCGGAGGGCAGACGTACACCGCTTCCCCCAGTTGAAGATGATGACGACGGTGACGAGGAGGGCCTGCGCCGATTGAGCACCAGCAGCAGGCAAGCAATGTTCTACACGCCTGAAGCGTCCAATTCACCAGTAGAGACTAGATTCAGCGACCTGATTACCGACAGCACCGAGCGAGCTGAGATGCATAGGCCTCGACACGACGTCGAGATTGAGCGGCTACCAAGCCCCGCTCGTCAGACCGTGATCAGTGCTTGAAGCATCACCCACGACGTAAAAACCTTTACACACTATTTCCTTGAACAGTTATCGACTTAGCGACACTCCTTACATCGTTCTTTCCGCATGGCGTAGCTTGGTACTAGGGGGGGCGGTTTCACACAGACGAAAAGTCTTTTTGTTGGGCGATTTGATTTTTTTTCTCTTTTGGTCTGTACACTAAAAGATGACGAGGCTTGATCAGCAGAGCTTTCTTGCTTAGGGAGGGGGCGTTTTTATGTGTTGTATAGGTAGGGACGGGCAAGTACCCCCGGCCTTTTGATTTGGTAGATGGCATGTCATGATTTTCTGGACGGTTGTGATGCATGCATAGGTAGAAAGAACGAGGTGCGATATAAATTGTATTGTATTGCTATGGATTCCTCGATTGCATTGTGTGGGTGTGCAATGTGATGAAACCGATGAAACCAGTTCATGTCACAACCACTCCATGACATGCTCGGGCAGTAATCAAGAAGCCTGCCTCCTCTTTCTCCTACTACTTCTTCCCCTTCTTCTTCTTCGACTTCGCCCCTCCCCCTCCACCTCCACCCCCCGCCTTCTCTACCTTCACCGTCCCCGCGCCACCCGCCAACTCCAAACTCTCCTCCTCCTTCACCACCCCACCCTGTGTCAACTCCATCGCCTTCTTCTTCCCCTTCCTTCCCTTCGGCTTATACGTGCTCCGATCCCGAAGCGGTAGCCACCTCTCGGGGTCCATCTGCTTGCCCTCCACGAAATCCTTGGGCATCTTGCCCTTGCGGATCTTCCGCTTCTTCGCTGGCTGCTGTTGTTGTTCTTTCTCTTTCTCTGCTTCGGCGGCGCGCTTCCGGCTCGCGACGGGGATGGCGGGTGAGGGGAGCGTGGGGACGCCGGCGTCTTCGAGGGCTGCGGCGTCGATTCCGGTCACGAGGCGGGAGACGGGCGTTAGCTTGTCGAGGTCGGGAGCGACCTTGGCGTAGGCGCTCGACGCGGTTGAGGCGACGAAGCCGGCGATGGCCATGCGGTCGCTTGGGTCATGGTTTCGCAGACTGCTAAAGATCTCTCCCGCGGCGGAGAGATCTTCGGATTTTGATGATTCGAGGAGGGAGATGCCAGCGGCGCGGAGGAGAGGCGGGGAAAGTTTGGATTTGCGACGCCAGTGGGATGCTGCTTTGGCTAATTCTGCCTTGATGGCTGTTTTGCGTCCGGCGAGTCGGTAGAGGGAGACGGCGACGGCGACGAGGCCGGGGGCGAAGCGGACGTCGATGTTAGTAGGTTCGGTGGATTCTTCGAGACGCTTGAAGAATGTCTCGAGGAGGCTGATGGCTGGGCCCGGGTTATTGGTTAGGATGTAGAGTTGGATGATTGTGAGGAGGAGCCCGACGTCGTTGGGCCGCTTTTCTAAGAGGGGGAGGATCTGTTTCAAACTGGCCTTTCCAGTCTCCCCGTGAGCGTGGGCTGCGGCGTTGAGAACGGATAGGGTTGTGACAAATGGGGATATCGTAGGCGATGGGGACTCTGAGATAATAGAGGAGGTCGAATGAGCTACCCCTGAATACTTTAATGACTGTATGTCAATGACATATCTGTTCCGTCGTAAGATGCTCGCCTGGTGCTTGAAGTGCTTCGCCGTAGGTGATAACTTCGGCACTGAATCGAAGAGGCGTTGTGTCATGAACGGGTTCTCGTTCTTGGTCGAGGCTGCCAACACATTGTTTTGCGCAATTGCTCTTGTAGGTGGTTCAGGGACACTATGAGAATTAGTAGGAGCGAGGAAGGGGGAAATTCCAACTCATACTCGGCAATATTGATCATCTTGTGCAGGGCCTCGGCCTCCTCCAACCTCCCCAGCTTCGTGAAGACGTACGCCTGTTGAATCATGATGGGCAGGACCTCCGCCCTCTTCTCCTCGTCACTTAACTCATCCAGCGCCTCACACAAATCCCTGGCTCTCTTAAGCAAGACACTCCCCGCATTCAACTCCCCCCTAGCAATGCACCCACAGGCAGCATTGTAGGATGTCTCAAAGGCCTCCAAATCTTCCCTCCCTGGCTTCTTTCTGCTCTCTTCAATCCTATCACCGTTTCCCTGCCACTCCAACTGCGCGTCGACTGCCGCGCTGTTGATTCTCAAATCGTTCTCTTCTCCCTCCACCCCTGCCGGCTGCGCGCTCAACTCCTTGTAAATCCGGGCCGCATCCTCGAACTTCTCCGCACGGTAGGCAACCTGCGCAGCGACATGCTTCAAGCTCCTCTTGTCTGTTCCCCGGGCCAGCTTTTCGGCTTCTGCGAGCTGCCCGGTTTTATATAGGGCGTATGCCTTCTCGAGAACGCAGCGCTCAGCCAGCCGGTCTCCTCCATCGTCAAGCGCGCGGAGAGCATCGCCGTAGCGGTCGAGCTTGATGAGAGCTACGACCCGGGTGTGCAGGGCATCGAGATTGGTTTTCGAGGATTTCAAGACTGCATTGGAGGCTTTGAGGACCTCGTCGTGATCCTCGATTGTGGCGCCCCGGAGGAGGGTGGTCAGGGTCGCTGTGGGATTGGAGGCCATGATTGGGGGGCGTCAAAGGATCTTCAAATGGGGTTGGCCATGGGAGGTCGAGAGGTGGTGAGATGCGGTCTACTTGGATCGTGTGAAGGGAGAAGGTATGCGGAGTAAATGTTTGGAATATTTAGAAGATCATGTGTTTGGTGGGGTTTGGGGGGGGGAACTTTGGCGCGGGCGGTCAACGATAGTCGCTTCGCAGCCAATACCGGATCATCTACAGGGAGGATTGCAGTCTACGGAGTATTTTGTCAAGGGGATTGGCATTAAGGTAATTGGCAAGGTACGGTGCGGTACGGACAAGACTCGGACTCTCAAGTGAGGGCATCGGTTCATGTTGGTCATTCTTGCTCTCGTGCTTACCTTATGGCTATATATATAAAAATACCTAGATACGGATATAGATTATTATAGATAGACTATAGCCAGTCCCTACTTAGTGGGGCATGATCTGATCAGACAAGGTCCGGGTTCTGGATAGTAAAGAGAAGAGGAGAGGCGGAAGGGAGAGGAAGAAGAGATAAGAGCCCATTCTATTACCTTATTATAGTTGATTCAAGAACCGTCCAACAAGCCGTTCAAGAAAAGAAGGCCGTTGAAGAGCGGAGCCCTTGTGGTTTATGATTATATGTTTGTCCCTGGTGAAAGAGCCAGAACCCGGTATTGTTCCTCCCAGGCGTCGGCAATACAAGGCTGTTGCTTGCTCACTTCTCCCCCCACCACTCGGATTGCTTCTCTCTCCTCTCCTCCCCTCCCCTCCCCTCCCCTCCCCTCTCTCAATTTCCTCCTCCCCTCTCCTCTCCGCTCCTCCCCTCCCCTCCCCTCCCCTCCCCTCTCCTCTCCTCTCCTCTCTTCCGCCGCTCCTCCCCGTCCCCCTCGGATAATTGGCCATCGCGCGTCAGTGTCGCCTATTGCTATCACCATCACAACTCCCACCACAACCACAACCACCAACCTCAACATCTCCATCTCCATCACCGCCCATCGCCAAACCTGTGTTGTCTCTTCTCTCCACCAATTTGTCTATCACTGATCATCCCCGAATCAAACGTTCCATCACTCAGCCATTCTCTCGGCACAAACGGGAGAAGTATATCCCCCCTCTTAAACCCCACCCCCTCCGCTCTATCCATAGCTAACCAGTATCTCAGCTCCTCTCCACCATGGAGCACGTCTACCCCGATCTCCACGCTCCCTCCTCCGCCATGCTCCTCCCCTCGATGCCCCAGATGCACCAAATACACCAGATGCACCACCCCGCCAGCCCTCCGTCGTCCTCCTATCCCATGCCCGACGAGCCTCGGCACCTCTTCGGCTCGCAGCCTTACCTCCCCTATCCGCCTCCGTCGCCCTACGACCACAGCCACAACCAGAACCACAACCTCTATTACCCTCCGACTCCCTACTATGCGCCTCCCCGAGCCATGGACACCACCGGCCAGATCGCCCCGCCTGGCATGCGCCCGCGCCTCACTACCAGTATCTTTGAGGAGGAGGGCGGTCTTTGCTATCAGGTAGATGTGAATGGGATCTGTGTTGCGCGGCGCGAAGGCGAGCCCCCTTTTCTCTCTCGTACCCCGCCCCCGCGCTTTCGTCTCCCATCTCCCATTACCTATATACCCTCACATTGAGCTTCAGTCTAAGTTCAATTATCACATCCCCAAACGACTCTCCAAACAGTCCAATCCAATCTACCTCAGTTAAATCCCACCCCCTTCTAACCCCCCTCCCCCACCAGATAACCACATGATAAACGGTACCAAACTCCTCAACGTCGCCCAAATGACCCGCGGCCGCCGCGACGGCATCCTAAAAGCCGAGAAGCAAAAGACTGTCGTCAAGGTCGGGCCTATGCATCTAAAAGGCGTATGGTAATTTCTCCCCCTTTCTTTCCCCTCCCCCTTCGCAATTAACCCCCCTCTTCTCGCTCTCTCACCCGGGGCAACTATTCCTAACACCCAACCTCAGGATCCCATACGATCGCGCCCTCGCCCTCGCCAACCAAGAAAAGATCACGGAATTGCTGTACCCCCTTTTCGTGCATGATATCGGGGCGCTGCTGTACCATCCGAGTAACGCGGCGCGGATCCCGTGGATACAACAGCAGCAAGGAGGGGAAGAGGGGGAGGATGGGAGGAGTAGGTTGTAGGTAGTGATGTCGTGGGGAGAGAGGGGAGAGGGGAGTGCGTTTTTGCATTTGATACGTTACGTTGTTACGTTAGATACCACATTCATGTACTCTGCTTTTCCTTTGCATTCCTTTTTTACTTCTCTTTATTTCAGGGGACTGGTCGGATGGGAGAGAGACCAATCCCAACTAGCCAAACAAACAGACAGACAGACAGACAGACAGACAGACAGACAGACAGATGGACAGATCATAAGCATGAACATGACATGACATGATATACGAACCGAAGCTACCTAGGTAGCTAGCTAGCAGAAAGAAATACCAATACCATGATGACGATAAACATCACATCACATCACATCAACATCACGGACAGCAAACGAAGCATAATGAAATAAAAACAGGAAACAGGAGAAAAGAAATGAAACGCTTGCTTGCTTGCTTGTTTGCTGGCTGGTTTACATGCTATCTAATTACCCCCTATCCACATCTGCCTCTACATCACCTCTCTCTCTTTCTCTCTCTTCTTAGCCAATTTTTTTGCTTCCTTCCGGTTGACTACCTGGAGATGTAGGTAGGTAAGGTAAGGTAAGGTAAGGTAAGGTACAAGACTGCTACGGAATGGATGGATGAATAGTCTAGTGTGACATACCTTCCTTCCCCCCCTTCCTTGCTTCCTTACAATATACAAGGCACGCAGCAAACGCAAGTGATCAACCCATCAATCAATCAATCACCTACACATACCATTCCCCCCTCCCATCCCCTTCCCCTTTCCCCCCCTTCCCCTCCCCCCCTTCCCCTTTTCCCCACAAAAGACGCCACGCCACGCCACGCCACGCCACTTCGCGCCAGTATAATATACATGTACATATGAACGTCTGGATTTCTGGATTTCTGAACGGATTTCTGAACGGATGGATGGATATATGTAGAATAATAGTACAACAACAACAAGAAGAGAGAAGAAAGAACAAAGGGGAGAAAAAAACAAAGTGGTACTCGAAACTCGAATCAATTCTAGATACCGCTCTGACGTGGTCGCTTGCGTGAGCTGGATGGGGTGTGGGATGGATGCATTTTCTCCGTTTTTTCGCGCTTGAGCTTTTCGTCTAGGACGCGGGCTGTTTTGAGTGTGGTTAGTGTGGTTGTTTTGATGATGATTGTGCGAGAGGGAAAGAGGGAGAGGGAAAGGGGGAGAGGAGAGAGAGGGACATAGGGACATAGGGACATACTCAAAACATCATAACCAAACTGCGGGAACTCCAAACACAGCTGGCGGAACTCATCCTCCGCCTCAGCACGCAACGTATGACTACGGGTGGCCCAGAAATTCGCCACAGGGGCCCTAATCGCCGCATCGTCCTTATGCGTATGCGCGTAGACGTATCGCGCGTACGCGATCTCGCCCTTCGCCGTCGAGTTCACGCAGTGGATCTTGGAGCTCGCGAGCGTCTTGAGGGCCGGCAGGCCGAGCGTCTCGCCGAGCGTGTAGACGCGCGCGTGCTTCAGTAGCTGGTCGCCGGTCTCGTCGACGAGCGGCGTTGTCGCGTCGTGCTCCAGATCGCGCGTCCCGGCGATCTTGCGAGGGAAGTAGTCCCCCGTGTATAGGAATTCGAGAAAACAACCGACAGCGTCGAGATCTTCGTCGACTAGGTCGATGCGTCGCTCCTGTGGGGGAGAAGGGGGGAATGTTAGTTAGGCGCTAATGGAATGGAATGGGATGGGAGACGTGGGGAAAAGGAGGGGGGGGGGGAAGCTCACAGATACTTCATCGCTGAATTTGGCGCAGGCGTCTGCGAACCAAGGGCTCTGGGTGAGGAGCGCTTGGTGTGCTGTGAGGAGAGCCTGCTCGGGACCTTGACCCACGAGAAGCCCGATAATGGGACTCTTCAGGTAATCAATATAGGTGACTCGCGCCGGCACTTCCTCTATCGTCTCTTCTTGTTGGAATGGGAGCTCGTTCTCTCCGTTCTCCGCGGCGCCTGCGGCTGTGGCAGTAGCAGTAGCAGCAGCAGCAGCATCGATCTCGACGACTACGTCCTCTCCCCCCATCTCGATATCGACAGGCGCATCGTCAGGGATCGCCTCTCCGAGTAGCTCCCCTGAGTCCGCCATTGGGTCTGCGAGATGTGAAGCGGTTGTAAATTTGACGGTTTGCGACTCGAGGAGGAGCCTAGGTCAATTGTGGGAACGGCGTGCGTTGACGAGGCTGGACTGCTAGAGGAGGTAGAAAGCGAAGAAATGAATGTCGAGAAGAGAATAGTTTGACGCGAAATGTATCAATTCCTATAATTCGATGATTGAGCGTGGTGGGGGAGCTGTTCCTGAGGTTTGTCTTAGCTACCCCAGCCCTTCGAAATTCGGTCCCTGGCACGGGCCATGTCAACCCGCTGATCGGGAGTGCGCTCCAATGGCGCAAAATCATTGGCAGATTGATCATCGTGCTTGTATTTAACTTCACTTCACTGCCATCTCTTCTTCTCTCTGCTCAGTATTCTAATACATTATATTGGTATCTACGAACTATTTCCATTAAGTCAAGCCACGCCTATCATACAAGCAGTGGTATTGACCGAGAGACGCACCACCAATGCTTATGCAATCCAACAACGCCGAACCCCGTCCATTGCGCGATCCTACGCTCATCCTTGAGTCTGACGATGTCGAGTCCCAGTCGTTGGCACCGGCTTATCCAGCCTCAAGCACCACAAGAGCATATCTTCTAGCGGCAAGAACACCAAGAAGATCCGGTTACAACGGTAAGCGACGATAGCCACGAAGAAAGCAACCAAGGCATCGAGGTAGTAGTGGTTCGCCGTCGCAACGATTGTGATGAGGATCCACGAGGGGTATGCGATGGCGAACAAGACGTAAAACAGGACCCACGGCTTCGACTTGCGCGTCTCGCCAATCTCGAGCGTCCTCCGGAACACCCCTGAATGGTAGAGCATCGTGCAGCCAATGCAGAAAGAGTAGCCGAAGTGCATCGAGGGCATCGCGGCAAGAGAGTTCACATATTTCCCAGACATCCATACACTTTGCGCATCGTCGTGGCGCACACTGTCGCGGAACCCATATTCTTGAGGGAGTAATCGAGGGGGCATGCACGGATAGCAGATAAAGATGATGAAAGCAAGGAGATTGGTCAGGGTCAGGGTCCTCCGGACGACGGCGAACGAGGCATGAGAGGGAGCTACGTAATACCACCACGCGATGAAGCTGGAAGGTGTCAGCAGAGGTCTGGATAAGTTACAATGGGCGGGGGAACATACCCTACGGTTCCTGGAATATGGATCAAGGCATAAGATCGGTTGAGAACGGTCAGGAAGGTCTGGTGGCCATGCATAAACCACTGCTGCACCTTGAGCTCCGGGACGGGCCACAGGAAGCTCAACCACGAGAACTGCTCAAACTCCAACACGGCCAATCCGTGATCTTGCGCCACGTCCCAGATGCCCGTCTCGGAGAAGATGGCCTGGGAAAGGAGACTGGTACAGCGGTAAAAGGCATAGGTAATGATCCAATAGAACATCTCAATCAAGAAGGGGAATCGCTGCAGGATCCTGCTGTGGATGTTGCCGGCAAAGCGGGAGGAGTTCGGGGTGTATATTGTGGTGCAACAGACCCTCCTCTTCTTCGGCGGGTGCTTCATGGTCGTCATGTCATCGCTCAGGTCGTCATCGAGGGGATAATCCCTGGACAGGTCGTTGGAAGATCGCGTGGAGTCCGGCTCTCCGCTCAAAAGGCCATACTGCCTCGTCGTGTTATCCAATATCCGATAGCCCTTCCGCCGGGTGATGATCATGGACCCGACCAAGATACTCGCAACCATCTGGGGTTCTGGTAAGCAGGGGTTCGAAGGAGAAGGGGGAAAGGAAGGTAAGGCGAGGGGAGATATAAAAAGATAAAAAAAGATAAAAAAAGAAAACAAAAAAAGGTAATAGGAGGGCAACTTACCACTGGCTCGGCCCAGCCTGGCAGTTTCCATGCGGGCTTGCTGTTCCATTCTGGTTGCTCATAGGGGACGGTGAGATTGGCAGTCATCTTCGCCCGCAATGTGTGGCCGACGTCGTCCACCACAGTCGCGTGTGCCTCTCTGGGGAAGTGTTTGCTCTAGCGGCGCGTGGGGATAGTCACTGGAATGTCACTGTGGAGATATCGAATAGATAGATAGATAGGTGAGGGGAAACGGATAAAGAGGGCTCTGAATGAATGAACGAATGTGGTCGGGGCAAACAAAGGGAGGCGGGCGGCGTCAGCTAGGAGAGCATAATACGTGAGGTCCGAGGCGCCGAAGCAGAGAGAGAACAACAAGACAAGAAGACTGAAGGAATGGTGAGAAGTTCGAGGTCGAATAATGGGGTACGAGACAATAACAAGTGAGAATGGGCGAAGAGGAGGAAGAGGAGGAATCCGGAGTGGCCGAAACGAGAGATGAGAGACGAGAGATGAGAGGTCGGTGAAGTTTCTCTCCCTCTCTCTCTCTCGCTCAGTAGAATAATGCGTCTGTTTCTCGTCGGAACCAGCGAGTCGTCGCTCTCCGGGGGTGGCTTGATCAGATAAGCCGGCGTTGTCCCAAAGCAGACGCCAAGACTCTTGGCAGAGACGCTGGTCGCGCGCCCTCCTGCTGCTATTAGCCCGTATTGCGGCGGACCGGAGAGCCGCATGGTGAAGCGGACGCCTAAATATGGGAGATACGGGGAGGGAGCTGACGACGACTGGCGGGGGGGATGTGTGCATAAATGGTTGTGCAGGTCGGGCATAATTATTGTTCTCTTTTCCGCCTGTATTCTTCTGCTGGGCAAAGGTATCTTAAGATATACACAAGTAATGATCCGATTCTACAATATCAATCCATCCCTCTAATTCCTATACAACGCACCCCTAATACCAAAACACACTGCGTAAGAAAGACGCCACCCCTCATCCCTCATCCCCATCCCCATCCCCAACCTCACGGGCCGCCCCCTTAGCTACCCTACCCTACCTACCTACCCTACCTCACGTATATACCTAAATCCTCTATCTATCTATAAGCGGCATTCCCTCACACGACATATCTCTCCTGAGTCCTGCCATGATTTTTCTTGGCAGGAGGGCGAGCCACCTACGTACAGGGTTTCGAACTTTCGGGGTACCGTAGCCAGGATAGATAAGGTAAAGGGGGTGCGTTTATGAATGCGTCGGATTTTTGTGCAAGGGGCTGTATACATTTAATTGGTTGGTGGGTTTTTATTTTTATGCAGGATTGGGTGGATATGCTCCGTCCAAGACTAGAAGGGGAAGGAGGGGGAAGGGAATTCGTGGAGGAGCGTTACTGGCAATACAGTGCTACCTTATATCAAAAGCAGGGTATATGTATGTATCATTTACAGTACCTGCCTCTCTGCATCCCTCTAAGCATTCCCCGTGCCCCCGCGATCTTGATCTCCATCTCGATATCGAGCCATCCATCTATAGCACGTCGAAGATCTTCTTTCTATTCGACCCCTCTTCATCGCTGAGATAGCCCATCTGATATGATATGATACACGTAGCTCCATCTACCTTACTGTACATCCCGATATAAAGCCAGACCCAGCCCCGGAACGCCGTCATCCTCATCCATATAGTTGTACAACTCGCCAGTCAAATCCGTAAAATGTGCAATCCCATTTCCTGCCGCGCTGCTCACAGCGTACATCTTTTCGTCTTGGCCCTACCACGTCGTCGAGGCGATGATTCCTCCTTCGCGGGTACTACCTCGCTCACCTCTCTCGTGCCCGCGCGGCTGCCGGCGGAGCTCTGGCCGCGTCTGCGGATCGATCGCTCTTCCGACGGGCGCAGGAAGCGATGCACCGTGCGGTGGTCCAGCACGCGTTCCTCGGTGTCGTGCCGGCCCTCCTTGTCCGTCTTGGGCCACATGTAGCCGTAGAGCTTGCTGTGGCGCTCGCATCGTGGGCACGAGGAGCGCGTGAAGTAGGCGTCCTTCTGGACGAAGGGCTCTTCGCAGATCTTGCAGTTGATCCAGGCCGACGCGGGTTCCGCAAGGAGGGCCGGCGTCAGGACGTAGTCGCCGGGGATGCGGACGGGGGGCGCATGATCGAGATCGGTGCTGGGGCGTGGGAGCCTTCTCTTCCTCTTCCTTCCTTTCTTGGCTGTGATGGTCATGGTTGAATCATCCAACTCCATGTCAGAACCTAGCTCCGAGAGGCTTGAAGCCGTGTCATCTTGGTTCGTCGCCCCAGGATGTTTTGCAATCTCGGAATTGCTAACGAGAACTGGATGATCTGCCTTTGCCTGTTCTAATGGACCCGCCTGCCCCCTTCCCTTGCTTTTTCTCAGCTTGGCGATGATAGGGCTAAGGATGGGGGGCTGCACAACGATGGTATCTTCATCGACAGATGTCGCATCGGTCAACGTCGCACCATCGGATGGCGAAGAACGTGAAGAGTTGACTTGTCGGGATTCGAGTGACGACTCGGCTGGCGAGGGGCTAAGGCGGGCTTGATCGTTGAAGCTCATGGAGTCCTTAATATTCATGAGTTGTTCCTTCACTGACATAGACCCTTCTTCCACCTTCACAGGCGGGTCTATCTTGGCCTTCTTCGAGCTTTGTGACTCCGCTGGAGTTGATGGTTCGGACTCCCTCTTGCGCTTGAGAGGGGTCTGGCTAGGCTCAGCGGAGGGAGATTTCCCAAGCGGTGATTGAGCATTTTCAAGTGTAGAAAGCGGCTCAGCAGAAGGGGGGTCCCTAAGCGGTGACTCGGCATTTTTAATCGTAGAAAGAGGCTCGGCGGAATGTGATTCCCTGAGCGGTGACTGGGTATTTTTGACTGTAGAAAGAGGCTCAGCGGAAGGAGACTTCCCAAGTGGTGACTGGGCATTCTTAATCGCAGAAAGGGATTTTGGGGTCCTCTTAGGGACATATGGTCTGATGTTGATTTCAGGCGTCTCTGATTGAGTGCGCGATGAACTAGAAGAGGCGATTCTTCGTCGACGAAATGAGTAGGATGGGCCGTCGGAAGGCTGATCTTCAATAGATAGTTTTGGAATGGTCCCATCAGCGTTGGCTTTAGACCAACCATTCTGGCATTTGATTTCACAGGTGTGGCAGAGACATTCACAGTTGTCTTCTCCAAAGTAGTTGTCACCTGTGATGCGTTAGAACAAAACTGTAAATGAGGGATGAGTGAGGCTCGGGCCGCATACCATAAGTGACCGTAATCTCTTCGCCAACCTCAATGTCCCTCAGAGCTTTGACGGCCATTCCATGGTTCGGTCGCGTTATAAGTTCAGCATTGGCTCCACAATCATGGTTCGCAAAACGAGCTGGGCCAAGGAATAGAGAAGCCTGCTTGTTGCGACTCGATATCACAATACTGAAGTCGCGGCGGCTGTGTTGAATGAATTCTTCCTCCTCCGGGGTCATCAAGACTTGTATTCCACACAGGTACTTGATAACTTCCCCCTTCTTTATGAGCCGTCGAGCCGTGACCGCCGCCTCATGTGTGACAACCGTGTATCTGTTGGTCGTCGACACCTCAAAAGCGCAATCCGGTAGATAGATATTGATATAACGCCTCAGATGCTGCCGAAAATCGTTCTTCTCCTTTTCTGACTTCAAGTTCTCCGAGAACTTCTTGAGACCTTGCAGGGCCAGCAATTGCGCCTCGGCCTGCGCTGGATTCTTCTCGATGATCACGGATTTTTGAAGGATTGAGGTGACGTCTTCTTCTCGAATGCCGCGGCAAGAATGATATGCGCTGCGGTTCTTTCGAATGTTCGTCCAGTAGTACACCTATAAAGTGTGAGGAGCGATTTCCATGGTGCCAGATAGAGGGCTTACATGATCAACGAGAGCATCGGTCAGGATGTCATCATATGAGGCCAGTTGCGTTAGAGTGAGACGTTGCTTCTTAGGAGGGGAGGCCTGAGAAGGCATCGCGAGTTCAGATATCACTGCACAACTTCATGCGACTGATGGATTTGGTGGAATGCTGAAGAGCTGGAGTGTATTGAGAGACCCGTATTTCGTACTTGCCGAGGTGAATGAATGACTGACTGGCTTGAGAAGGAATGTTTAAAATTGGTGGATGGGATTGACCCAGTACGCTTGTTCTTCGTAGGAGCAGGTCAATGGGTCCTGTCGGTATTTTGTACGGTTGATATCCTCCCAGGAGAGCCACGCAGCCTCTGAATTCACTCATATATGTACTTTACTCAGCTGATCGGCGAAGTCGACGAAGAAAGAACAATTTTAAAATGAGGAAAAGGGAGCCGGAGAGATCTAGGCTGGAATTGAGTAGCCAGAATCAGAACCAGTGAAGGTCTAACATCTTTTGGCTCTCCATTGTGAACGATACAAGACATTGTTGTTGTTGTTGGTTGAGGGGAGAACTGAATGCGGATGTTGTGCCTGAAAGACAAGGTTCAAACCAGCCGCAGTTTAGCCGCAATTGAAGCCGCGATTTCTGAAGAGCTTCAATCCTCACCCGGAAAGTGATCCATCGCCTTAGCATCTCATCACGATGATTCAATTAAAGGTTGGTCCCGAAGATGTATTATTTAACTATGAACACTACTGATACATAACCTCAGACGATGCTTAATTGCATCGACAATTCCGGCGCTGCTGTGGTCGAATGCGCCAAAGTCCTGAAGATGAAGAGACATGCGAAGATTGGTCCGTAGCCACCTCACTGGCAGCCTTCTCTCTATTCTGACTGGAGCCGCATTCTAGGGGATCGCATCATCGTTGTGGTACAAAAGCAAAGGAACTTCTCGGAGTCAGGACCAGGTGCAAGTGTTTCGACATCGGCGGCCAACAAAGTTCGAAGAGGTGATATTAGGCATGCTGTTGTGGTTAGGACCAAGAAGAAGTTGCAAAGACCCGATGGAAGTGTGGTCAAGTTCGATGACAATGCCTGCGTGTTGATCAACAAAGCAGGAGAGCCGATAGGGACGAGGCTGAACGGTCAGTTTTCCTGGACCTTTTCAGATTTTGACTAACACCGATGGCAGGCGTTGTTGGGACGGAACTGAGAAAGATGAAGTGGTCGAAGATCCTGTCACTGGCACCAATGCATTTGTAGGATTATTGTACAGATGTCACGGATACTTGTAGCATAAGACACGGCGTTCAGAATATGGTTCTTTGAAAATAGACATCTTTCCCCACCATTTTCACTTCACAAGAATCCAGCCCATGCGCCTTTTCCCCCCAATGTTCTAGAGTGTGCAAATCATCCCGCTAAACGCCAATATCAAAATCCATGTCCCGGGGTATCATGAAAAGATGTGACCGCAGCCACAGCAGACGTAAAAGAGTTTCTAGAGATATTCGTTAGGATGCACTGCAAGGCGTAGTTCAAAGAAAGGCTTCTTACCATTCCGGTCTCCGCAGATCTCTGTTGGGACTGGAAGAACACCGCATCCTCCGTCTTGCACTTGGGGCAAGTCTTGTTGGACCGTGGGAGCTAAACAGTAAGGAGCATGTCAGCAGAAGGTTATGAGAACTTGGAACAGCAACTCAAAGCTTCTGCATCTTTGCAGAGATCCTCCCTTGGAGCATCTGATCCTCCGGGGCATCTGCCTCGATTCTGCCTTCGCACACAACGACAGATCCGCACAACAAACAGAGAGGTAAACCAACAGTCGGGTCTGATCCAACATCCTGTGTCACACCAGCAGTCTCTCCAACCGCGCTGTTGAGGATATTTCGGAAAACGCACGAAGACGCGGCCTCTTCAGAGTATTGGCAGGTTCGGCAGGCGAACTGTAATCGATGGGTATCGGGGTCTTCTTTAGGGTACAACATGTTCGAACTGTATAAGATTAGAGTTGTGATGGCAAGACATGGAGATACTAACGTACCATTCACTACAAAAGCGGAAGGTGATCTGCTCCAGATTCTTCCTCTGGTCGTCGCCGTTGCTGGATGCTGGGGAGGCCATGGTGAGAGGCTTGGTGACGAGATGGCAGGGTTTTATTGAGGTGAGCGCGTATTATCTCAGGATCCTAGATATCGGTGGTGACAACGTAGAATATTCGGTCTCGACGTGATCGTGGTACTGGCCGTAGTGGTAGTTGTAGTGGCGATGTTGTGTTCAAGAAGATGCTGATTACCTTATTTTTCAGAGGGACAGTCGCGACTCGCATCAGATAATGAGAGTTGCACAAAGTAGGCAATGGGCTGCCGTACAAGGCCAGCACGGGAGCACGGCCCATGCGGTTTTAGCTCTAAGGTATAGGTAGAGCTCTCGAACCCCCCGCAGTTGATCATGAGGTACGTTTGTTCCTTGCAGCTCAAAGGGAAGTGATAAACCCACAGCCTCCCACGAGTTCCACCACCACTTGCTCCATATTGTATCACCTGCAACACAATTCCTGATCCATCCTTGACATCAGAGCCTCATCCAGTTTCATCATCCTAGGGTTTCACAATGGTATGTCTCTGGATGCTACAGTTTGCTCGCTTGCTCCATTGTTTACCCCCCACACAAACCTACCTCCCCCCAAGCGGGCATCTTGCTGACAGTGATAACAAGGCCGAGACAGGTCTTCCAGCTGGCTGGGAAGTGCGGCACTCGAATTCAAAGAACCTTCCTTATTACTTCAACGAGTCACAGAAACAATCGAGATGGGAGCCTCCGTCAGGAACGGACACCGAAAAGCTGAAGGCATATATGGCTGAGCACCACAGCCAACGCGAACTTGGCCTCGACTCGGGTGGATTGAATGGCAATGCGAATGTTAACAAGATCCGGGCTAGTCATTTACTCGTAAAGCACAAGGACAGTAGAAGGCCAAGCAGTTGGCGTGAGGTGGGTTTGCAATACCTTGGAAGCTGTTACAGCCTTCTCATGTTTCACATAGGCGAATATCACGCGGACAAAGGAGGAAGCCATGAGTATCATACTTGGTCATGAGCAGCGCATCCGTAGCGGGCAGACGTCTCTTGGACAGCTCGCGGTGAGTGAATCGGATTGCAGCAGCGCGAGAAAGATGGGAGACCTCGGCTTCTTTGGCAAGGGAGATATGCAGAAGGAATTCGAAGATGCCGCCTTCCAGCTCAAACCCGGGGAAGTCAGTGGTGTAGTCGAGACGGCGTCGGGACTCCATTTGATTGAGAGGTGAGTTCGCAACCACCTCTGGCCGGCTTGATGGGACTTCGCTGACTTTTCATTAGGCTCGAGTAAGATAAGATTGCACATTAATTCCTCTGCTACAGTAGCTTAGCCTGATATACGGGAAGGTTGGATGTGATTCATGATTCGATGTCTATCTGGTACAGTAGCATTCGCATATCGTCCCTGTCTGAAAATGTTACAAAATACTTGATCAGAATGATGTACAAATCCCTGCCCCGAAATCACATTTGCAAGTCTACTAATGAGTCGATCGCTTGAACTATCGGTGGTACTGATGTCAACGCCAACGTTATGATGCCGAACACACTCATCGATAAACTTGAGAGTGCTGCTGCACGTGGATCTGTTTGTAATAGAAGTGCTGTTGCAATGGCACTTGAGTTCCCTCCTAATGTCACGCCTCTTGTCACGTAGTCATCTGTCTCATATGTCAGCTCGTGCCAGAAGTTTAGGATCACGGGACTAACCTTCGGGAATCCGAAGCCATTTCATCATTCTAGGTCCTATGAGGACCCCGAGGATTCCACTCATGATTGCCAGGGCAGCCACGGTGTTCAGATCACCGTGGACATTTTTGATCGCAGGTGTAGCCAGAGCGAGAGTCAGGCTCCGTGCCGCGAACGCCAAGCTTCGTTTCGACGAAATCCCAATGGCATAGCACAAGGCCGGGTATCCAAAAAGGGAGCCGACCGAGATGACCACGTTCGGGGCAACAATGGCGAAGAAGTGACGTTTCAACTCGAGCCGGTAGTTATACATTGGCAACGCGAGCGCTACGATACTGACGTCCAAAACACTACCAAAGATATCGCCTGCTCCGGGCTTTGGGACATGTTTTTCATCATGCCACAGCGTCAAGTAATTTGTCCCGGTCTTGTATACACCAAGGACATCGTCCAAGCTGTCACCCCTGATGAGGCCTAGAATCCAGATTCCAAGGATGGTTATTCCAGATGAAAGAAGGACAGGATGAAGGAATTGCTTCCAGCGAGGCGGAAGAGCGATGGCAGCAAAGTAGGCCAGTACGTTGAATGTCAAGTGGGCCGGCATAGCATATCCAGTGGAGTAGTATATCGGTATTCCAACGAAAAGGAAAAGTATACCGTAAGTTATCCTATCGAAGTTGGCATTGATAAAAGCAGCCCATCGCTGCGGACGAGTGAGTGACACAGGGGCCAGCATAATCGGTTGTGTCCGTGAGGCATCTTGCGACTGGACTTGACTTTCTGGCGGGCCTCCGGTGCCTCTAATGAGAGATGGATCTTGCGCTCTCTCTGGTCGAGCAACACCGTGTGCCAGCTCATCCGTTGGTGCAAACGATGCTGCTTCAGATGATGCTTGTTTAGCTGATGATGGTCCAGGTGATGATGGTCCAGGCGATGCCGGTTCAGATGATGCCGGTTCAGACGATGCTGGTTCAGACGATGCCGGTCCAGGCGATGCCTGAATGTTCGTCAATGCGACTCCGGAATTCTGTCCACTCCCACTTGAGTCAGCGAGAGGAATGGCATCATTTTCATTGCCCATCTCTTCTGCTCTTTCGATTATCGCACGCTTTGAGGAACCAAAGATGAGCTGCAAGCCACGAACGAGCCATGCCATGATAGCAAGTACGACCACAAAGCCGATTACTAGAAGGGTATCAGATATGGAACTTAAGCATGCTTGGGGAATACACTCACGAAACACTGCTATTATCTTTCCCACTTCGACTCCGCTGATGGGAGGACTTAGAGGCAAGAGGACGAACCTGTGAACACGGCTCAGAAGTTGAGAATAGACGGGAAAAGCAGGTTACCAACGATGGAGTGAAAAAGATATTAATGTATCGGAGAGCAAAGCCAGCCTTCATTCAGGATATTAGAGAATGGTTCAGACGTGGAACAAGAGCAACTCTACAACATACTGGTACCTCAATCACACTGACAAGAGCTCTCGTCCTGCGGTCTCCAATAATGAAATTACAGAGAATCAAAGCAATGAACAGGCCGACAAGCAGAGCGACCGACGCTGGGAAAGAGACGGAACTAAGGCCAATGAGGGCATCGACTCCAAAACATGCAAGAAGAATTATCAGAGCTCCTACAGGCACAAAAAGCCATGCAGTTAGGTTTCGACGCCATGAGAGGCGGGCCACCTAGAGTATTGTCAGCCTTGTCCACGGTATGTAGTGCATGTGAACGTCGGAAAAGCCACCCACCAACTTTAGGGCAGCAAGGCCATCGGAGATGATTCCTTCATTGCTCGCCATTCTGTAGTATGGGACAATTATATAAACACAAAAAAGAATGGCATTTTTCAATACATCTTAGAGGACTTTGCTCTGCACACCCACCTTTGCGATTGCGGTTAAGAGTCAGTCCCTGCGGATCAAGTCCGGCTTTCGGAGTTAGGTTTACCGAAAGTTTCGGCTTTTGTGCGATTTCCTATCAACACCCCCTATTTACTAAACAAGGCGTAACTTCAGCCTTCTTCCACCAGCCAGGCATGGCCGACAATTCTTTCAACTCCCTCATAGAGGTGCTCCACAGCCATGGCGTGCAATACGATCATGATGCTCTCAAGTCTGCCTTCGATGACCCTGAGAGCCAGGCCACAATTGAGGCCTGGGTACAGGAGTATCTGTCACCCGAGACCCTATTGACCAAAGACGAGGCTACGTTGTAGGTTCCCTCCTACGTTTCCATTTCTTTTGTACATCTTGCTGACTGCCATAGATATGCTGCACTCGTCAAGTCTGGCGAAGCTGATGCCTTCGCCGCATCCCAAGATCTGTCAGCCATCCGGGGTCTCAATGATCAAGATATGCAACAGGCAATTGAGGAACTCCAAAGATCCACAGCAGCCATTGAGAAGCAGAGCGAAACTTTAAGGCTTCAACAGAATGCTATGAAGATGCTTATCAACAGCAGCGCCCAAGTCGAGCAAGCACGATCGCAAACGAATAAAAGTCAGCAGAGGAAGTGGGATATGGAACGAGGACATATCATCACTGCGGTAATTCTGTCCCTGATGCGTGGATGATCGAAGCTTCTGACGGGAGCAGGTTAAAGAACTATCTCAAAACCTGAAGGATCAAACAGCGGATCTCGAACAGCAAAACAAGGCGTCGGAAACAGCGGTAATGCAGACGGTGGAGAATCTCCTTAGGTCAGATGACAAATTGTTATCCAGTCTGCAGAAGCTAGCTACCGACCTCGATTCGAGACAGCCTGAAGATGATGGAATTTCTAACCGAATAAGAGAGCTTTGTGCAAGGTAATCTATTCAATCTAGTTTTGAGAGCTGCCTCCTAATAGCGTATAGACTTATCAAACATACTGTCGAAGGGATCCGAACCAGGCTTGATCGCATATATCTGGATGCACTCAATAATCCCGCGGGGTTTACCAATAGTCAGGATGTCAATGATCAGGAAGTTGTTGATCTACAAGAGGAGCTCGAGTCTCTGTATGCAGAAATCCTGCCGGTTGCTCAGATGTCTGCAGAACAGCAATTTCTCCAACCAGCGCTTCGTGAGATTGCGGCCAGGAATGGTTTAGGGCAAGAGCGATCAGTCAAAGCGATCAAATATGTACGAGCTCCCCTCCTAATCATCAAATTAGTTCTAATGTGCTACAGATACACGATTGTCTTGATTTTCTTGTGAATCGAGTAGAGGTATTCCTGGATCGTGCTCAGGAATACCAATGCCATAAAATGGCACTGCAGTTCGTGATAGACGAGGCAAAGAAAGAGCTTCTACGTGTAGAAGCCTCGTCAGCCGATAAGAAAACCAGCTCAGCAACGACAGTGAACCTCCAAAGACGAAAATCATCCAGTGCACAACCCCCGGCGAAAGCACGACATACCCGAAGACGCTCTTCGATATATCCAGAAGAGGAGATCGAACCGGAGCAGCAACTCCTTCGCAACCTGGGGATTTCCCTGCCAGCCGATGCGGTGTCGGATCAACCGCGCATCGAGGCACTTGAACGAGCCTTGCTTGATCGAGCGAGCAAGTTAGAGGGACACGCGAGTACTCTCCAGTCCACGACGGAATCGTCGATTTCATCTCACCTACTCGATGCTCATGTCACGCTGCACTTACTTCGGGACTCGCTTCTTGCCGACTCCCCCTATAACAATGTACAGCTTCTGGATTCGGAAATCCAGTCGTCAATCACGGGTCTGGAGGAGGATCTTCAGGATTTGCAGCAGAAGTTGGAGGCGGTGAATCTGCAGAAATTGCAGGAGCGGAATGTGCATCGAGAGCAACTGATCGAGCGTTGGTCGCGTTGAGGATGGGAAGGTGTAGTGAGATTACGCACGTCGAGCCAAAGAGAAGTGTCAATTCAGAAATTTTGGGAATGGATACCCTCACGTTTTAACTGTGTACTGTGGTCCTTGAAATTCAATAGCCTATTTTTTAAAAGACTACTACTATGAGAGTACATCCAGCAAGAGACGTTCAATACTTTGTAGAGTTTCCCTAGTTGAGGTTTGACTCGCCATCAGATAGAAGACGTTCCCCAGACCGCGCGAGTGGAACTTCAACTCCGTGGGAGCTTCCAACAGCTTCTTCTGCAGACCCGCAGCCGCCGAAGAATTGTAGCCTACAGCCATTATCATCAGTCCACAACCCCGAACAAAGAAAGAAAAAAAGAAAAAAAAAAGATGAACGGGAATAATGACTTACCAGCTCTTTCATTATCATGCAGATTAATGGCCAGGACCGAGCCCAAAGCGAACACGCTTTCGACATCTCGACTCTTGGAGATCTGTTGGATGAAGCTCTTGGACCAGGAGCTCCAGACTTCTAATCCGGTTTCTGAGGATGCTGTAGAGGGGGCAGAAGAAGAAGAAGAAGGAGCGGCGGCGGCGTCTGCCCAATCTTCCTTGTATACCTGCCATTGCCCACTGCGGTCCATTTCTAGCAGCGTGTTCAGTGATGTGTTGGCCACGTGACAGCCGACTGCGTGAGCGGTATAACTATGGCCGTGCAGCAAGGCGTCTCTCTTCTCTGAGCCGATGAAAGCGTCGTAGATGCTATCACTGGCGAGAGTGGTGCAGAGAGGAACTAGACCGCCGGTGAGGAGCTTCGCGTGCACCGAGATGTCGGGGTGGACCTGGAGGAAGGAGGCTGAGCTGAAGCGGCCCAGACGGTAGAGTCCGGTGAACACTTCGTCGAAGATTACGGGTAAGCCCGTCCATGTGTTGATGTCGGCCGAGTTAACGTCGGATGGGCCAAAGATGTGTGAGCTCTGACGGACAACTTGAACAAGGCAGTGTTGGAAGAGTGGATCGCTGCGGGTGTTAGCTGGTTCTGGAAAAGGGGATTCGGGCGACGGGTGCTTACGCGAAGAGCATCCCGGCTGCTCCCAAGATTACAGGCTCCATGATAAGACCTCCGAAAGTTTTCCCTTCTTTCTTGACTAGTCTGTGCAGTGTTTCCTCGATATACTTCCGATACTTTTGTCCCGCTACAGAGTCATACCGGCTCTTGATATCGAAGACGTCACCCAAGGAGGGATAGACATGCGTCTCTCCAAAGATGTCCTCCATTCCAGCAGGCGGTTCGACGACCCAGCTTCCATCCTTCATTTTCACCTGTGGGAAATCAAACCAGTAGCCTCGACCTTGGTACCAATGGACCTTCTCATTATACGTCGAAGGCTCCGAGCAATCCATCGCACCGATTGTATCGCCATGGTAGCTGCCCTTGAGACCCAGTATACCGACATCGCTTTTCGGGACGTCCCACTTATATCTCTCGAGAGAAGCGGTGAGCGCCATTTTCGTTGCGACTTCCATGCCCGTGCTTCCGTTATCCGAGTAGAAGACCTTGCCCAACCGCGGGTTCTTGAGGTTCTTGAGCAGCTTCTCGGCCAGGGTGAGTGCAGGCTCGTGGATCGTGCCGGCAAACATCACATGTCCATATCGACCTGCGGCGTATGCGGCGGCAAGAGAGAGTTCGGGGTTTCCATGGCCCAGTCCTTGCGTCCACCAAGATGCTGATCCGTCAAACGTTGGGCTCAAGAGCGCCAGTTCGTTTTTGTCCTTGGTTACGGTAGAGTCGGTGGCTTGGAAGAAATCTCCTGAGGCTGAGTCGATGGTGAGAATAGTGTCTTCAGACACATCTCGGTGCTGAGTAAAGGGATACCAGATTTGGCTGTACGCCCTGCTTGCCATTTCCTCGAGTCTTTGAATCCGGGTTTGATGTCTCTTCGATAACTCAGATAACAGCTCTCCTATGCCTTCATTTTTGGCCATTTTGTCGTAGTACTCGGTCATGACTTCGATATCCTCTTCCTCGTTCAACTCACGTTTCGGTGGTTGGGGGATTGAGACCGTTGGGATACCCTTCTTCTCGAAATATGACCGGAGGTACGAATAGTTTTGGTAGTGATCATCCTGGAATTGCAACACGGCATCTAAATCATAGCCTCTAACATGAAGCGACTCAAATGCTGATATAGAAGCTGAAATCCCTCCAAGTCGATGGTCTGTCACTAAGCAAATAGGGAGGCGAAGCGGTCGGTAGAGATCTGCTTGAGAGCTCCCGCTTGGAGTTGGGGAATGCACCCCTCCTGCTGTTTCTACCAGCGCAACGCCGGGCCCTGCCTGGGAACATTCTGTCAGGTGTTTGAGGACACCGTCGAGGATCTCTGAATCGGATAGGGGCTGCCACGTGATCAGAATGTGTTTCTGGTGAGAGGTGGGGGAAGGGGGAAGGGGGAAGGGCATACAGGCCGGGTTCTCGCAGCTATATGAGGGCTGACGGGCTCATCAAACTGGAAAAGACAGTGCGACTTGATCTGAGAAGTAAAGCGGGAGATATGTCTGTCGTCGGCTTCTGACAGGGGTCCCGTTGAGACGGGCTTCAGATACCATACATTCTGGGCGGGATCACTTCGTTCGAATGCTTTGCAGAGAATGGTAGACATTACTGTCTTGCCCACGTCTGTATTGGCGCCATAGATCTGATAGGCCTTCAAGGTCCGCCATAGCGACGAGGCTGTCCGTGCCATCCAGAGAGACGAGAGCCTTGCGGCAGATTCCTGGCAAGATGTATATGTCAGCCACTGGTTGAACTGGTTGAACTGGTAAAAGAGAGCAAAGAGAGCAAAGAGAGGCTACCTTACCTTTTCCTGTTTTCCTTGCCTTGCCTATTGAGATGATCTGCCCGTACGCACCTTATGGCTTCTTCAAGAAGACGGCCTCTCACCGCGTTGAGCAATCAATCAATCGCCTTCCCCAACATGCGAATCGGCCGGACTGCAGCGTGGGTGGAGCATGGGAAAGACGCTCCGTATCATGACCTCACCACTTTTCCCGTTGAGAAAAAGAGGGAAAAGATTTCCTTTTGCCGAGGGATTAAGACAATCGGATTACTGATGGACGGACGGCTTATACTCGGTCGATCAGACAGAAACAGCGGTCCGGGCCAGTCAGAGCGGGTGCAATGTTTATTAATATGCCCGCCGTGCAGCTATCAGCCCCGCCATGTTCTTGCTAACCCTCGACGACGAGGAGTTATCTCGACTTCTTTAGTCATCTCTCCCTCCACGCTTCATTGCTCATCTCCACGTCTCCAAAATGCCTGGCCATCGTTCCCTGCTGCTCAGGACGAGCTGGAGAGCAGTTCTCCAAGATGCAAAACCCCAATCCATCGTGCGGAAATACGGGACCGTCGCTGAATCCCCTGCAATCACGACCCCGCAATCGTCAGTCTTTGAAGATGCTCTCGCAGCAAGCAGCCCCCGAAACAACTGGACCAAGGACGAGATCAAGCAGATCTACGATACCCCCTTGATGAAGCTGGCTTTTGCCGCCGTAAGCAAATCCATTGCTGCTAGATTTTTGACCTGGCGCTCTTGTCTAACTTGCAGCGCAGGGCACTGTTCACCGCAAATTCCACAACCCCGGCGCCATCCAGATGTGCACGCTCATGAACATCAAGACGGGAGGCTGCTCCGAGGATTGCTCTTACTGCGCCCAATCGTCCCGGTACAACACCGGTCTCAAAGCTTCCAAGATGGTTACGGTTGACTCTGTTCTCGCCGCGGCCCGCATCGCCAAGGACAATGGCAGCACGAGATTCTGCATGGGCGCGGCCTGGAGAGATATGCGCGGCCGGAAGACCAACCTGAAGAACATCAAGGAGATGGTCAATGGCGTCAAGAGTATGGGTATGGAGGTGTGCGTGACGCTTGGCATGATCGATCTCGAGCAGGCCAAGGAGTTGAAGGAGGCTGGCCTGACGGCGTACAACCACAACGTCGATACGTCGAGGGAGCATTACCCATCTGTCATCACCACTCGAAGCTATGACGAGCGACTCCAGACAATACAGAATGTTCGGGAGGCGGGTCTCAATGTCTGCACGGGTGGCATTCTTGGGCTGGGAGAGAAACCAAAAGATCACATCGGCCTTATCCACACTGTTGCTACGCTACCTTCGCACCCTGAATCCTTCCCCGTCAACACTCTTGTTCCCATCAAAGGCACACCCCTGGGAAACAATGCACCATCGCCTTTCGATGCTACTCTTCGGACTATCGCAACGGCTCGAATGGTGATGCCGAGAACCATCATCCGCCTAGCTGCGGGCCGGACGACGTTGACTGAAGAACAGCAGATCCTCTGTTTCATGGCCGGTGCCAACGCGGTCTTCACCGGCGAGAAGATGCTGACCACGGCATGCAACGGCTGGGATGAAGACCGGGAGATGTTTGAGAAGTGGGGATTGAGACCCATGGCCAGTTTTGAAGTCGAGGCTCTTCGCGAGCTGGTCTCTTCTTCTGCGCCGCTGGATGGACAGGCAGCGGAAGAGAGCCTGAAGTCTCAGCCAGTGGCTTAAACGGCACAGCTCAAACTCTTATTTAAGCACTGAATTGCGGTATCTGGATATGTACATAGGCAGTCTATGACCAGCCCGAACCTGCGGCTCAGCGCGTGGGGCACATAGAGTTAGTTAGGTAGTAGATTATCAAAAGCCCCGAAGCAAGAGAGAGAGAGAGAGAGAAATTTCCCACATATATTTTGAAATCCGTGATCCTAATGCTAAACATTTTTTGTTTTCCCCCACCTCTAATACCTTACTTAAATCAAACGCCATCATCATAAAACCGATTTTACAAGCTCCAACTTCTGCACCTGCGCTCCTTCCAAATCCTCCCTCTCCCTCTCCCCCACTAACCAACCTCTAATCCTATCCACCAGCCTCTCAACCTCCTCGAACGTATTCCCCGCATGCAAACAGATCCGGACTCTTTGCGTGCCCTCGGGAACCGTGGGCGGGACGATGGGTCGCACGATGAAACCGCCTTCTTGACAGTACTTGGCTAGACTGCGCGGCTCCGGGGTCAGGAGGGAAAAGATGGGCGATTCGGGCTTCTGGGTGGGAAAGCGGAGGAGTGGAATCCTCCCCTGGGGTGATTCTTGGATGTAGGGGGTTAGGGTTTGGAGGGTGGTGTAGAGGTGGGATATTAGTTTGTGGAGGTGGGTGATGAGCTTTGGGTGGGAGGGGATCTGGTTAGTGGATGGATGGAGGGAGGGAGGGAGGGGGGATGGAAGAGATAGGGGTACTTACGGGTTGTGTTAGGCCTTGGGTCATGAGGGAGTAGGCTGCTTTAATGGCAGCTAGGGATGGGAACGACATGGCCGTCGTGTATATCAACGTCCTTGCGTAGTTGATCAAGTATTCCCTCGTCAGGGCCGAGCAGAGGAGAATAGCTGGGGTAGGTCAGTCAGTAAGGAGATAATAAAGAAGTCACGCAGGGAAATCAGATCCAGACCTCCACTACACGCCAGCCCCTTGCCAAACGTGTGCAGCCTCGCAAACACCCGGTCCTCCAGCCCAAGACTACACACGACGCCTCGTCCCTGCTCCCCATACACGCCATTGCTGTGCGCCTCGTCCACCACCACATGGCCATTGCCCGCCGGCAGCAGCTCCTCCACCAGCTCGACCACCTCCCTGATCGGCGCCAGGTCGCCATCCATGCTATACAAGCTCTCGACGGCCACGAAGACGTTCCTGCGGCCGTCGCGCAGCAGGGGATCGCCCGCGATGCGGCCCGCCAGCTGGGCTCGCAGATCCGCCACGGAATTGTGCGCGAAGGCCACCCGGGCGCCCGCGCGGCACAGCCGCATGCCCTCGTGCACGCTGGCGTGGATGCGCGCGTCGTACAAGACGAGGTCGCCGGGCTGGGGCACGCACGAGAAGAAGCCGGCGTTGGCGTCGAAGCCCGAGTTGAAGAGCAGGCCGGCGGGCGCGCCGTGGAAGCCCGCGATGCTGCGCTCCAGCTCTTCGGCATAGGCGGAGTTGCCGTCCAGGAGCCGCGAGCCGCCGCTCCCGAGCCGAAAGCCGGGGTGCGCGTGCAGCTCCTCGAGGTAGGCGGCTCTGAGGTCCGCCGAGGAGGACAGGGATAGGAAGTCATTGGAGGAGAAGTCGGTCGACGTTGGGGGCGCGATGGTGAGGGAGCGCAGCGCCGAGTTGGAGGCGCGCCTTTGGAGGAGCGCTCGCATCGTCGAGTCCAGGGGGCGGGACCCCATCTTGGAGGCGTGTTTATGAGGTTTTCGAAGGGACGGAGGGAGAACTTGGTGGTGAAAAGTTCAATGGGAGGTCGAAATAGGGTGTGGGGAAAGTGGATGAGTCCCTGATTTTATGGAGCCACTCCCTGAAACCCTCCGGGACCGCTCCTAGCCCCTCGCCTCGGCACGTTTTATCTACCCCGCCAGAGCAGCTTACCCCGGACTTCACTCTTCCGCACTATCATCATCATCGAGCCAAGTGAAGCAGCACATCATGTCCGAGAAAGTAGGAAGACGGCTGAGTATGCTCAATCCATTCCAAGGATGAGATGATGGCCTTGAAACTAACAATTGCCAGAGAGGCCTGCTCTCTTGTCAGTCCACCTCCTAGACCGCCCGCTATGCAACGCAGAGAGCTGATTCGGGGCCAGTATATGCGACATCCAGGAGAAGTTCCGACCTGCAGTTTGGGAATATGAGAAGATGTGCGTAACGAGTCTCCGCGTCCGCAAGCACAGAGCATCATTGACCGATGATGCAGAATCCTCACGACTCAGAAGATGATCAAGGCGGCCTCCATCCTTAACATCCCCATCTACGCCACGACGCAGAACCGCGCACGACTCGGGCCCACATGCGCAGAGCTCGAGATCCCCAACGCTGTTGAACACGCCGACAAGACGGCCTTCAGCATGTGGATCCCCGCGATCGCGCAGCACTTCTCGTCGGCGGCGCCGGCTGAGATCGTGCTCGTGGGCATCGAGAGCCATATCTGCGTCACGCAGACGACGCTGGATCTGCTGGCGAACGGGCACAAGGTCTACGTCTTGGCGGATGGGGTCAGTTCGTGCAACCCGCAAGAGATCCCGATTGCGTTGGCGCGGCTCCGGGCGGCGGGCGCGGTGGTCACGACGAGCGAGAGCTTCTTGTATGAGTTGATGGGCGATGCAGCGATCCCGGAATTCCGGGCCGTGGCGGGGTTGGTGAAGGAGTCGAGCAAGGATACGAAGGAGGTTCTGCATACGTTGTTGAGTAAGATGTAGGATGGGATGAGGGTGGTGCCTCGACTTGGGCGCGAAGATGCAGCGCGCGACGAGAGGGTTGACGAGGATGGGATCATACTCGGTAGTTGATCGCATTTCATGGTCCTTTACCGGCGCGAACAAACCTTGAACGGTGCCTAGAAAGTCAAGCAGTAATACCTACGTCATGAATAGATATGGCAACTTGTTCATTTCCACTTGCACTTGCATTTCCATTTCCTTGGAGCAAACGTACCCCCCCACCCACCTGCCCACCCCCCTTGTTCCCCAACTCAGCTCGCCCAGCTCTCCGACATCATCAGCAGACCCCCCAACCGTCACCAACACACAGGGGGGTGAAGGGGGAAAGGGAAGAGGAAGAAAGGGGGAGAGAGAGGGAAAGGGGGAAAAGAAGAGGGAGAGGGGGGCATTGAGAGAGAGAGAGGAAAAGGGAGAGAGAGAGCCTGGCAGTCAGCCTGGCCCCCAGATGTAAGCGCCTGGTCATTCGTCCAGAGAAACCCGCCCGATCACACGGCCACTGAAACCGAAGTCGACTGTCACTGGATACCGAGTCGCGGGCTGATGCGATGCATGGGCGGTCGGGACGGGACGGGGAGGAATGACGACGGATGGGAACGAGGATGAGGATGGGCGATGGGTTATCGGCGAGTGGGAGGGCGGTGCTGCTCTGCGCGGCTGTGTTGACTCGGGCTCCGTCAATGAATCTCCCTGGAGTCGACAATGCTTCTCGCATCCCCTCGTCTTCTCCCCATCGACTGGCTGGCAGGCCCCAATGGTTATCGTCGCGGGAACAGAAACGAAGACAAAACAAAATAAAACAAATAAAACAAAACACTTCATCATCTGGCGCCGGCCTCTTCCAGGAGTATTCTATTTTCTATTTCTATTTCTATTTCTATTTTCTATTTTTTTTTTATCTTTTCCATCTCCAATATTCTCCATCATCCTCCCCATCCTCCCATCCCCCCCAGCGTGACTCAGCCTCGCCAAGCGCCAGGGGTCTCCATAGGCGTGCACCAGTCATTCGGTCACTCCCAGGCAGAAAGGCAGACTGACAGACATCAAGACAGAGACAGACAGACATCAAGACATATATAACCCTCCTCCTCCCTCCTCGCTCCTCCCTCCTCGCTCCTCCCTCCTCGCTCCTCCCATCCTTCTCTCTTCCTTTCCCTCTCATCATCTCTGAAGCTTCCTCCCACTGCGCGGACATCCAAATCCCAACTATATCAGCCTCCAGCTCCGCCCCCTCACGCCTTCGCCCATCCTCGATTCCTCACCCTCTATATCAACCTGCCATTCCCCCCCATTGAACCACCTTCCACGCTGCGCATGCCTTCTCCATGTCTCGCACGCACCAAATAGAATCAGGAATCCGTCATCACTTCGTCCCTGATTTCGGAGACTGACACCAATCTCGTGGGCATCTCTCGTGCCAAGCGCATCTTGAACACTGCAATCAATCATTTCCAATCCCATCGCGAGCACACACAAATACATCCACGCCCCAGGCTAAGGGCACAGCGGCAGACCGCGACCATACCCAAGCCAGCAGGCCATATATACGTTCCAGCCGTCACCATGTGTGTCACCAACATCTACGTCGACAGATACCCGGACGGGCGTGAGATCGAGTACCGTCACCTCTCCACCTGCCAGTACGGCTCACCAGGCAGGCCATGCTCAGCCCATTCCACCCTCGAAAACCCTGTTCGCAGGATCCAATACAACGAGCCCTCATCCCAATACATGTTCAACCACCCCGTCTTTCCATCCACCCCTCCTCGGTCTCCCCGTCTATCGGGACGCCGCTACTCGGGAACCTCCTACCGCCAACCCTCCCGCTCCCGCTCCCGTTCCGACGACGGCCGCCCGTACCGGCACGAGCAGCGGCCCTCCCTGAAACCTCCGCGCCAGCACCGCCAGGAGCGCATCATCATCGTCGACGCGCCCCCCACCCCCACCACCCCACCGCAACTCTTCGCCCCGACCTTCTCCGCCCCCTCCTCTCCCGACCCCCGCGGCCGCCCCGTCATCGTCGACGAGCGGCCCCGCGCCCCCTCCCCTCGCCGCGCCAGGCCCGCCCCTGCCTGGGACACGCCGTCGGCATCGCACACGAGCTTTGACCTGCGCGCGGGCGAGAGGACACGCCGGCAGCGCGACATCGACCGGGACGAGGAGGCCCGGCGCGCGCGCCGCATCGCCGAGGCCAATGAGGATATCAAGCGCCGGGCCGCGGTGCCCCTCGCGCCACGGGCGACATATGTGCGTCCGGTGATCGAGCAGGTGCAGGGACTGCCGGAGCGGCTAGGGGGGCTGTCGCTCGAGGAGAGGGGCGAGGCGGAGAGGCGGCGCGAGAGGGAGAGGGAGAGGGCCATGAAGCAGAAGTTGGAGGCGGAGGAGGAGGAGGCCATGAAGAGGCGGTTGAGGGAGAGGCAGATGCCGCGGCGGCGGTTCACGGTCGGGCCGGGACATCGGCGGCATCGGGTGCTCTACGATGATGGGCTTTATAGGTGGGAGTAGACGGACGGACGGAGGGGCGGGCGAGCGAGTGAGCGGGTTTCATTAGGGATATCGGGGAATTGTTTGTTTTTGTTCTCATACCTAAGTACGGTACCTTGGATAGATCGCCTTTGAATCCAATCCTTCGTCTGCTCACCCATCCACCGTCCCCAACTCACTGCTTTTGTTTCCATGATTACTAAGTGATATTAAGTCCAATGCCCCCCCTTCTCAGATCTGCACCAGGATCTTGACATGCTTCTCCTTCTCCGTGATCAGCGCTTTGAACCCCTCCTCCACTACATCCTCCAGTCTGATCTTGCCCGTGATCATCTCGCCCGGTTGCATGGCCCCTAAACCCGATTCGCATTCGCATCAGGAGCTCTCTCTCTCGATCTCGCTAAGGAAAAAGGGGGGGAAAGCAACTCACCAGAAGCAATAGCCTGAATCACGTCCTCGAAATCCTGCCGCACGTACGCGAGACACGCGACGTATTTGCCCTCGCGGAACACGAGCCAGTTCGGGTTGAACGGCACCGCGCGCTCCCAGATGGCGACGTTGACGACGGTGCCGCGCACCTTGATCGCCTGGCATGCGGCTTCGAGCCCGACGGCGACGCCTGCGCAGTCGAATACGATGTCGACGCCCTCGCCGCCCGTCAGGGCGCGCACCGTGGAGAGGAAGTCTGGCTCGGTGCGCGGGTCCAGGATGTGGTCGGCGCCGAAGCGGCGCGCGGACGCCTGGCGGGACGCGGATGGCTCGGAGACGATGATGGAGCTGCAGCCGCGCGCGCGGAGGGCCAGGATCACGGCGATTCCGATGGGGCCGCCGCCGAGGATCAGGACGTGCGAGGAGGGCGTGAGAGGGCTCTGGGCGACGGCGTGCCAGCCCACGCTCAGGGGCTCGACGAGGGCGCCGATGTCCAGGGGCACGTGGTCTGGGAGCGGGAGCACGTAGTCGGCGGGGACGGTGACGGCGTCGGAGAGGCCGCCGCCCCAGCCTGAGAGCCCGACGAAGCCGCCGTTGTAGCAGATGTTGTGTAGGCCACGGTGGCAGGCGGCGCACGTCCGGTCGTAGATGATGGGCTGGATGGCGGCGCGCTGACCGACCGCGATGCCGGTCACGCCGGCGCCTACCTCGATCACGGTGCCGGAGAATTCATGGCCAAAGGTGACCGGGATCTGCTCGCCGGTGACGGGATGCGGGGTAAGAGGGGCAAAGTTGGGACCGCCGAGATACTCGTGGAGATCTGGGGAGGGATTAGCCAGGTTTCAATAAGACTTCATCACAATGAGAGCAATGATCGTTTGCTGCCGTGGGAGAGTTTTGGTCATTGAAGTTGAGTGATTAGATCCATAGAGACCCTTGGTCTTTTAAGATAGGGAGACTTGCCCGTTCCACAGATCCCTACATAGCCAGGCCTGATCTTGACCTCCCCTTCCTTACATACCGGCTCGTCGATCTCCTCGATTCGAATATCTTCCTTGCCGTAATATCGTGCTGCCCGCATGGTGATCTTGCTTTAGTGCGTATAGAAAGTGCATATAGAGACTGCGTGTATACAGCGTGGGGGGGCTTCCAGCGCCGTGGCTCTTATAGCCCAAGAGGAGGCTGACCCCTCATCAAAGGCTTCTCTCGGACAGAGGGAGAGAATGGCGTCAGAGGACAATATTATCCATCAGCTCGATGGTCAACGCAACGTACAGTGCCACTTGGAATCCGAGGTAGTATTTGGCTTTCCCCTCAATCATCTAAATTTCCCTATTCGCCCATTCCGGGGGCGGAATCTGGGGTCGGAATCTCCCCACACTCCCCCTTGGGAGATGGAGAGCTACCGCCCGTGCTTGGCAATCTGGTCATACTTATGACTCTACTTATGAACGGGAAGAGATGTTCTGTTGACGGAAGAAAGGATTGAATCGATAGCAGTCTAATGTCAGGAGTAGAAGTAGAAAGGAGAAGGCTATGTTGCAGTCGGGCGGAGGTATCCCGAGAGAGAGACGTCTAGGGATCATGTTTCCGTGATATATGAACCCCTCGTGGTGATACGTGCGCGCCGGACTACCCCACGCGGAGTAGGCAATCAGCAAGTGGTCTTGATTCTCCAGCAAATTGTGCTGCCAGCAAGGCTTTTCTTTTCTGCTTCCTGTTGACCTCGCGGGCTCTCTTCTACTGACTTGAACCTACTATCATCGTTCTCAGCACCCTCAAGAAATCTGTAGTCTATCATCTATGGTCTTTCCCCGCTTAGTCAACAACCCTTAGATAGCCGAACGCGGACCTAAAATAGAATACGGGGATCTCTCCCCACATATCGGTTTAATAGCAATGATCCCTGATCTCTACTTGTTAGGCCTTTTCACAATCAATTGGATGATATGCAAGAACTCGGCGGTTATATCGGAGTTGCCCAGATGATTAAGCACTGGCAGAATCATTTGTTTCCGTCGACAGGAGTGCGTCAAGCAAGTCACGACCGATAACTAGCTGGCTCCTCCCCGCTGTAAAGCCGTCGTTAAGCCGCCAAACGGATCATTTGGCCGCTTATCGGTGGAGCTCCCCCGCCAACTGTCCCTGATCCCCAGAGTACATATTGCGGTCTTCTAACCATTCCACTCTCAAGAAATACTATCGATAACATCTCCGTTGATATCAACAGAGTTACCTGTTTCCGTGATCACCTACCTTGTCAAGATTCTAACTCTGTTGTGCCAAGAGTGTCAAGATGTACACGTATGTATACTTTGGAAGCATCAACTACCCCGCCTTGGTGCCTCGATGGCTTTTCCTGAAGTTTCACACGAGCTACGACTGTGAATGTGATTCTTAGCTAACCACGCCATGTAGAGCTTCCTTTGCCTTCTTCGAGGCCCTGTGGGAGGTGAGTTCTCCTTTGGTTTCAGCTCCGAGACCTGCATTGCTTGAGGTACTGATCTGTGAACAGGCTGGGGTTACCCATTGCTTTGTGAATCTAGGCTCGGACCACCCTTCAATTCTGGAGGCTATGGTCAAAGGTCAGAATGAAAAGAATGGCCAATTCCCTAGGTAGTGCAAGCTCTCCTCCATTCGTCCATTACTAACCTGGTCTGCAGAATTGTAACATGTCCCAATGAGATGGTGGCCCTGTCAATGGCGGATGGTTACGCCCGACTTACCGGGAAGCCCCAATGTGTCATTGTTCACGTCGATGTCGGGACACAAGGCCTCGGGGCCGCAGTCCACAACGCTTCTTGCGGTAGAGCCCCAGTTCTCATTTTTGCAGGGCTCTCACCGTATACTCTCGAAGGAGAAATGCGCGGATCCCGCACTGAATACATCCACTGGATTCAGGACGTACCAGATCAGAAGCAGATCGTTTCACAATACTGCCGATACTCAGCCGAGATCAAGACCGGAAAGAACATAAAGCAGATGGTTAACCGCGCCTTGCAGTTTGCGTGCAGTGACCCAGCAGGCCCGGTTTACCTGTGCGGTGCACGGGAGGTGATGGAGGAGGATCTGACTCCATACCAGCTTGAACAAGCTCATTGGAATCCAGTAGAGCCTGCTGCTCTTTCAGAAAACGCCGTAAAAACCATATCAGAAGCTTTAGTGGCGGCTAAAGAGCCTTTGGTCATCACTGGATATAGTGGGCGTAATCATGCAGCAGTTCCTGCATTGGTTGAACTTGCAGACACTGTCAAAGGCCTTCGAGTCTTGGATACTGGCGGGAGTGACATGTGCTTCCCTGCAGACCATCGGGCTTGGCTGGGCCTGAGATATGGCATAGAGAAAGCCATAGAAACTGCAGATGTAATACTTGTGATTGACTGCGGTAGGTGTTGGGAAGCGCTATGGCGATCGATTGAGTGCTGACAGTGTCCTAGATGTCCCGTGGATTAACACCCAATGTCATCCGTCAAAGTCCGCTAAGATCTTTCACATTGACGTTGATCCATTGAAGATCCAAATCCCAGTGTTCTACCTCGCAGCCCTATCTCGCTATCGAGCAGACAGCTACACATCAATCACGCAGCTCACGAAGTATATCCAATCATCTGAGCTCTCCAAACAGCTCTCTGCGGAAGCCTATTCCCAAAAATGGGACGCCCTCGCAGTTGCACATACAAAGCGCCTCGCTGCTATTGCGGAAGGCGCAAAACCGCTAGAAGACGGATCGTTCGGTACAGGTCATCTGTGCCAGGTACTCCGCAAACTCGTACCAAAAGACAGCATCTTTGCGATCGAAGCTGTCACAAATACAGCCTTTGTTGCTGATAATATCCAAGCCACGCTCCCCGGATCCTGGATCAACTGCGGAGGTGGAGGTCTTGGATGGTCGGGTGGCGGAAGCCTTGGAATCAAGCTGGCATCGGAATATGAGAACGGACCTGGTAAAGGCAAATTCGTGGTCCAGATTGTCGGTGACGGAACATTCCTATTCTCTGTTCCTGGTAGTGTGTACTGGATCTCTCAACGATACAAGATTCCAGTCCTCACTATCGTGTTGAACAACAAAGGTATGATTTCCACCGATCAAGGAACTCGCTTGCTAACCATGGATAGGCTGGAATGCTCCTAAGAAATCCCTCTTGCTCGTCCATCCCGATGGACTTGGGTCCAAAGCAACGAATGAAGAATTGAACATCTCATTCGCGCCGGTTCCCGACTATTCTGGCATTGCCAAGGCGGCCGCGGGAGGGCAATTGTTTGCTGCGAAGGTAGCCAAGGCAGCCGAGCTGGAAGGTGTATTGCAAAAGGCTATAGATTCAGTCCTGAATGGAACAACTGCTGTTATAGACGCTGTGGTGGTTTCAGGTCGCTAGGAGAAAGAACAGGACAGCAACTGTGTTTCTCGGATCGGGACATGTTGGACGTATCATAAATTGAGACGACTAAGGAAATACAGAATAGACAAGATAATATAAGGTTTAGGGCCGCTCACAAGCCGTAGGGTACTAAGGTGTCTTTGGAGTGTTGAGCCCCGCGACTAGGGAATTGTCTGCATTAGAGTTGGAGATGGACGGCTAATAACCGCCTCGGATTGCGTGCTTCACGTAAATCAGGGATCAAGGAATCGGAATATAAGGAGAGGTCCCCAAGATCCATCCCTCCATCTTCATTGTGCCTCTCCCTCTCTTGACTTTATACGCACCAAGATTGCGACAGTATTCAAAGAGTCAATCAACTCGTTGATTCCAATGGCAAAAGAAAAGGCTTCATCGTACCTGCGACGGGAATCAGTGCGGCAAACAGTACCACAACGCAACCAGTCTCATGTCTGAACCCGGCCTCATCTCTTTTCTCCTTTCTCTCCCTCTTTCACAACACGCACGCATGCATGAATTATCAGTGATATCGAAATTGAACGATATTACCAAGCAGTCTCATTTCTCAGCCTGACAAAGGCCCGTCCTAACTATATCTGAGCGCGGGCTCCGGCTCAATCTGTTCCGCCGAGATGGCGGGAATCGGCGTGTCGGGGCAACTACCTTACCTTACCTTACCTTACCTACTGAGTTGCCTCCTTTTTTTTTGTTGGAGAAAAAGAAGTTTCCATGGTTTTCTGAAGCACAAGAACAGGGATTGGTTGATCTCTTCTTGCTTATTTATATTTCTCCGTTTTTCCCTCTCTTCATCTCTAGATCTCCCAATTGCTCCATAGACTCGAATCGAAAACGCAGAGAGCTATTCATTCATCAAGCAACTCGGAACACAAAAGAGAAGAAACAGAAAACACCGCAGCAATGGCAACCATCACTCTCGATCCTAACTACGGGTAAGCCCAATATTCCCATCTCCGACTCTCCAGCTCTTGCAAACACGTCCAACTCGAACTCGAACTCCAAACCCGCAAAACCCAGCTAACAAACTCGCCCCCCTACCTATAGCTACGTCCTCCTCGCCGCCACCTCCACCTTCTTCCTCAACACCATCCACGGCTTCAACACCGGCGCCGCCCGCAAAGCCGCGGGTATCGCATACCCAGCCGCGTACGCGCCCTCGTCGCGCACCGACGCCGCCGCCCACCGCTTCAACTGCGCTCAGCGCGCCCACGCCAACTACATCGAGAACCAGCCGACGATGCTAGCAGCGCTGCTGCTGGCCGGTCTGCGGTTCCCGCTCACGGCCGCCGCCATGGGCGCTGGCTGGTCCGTCTCGAGATATCTGTACATGAAGGGATATTCGCGCGGCGATGCTGAGGGCAAGGGCAGATATCAGGGCATTGGGTTCTTCTTGTTCCAGTTGGGATTGTCGGTCTTGGCTGGGTACAATGGGGTTATGATGGTTTTGGGGAAGTGAGTTGGGGAATTGGCATGGGTATGAGCGTGTTTCTGTGTATGAGTATTGGGAAGGGTTCTGGGAATCGAAAATTGAATATCTGAAAATCAGTTGGCTGATTGGTTTGATGCTTTGAAAGAATACGGTGAGAAATATGTGTGGTGGGATAAACCTCTGTCCTAGATGGTGGGATTTTATCCTATACTATGGAAGCTTGAACCCTGCCCTTGCCCTTCTCCAGAGCCTCCTCCTGCTGGATTCTTAACGAGAGAAGTCGTTTGTGACTCGAAAGAACCGTGGCAGCAAGAGAATGCAAATCCCTCGGCAGCAAAATAGATGGTACTATATATTTTTGGCACGCTGGCTGGAACGACATGCCCCCAGATCTGTCACCCCGTACATCTCTCCGTCGGATCTCTCCACTCCAAGCCCAGCCCCTCAAAGACCTTCTTCTCTTTAGCTAAGAGATCCCCACCACCCGCCTCCAGATCCAGCCAGGCCCCATCACTTAGTCTCCGCACCCCGGTGCTGTCAAACTTGACCCCGCGCTCATGCCTGCAGTACTTCCTCAGGTCCCGCTCGAACATCGTCCCGCCAGTCCAGCCGACTATGGCACATCCCGCCGTCTTCCAGGGGCTGAGGATGATGTCCACCCTCCGACGAGGGTTATGCTTCTTCTTCGGGTCAGGATTCCTTGCTTGGTCCGCGTCCTGCCATACGACGAGTGCCTTGTCTAGGGTGCAGAATCCGCCGGCGGATTTCGGCATGCTGCCTTTCCAACTCACGGGCTCTTGGCCCCTCTCACTGTTCGTCGTGGACACGGTGAGCCGGTGCGTGATCCATTTATCCTCGGCCAGGTTCCAGACTATCTCCTCCACGACGTGGTCCGTCGCATCATCGTCCGGGTGGCTGAGGATTACATCGACATCTCCAGACATGTCCTTTCCTCTTCTGTAACCGCCCACAACAACCATGTGAAACCCTTCCCGGATCCGATTGGCGTATTTCAATATCACAGCCGCAATCTTCTCAACCTCCTCCCGCGGTATCTTTTCCTGGAAGTCATCGTAGAATTTGACCCCGATCTGCTGATTCGGCGAGAGCTTGTCCCAGCCGTGCGAGATAACATCATCCAGATCCCTCCATCCTCGGGCGTAGAACTGCCTTGCCGTTTTCTCCGCCACATCGAATATCTCGTAGAACTCTTTCAGCGACTTCATTCTGGCATCGGATTCTATCTCGTCCACCTCCTTGATATGCCCGGTCTCTTTCCATTCCTGGTAGAGCTCGACGTATCTCTGCCCGCAGTGGGGGAGGCGGGAAATCTCTCGCGCCGATGTTAGGGTATAGGGATATGCGGCAATAGCAGCAATGGCTTTGGAGTACGCCAGCGCGCTAATACCTCTATCGTCTCGGTCGAGTTTCCGCGCATGCTTGAGCTTTTGCAGTTGGGCGATGAAGGCTTCATTAGGGCTATGAGCTGGAGTAGGTCTTTCGCAGGAGTAGGGTGATTTGAGGTAAGAGGGCAGAGGAGGGAGGTTATCCGCAATATCATGCTCAGATGTCGTTTCGTGAAGGAGGCGTGGTTGAGTTTTTGACCGGATATTTGGACTATGTGACCTGCGTGGGTTATGTCTGTAGGAAGATTGAATACGCGGCGGGGTGCTAGCCCTCGCTCGAGATAGGATGCTTTCCGTCCGGAGCAACTTCCTGGGCTCAGGAGGAGCAGCTTTTGGTTTCTCAACAATGCGCCCTTCATAGACCAAGTATTTCTCTGTCGGCAGCAAAGCTCCAGCTTTCACAGAATCAAAGTACCAGTCCAGCTTCAACACTTTGATTGAATGCCCTCCAAATTCGTCTTCCTGATCTGCAATAGAGCTTGCGGGTGAAGGTCGTTCGGGCGCCACAGAACTGCTTGTGACCGAAGCATGGGAAATGCTGGAACCAGGAGAGTTGGCTTTGGGGTCCAAGTCAAGCTCCGGCTCAGACTCTGTGCTCGAATCCACCGTGATGACTTCTCTCGTCTTCCCTTCGTCTATCCTCCTTCGCTTCTGGGCCTTATAATCATCCGTCTCATGCACAACCTCCTCGGTATGTACGCCTCTAGACTTGAACTCGAGTTGCGCGCGACTCTTCCTGGTGACCTTCCCAATGACGATCTTCGCCTCGCTGATATCCCTGACAAGTGGTTCTCCTATCTCCCTTTCAAGCTTTAGGACTTCGCTGGTAGGAAGGCGGAAATTGAGGAGGTATACTGGAGGAAGGTGGAGAGCCATGTTCTGAAAGAGTGTTGATCATGGTTGTACTGTATTGAAGACATGGATGGTGGGGCATATTGTTCCGACGCAGCGCCAAACATTATCGCATGACGACACATGGAAGCATGCTCATCTCGGGACTCAAATAAGGTCCAAACTCCAAAGTCCAATTCAAGACAAAGAACTTTTGATGATCATCCCAATGCAACTTCAATCTGCGCGGGCGTTTCTGGGGAAAAGAGGGACCAGGGAGGCTATTCAGGGTAAGTTGGTAACTAAGCCATGGGCGATTATGTAATCATACGCCCTGCATCCAAGACCCCCGTGCTCTAGCTCTGCGATGTGCAACAAAACTTGATATACAGCGCACGGACCATGCCGCATCTCAACTTGATATCGGCACTTGTGTTCTTGAACGTGAGAGGGCGTATTGTTCTCGGGGGAAGACTTACGCGTTTTCAACCCCCTCACAGCCTTATATTATCCGTACATTGTGTTGGCAATGAGCGTTGATAATAAGGTAGTACCTAATTCAGGGCTGAATTAAGGGTATTCTATGGCACATGCTCCGATTCCAGTGCGGAGACGGCTTTTGAAACCTTGCAGTAACAAGCATATAAAAATCCTTGAATATTCTGGAGCGATCCTGAAACTTCAAATATCTTTTTTCGCTTGAATATAGAGCAGCTTGAGCTGCGGCAAATTTCTAGATTACACATTCCTTGTTATTCCCCGCTGACCTGACCTCTCCCCAACGCCATCTTTCGAATCAAAAGCGCCAGCTATGCAATCCAACCTTGGTCTTTTTTGGAGGGACTAAACGTCCTCAAATTCTACATCTTCTTCACTCTCCTCATCCTCATCCTTTGGAGCTGGTTCCTCGATCCTCACCTTCTTCGCCGGCCTCTCATCGGTGGGTGTCTCCGGACCTGTTACCGGACTGGTGACGCCTGTGCTGGTTCCACTGCCCGAAGCGCTGCCGCTCTTCTTCAAAACCCCGGACGGGCCCGAGGTCATAGAGGCTGGCTTAACGTCTGCTCCACCGAAGGAACTGGCTGGAGTTGCCTCATCGGAACGTGTACCATTCGGTACAACATCCTCAAAACCAATGTCCTCTTCTTCCTCTTCATCAGTCTCATACTCCTCATCCTGTTCTTGTTCGGCTTCTTTTTCCTGTTCAGCCTTGAGTCGAGCAAAGTAATCGTCGATCTCGGCGACATCGCCATCAGCAGATGCAGTATCGAAACCAAGGTCTTTCTTGTCGGGTTCAACAGATTGTGAAGACTGGAAGAGAGGCTGCGAGCCGAATTTAACCTGTTCTCCCGTGATAGTACTATGGGTGAAATGAAGAGGCATGGCATTCTGAGCCGCGATCTTTTCTTTGCGAGCCTGTGCAGCGGCTAGATCCGCCTCCGTAGGGCCTTCAGAGGTTGTGAGAGTGACTGAAATGGAGGTTGGGCCAACATTTGTCATGCCCCGGACTGCAGTGGGTTTCTCCGCTGAAACATCTACCGGTGCAGATTCATACGCTGGATTAGTGGCATCTCGAACAACTCTCCGAGCAGACGCTAAGGCTTGTTCGAAAGTATTTTCTGGGATAACGACTTTATCGATCTCTGGGAGCAGGTCGGTGATGAACTTGAATTGGGCATTCAGCTTCGTGGACTGCTCGTGCCCGCCTCGATTATTGTCAACGTCGTGTTCCAGAAGGTATCCACACTTATGACATAAAAAGCCCTGAGGGCCAACTTTGTCCAGAACTTCCATCACTGTCCACTCAGATTTACATCGGGGACAGAAGTACTCTTTCCTTTCGTCGGCGGGTACGGTAGTGCCTTGAACGGCTTTGTCAATGAGGTAGACTCTCCATTTGATCGCATCAATGGTTGCACGGTAGTCTATGTAGTAGTAGGTTCGGTTCAAGGGTCGCTGCTGGCCTTCTTTGATCTCTGGACGAGTATGACTTCATGATTCACTATATGTCAGAAATCCGGAGTTGAAGATATTGGGAGCACATACACTGCAAGAAACCGGTCCTCCTTCAATCTTCCACACAGCTTGTGAAGCTCTTTTGTGTTCATACTCATAAGATATGCCATATCGTCGTCGCGCAAACTGTTGATTCTGTCAACATTGCCTTTCATAGACCGTGAGCACCTAGACATACGCTGAATGAATCACCAGCGCATCGACGACTAGGATATGCTTCGTATCGTAGAATGAGCGCACGCAAGAGCGCACTAGCTGCTGAGCGAGCTCCATTATTGCGGTTGTTTGAAGAGGTCAGGAGGAACCCGAGGGGTCGAGGTTCTATGGTTGCAAAACAAAGGCGTCGATGCGATTGTTGGGGGAGTCCGAAGAACGCCTGGAAATATCAAAGAGGACAAAGAAATGTGGTATCAAGGAGAACGAAGGACGCCCACCATCATCTCGGCAATGTATTGCGAGAACAATATAGTGGGTGAGGTCTTTTTTACAATAGAGGCAATGGCCGATTCAATAGAAAAGGTTCGAGGGCGAGGCAAGGCTGAAGCACTAGTGGGGCGGCCATATGACGCTAGTATATTAACGGCTAGACTGAGCCTGAACTTTAGTTGAGCCTCTGAAATCTTCCATCTGGATTTTATTAAACGGCAATTGAGGGCTATGAAAGGCCTCCGACAATTACCAAAATGGCGGACAACAATCCCCCTGCTAGTTCGGCCGGAAAAGACAGCGGCAGTGCGATCCATGCTGACGTTGCCCCGACTTCACTCCCTTCACCTTCTGACAACCAGAGGGGCAGGTCTCAAGGCGGTCGAGGCGGTAGGGGGAGGGGTCAAGGCAGGGGCAACCGTAAAGGCTTTGGAGCAAATGATAAGGGTGGGCGCAATAAGAGGAATGACATGGGGCGCGCGGAGTACAAGTATGTCTATATTGACCTCCAAAGGCTCCTTAGACTAACTAAACCAGCCGGAAAAATGTAGACAAGCGGAAACGAAATGACGAAGACCAGGCTGCGAAGCGTCGGAAACTGGAAGAAGGAGGTGAAGTACCTGCAGCGCCATTTACGAAAGAAGAGATCGAGGCCGAAACCCGAAAACCAAAGCGAAAGGTTGCTGTCCTAATTGGCTATGCTGGATCTGGCTACAAGGGTATGCAGATTAATGCTCAAGAGAAGACAATAGAGGGAGATCTGTTTAATGCCTTCATCAAAGCTGGTGCAATATCGAAAGCCAACGCTGATGATCCAAAGAAGTCATCATTGGTCAGATGCGCCCGCACAGATAAGGGTGTGCATGCCGCAGGGAATGTCATCTCGTTGAAGCTTATTGTGGAGGATCCAGATGTTGTTCAGAAGATCAATGAGCACCTGCCTCCTCAGATTCGAGTATGGGGGTATGAACGAACAAATGGCTCATTTAGCTGTTACCAGACCTGCGACTCAAGATGGTACGAGTACCTGATTCCGACCTTCTCTTTTCTTCCACCACATCCACGAAGCTATCTCGCAAAGAAGTTAGAAGAGTCTGCTGAGAAAGAAGGCACTATGGAAGCATATAAAGCACTACAAGAGGATGCAGCCTCGTTCTGGGAGGCCACTGAGGAAACTTATGTTAAGCCTATACTAGACAAGCTCGACCCTGAGACGGCAGGAAACGTAATGGCAGCTATCCACAGCTCAGAGGAAGAATCCGAAGCGGACAACATGTCAAAGAGCTCTCAGAAACAGAAATCCGAGTCGAAGGACACCAATGGGGAGGTGACAGAGCCTGCTGTCTCGTCGGAGAACCAGCCAAAAGAAGGCGAAGTTAATGGAGAGGTGCAGACAGAGTCCTCCAGACCTCCACTGAGTCCGCTTGAAGCCGCCATTAAGGAAGTCAAAGCAGCTTACATCAAGGCCAAAAAGGCATATCGCATATCCGAAAAGCGCCGGCTTAGAGTTCAAGAAGCCCTCAATGCTTACGTAGGAACACGAAACTTTCACAACTACACAATTCAGAAGTCTTTCTCTGATCCCTCCGCTAAGCGGTTAATACGCTCCTTCAACGTCGGGAAGGATCCTGTCATCATCAACGACACTGAGTGGTTATCTCTGAAAGTTCACGGTCAGTCTTTTATGATGCATCAGATCCGAAAGATGGTGGCCATGGCAGCTCTTGTGGTGAGATGCGGTTCTCCAATCAGCATTATCCATGATAGTTATGGTCCTGCCAATATCAGCATTCCCAAAGCTCCAGGGCTTGGCTTGTTGCTCGAGAGACCGGTCTTCAACAGTTACAATGAGAGAGCTGCTAGGGACTTCGGCCGGGAGAAAATAGATTTTGATAAATACCAGAAGGAGATGGACGAGTTCAAGCAAAGAGAGATCTATGACAGGATCTTCCGGGAGGAGGAGCAGGATCATCAGTGAGTATCTTCTGCTGGATTTCTTTTGGTATTTACTAACAAGGCTAGATTTCACGCCTTCTTCCACCACATCGATCATTACCGGACTGATTACTTCTTGTGGGTTACGGCATCAGGTGTATCTGCTGCTAAGCAGAGCAAGACGAGAAAGGAGGACGCTAGCGAAGACGAAGCTGATCCCAATGGTGAGGAAGGCTGAGACCATGGTCAATGAAATGAGCGGGGAAAAGGGGGTTTTGACCGAACATAGCATGTGTGTCGGACTATAATCTGAACACCCACGGTGGTATTATCGACAGAAAAAGTTAAGAATAAAAGAAAAGAAAGTGTGTTTCCCCCTATCTATATCTCTATATACATATGCTGTAGGTAGCCTTTCAAGGTGACAAGAGAAAACGTGAAAGAGCAAGCTGGCAAAGTGATAGTATCGAAAATTTAAAAAAAATTAAAAACATACAACAGCAGGTATTCGCTGGTGGTCACCCACCCAACTACTAATCTGCCGATCTAAGGCTTGTGTATGGCAGAGCGGACGGGATGCCCAATTCTCCTTAGTCTATGGTCGTATGTACTTGAAATTATTCTACATGCATATATAAAAGGGGACTCTTGAATACCAAATGAGATCCTTCGCGAATCTCCTACCCTACTTCTCTCCTTAATACTGGCTCTCCTACAGGTAAGGTAGCTTGGCTTTTCTTCTAATTTCTTCTTGGGATTTGTATTTAATAAGTTGGTAACTTCAATTACCCTTTCTTGCAACTGATTTCCTTACCCACCAGCACCTCTTACCGCTCCTCCATCTTTTTTCCCCTTCTTTCTCTATTTCTAGGATTGATTGAGACTTTGGTCTTTAAAACTTGCAGTCCATATGTCATCATCGCCAGCTTCAAGATTGAGGATTTTCCTTTTGCGCTGATAGGTTGAGAACGTGCACATCATGAAAAGAAAAAGAGGAACCATCCACTCCAAAAGCTATCAATAGAGATAGCCATCTTATGCGTATACTAGTATCCACTGTGAATGCTGCAGGTATTCGTGCCCATACGCCGCCAATGTCCTCATGATCAATTTAACTGCAATGTCGCCTTTCCCGCCCAACGCTTTTATGGACCGATATACCTCTAACTCCAATATGCTCCAGCCGTACCCATTTAATGCATCCAATACACAAATCTTCGAAGAATACGCTCTTCAATTTCCCACGACTTCAGTCCCTGTTTTCGATTCGCTCGCCCTCTGTAGAATCCCCTCAACCATCTCCCCGACCCTCAATGCGGTGCTCGCAAGGTGCCCTCGTGAATTCGCCTCCTCGCCCATTTTACCCTCATTTTCATCCTCACCAATAGCTCTCAGAGGACCAGCAAGCCATAATTCCTTCAGCTCGCGGGTCAATTGTAGGAGATCTTCCGCTGCTTGAACCTGGCCCCCTAGCCATCAGCCGAGCTCTGGATCCATCCTGGAAAGAAAGAAAAGGACGTACCAAGGCATTACTTTCCACTTCCATCTGGAATGCATGCGAAGCGGCGACCTCCTTGGTGGCGCCATCTCCAGCTGGCATTGCAGCTAGTGTGACGAGGTTCTTGTAGCGGGTGAGGAGGGCAGCCACTGCGCGTTCTTCGCGGTCTAAGAGAGAGTTAGAAGTTTGATCATCGGCATCTTTTCTCGGTAGCGATTCTAGTAAAGGGAGGTTCCCCCATGCAGGAAGAGAGGCAGGGACGCCTGACATTCCGTATTGGTCTTGGGTATCTTGGGTTCTGGTTTTCGCGCTGTTGAGGTTGCGCAAGAATGAATTGCTGGGAGGGGGGATTTTAGATGGACTTACCCAGAAGACTGGCGGTGGTGCGCTGCGCTCCTTCCATCGCACGATTAATTCACTTTGAAGAATAGATGTGTATTGAATTGAGGCGTGGAATGACAAACGGAGGTGAAGCTCGAAGCTCTTGTGGACGTTGAACCCCGCCATAGCCTCGCGCACGAGCCACACTTCACCGCCACAGACGGGTGCTCAGTTACCTGAACCCGAACGGCCAGGCCCCCTTTCCCACCGGAGCCCCCGCCATCAGCCATCTCAATCCTCACCACCCCGTTACCAGACCCGGAAGATAGTTCTACGGCCCTCGAAAAAATGCAGTCCGGAATCTCCGGTATGAATCTCCTCCCTTGTTTTAAGAATAGTTTCAACTAACTCCCTCCAAGCCTCCGAGGAGCTGCACAGCGCTTTCAAAGCTCTCGTCTCCTCATCCAACCAACGCGGCCTCCTATGCACCATAACCAAGGAGTCCCTCACTCCTTTAACAGTCCTGGAACCCGCTACCTCGTCCTTCGATGACGACCTCTCCCTCCTCACACCCCACCTCCAGCCCAATGTCGCCCTCTACATCATCCTGCGACGCTACCCCTCCGATGAGAATGCGCCCTTCATAGCCGTAACCTACGTGCCCGATGCCGCTCCCGTGCGCCAAAAGATGCTCTTTGCGTCGACACGTCTCACGCTGGTCCGCGAATTAGGGATCGAGAGGTTTCGGGAGACCATATTTGCGACTACGACAGAGGAATTGACGAAGGAGGGCTTTGAAAAACATGACAGGCATGTCAAGCTCGAGGCGCCCCTGACAGAGGAGGAGCAGAGTTTGGGAGAGGTGAAGAGAAAGGAGGCAGAAGAGGGGAGGGGCATGGGTGAGAGAAAGAGTCATGTTGCGAGTGGAGGGACTCAGCTGCCGGTTTCTGATGAAGCGGTGCAGGCCTTGAAGGGGTTGGCGGAGGGAAAGGATAATTTGGTGCAATTGGTGTGTTTTCTCTCTCTCCGCTTCCTCCTTAAGCCGACAGACTATATATATACTTACTGCTTTGTGCCCAGAAAATCAACATAGCAACAGAAACGATTGAACTAGCCTCGTCGACATCAACACCGATCTCCTCCCTAGCCTCGAGCATCTCCGCCACTGAGCCACGATACACCTTCTACCGGTATGAACATGAGTATAACGGAACCTCGTTGTCTCCCTTACTATTTATCTATACCTGTCCGTCGGGCTCCAAGATCAAGGAGCGAATGCTCTATGCATCCTCACGACGCTCAGCTCTCCAGATCGCAGAAGAGGACGCTAGGCTCAAGATTGAGAAGAAGATCGAGGCTAGCTCGCCAGAAGACATTTCTGCAGAGAGCATTGATTCGGATTTACACCCGAAGGTGGAAGTGAAGAAGGCATTTGAGCGGCCGAGACGACCAGGGAGGAAATAAGAGGTTCACAATGCGACACAGGAGGCGGATAGCAGCGGTTGAGTAAAAACTTGATTTATTGTGAGGCGCTATGCTGGTATAGGAGCCAAACAAAATGACGAATCCTGAAAGTTGGATTCAAGAATGCAACGCCTTTGCGCAGTCCGACACCATTCTATCCATACAGAGAAAATGCTTGAATCTTCTTTTTGTTTCTTATATACGTACGGTCTTCCTGCAAGTCAAGTCATCTTGCCCAAGACCATCCATCCAGACCAGACATTTGAGATGTCATCGGGGGAATCTATTTCTCGTATTTCCCGCCCACCAACGGCATTTGGCTGTTCTCCAACTTCGACTTCAAGAATTCGTAGACGGTGAACGTGACGGCTTGACCGGGAGCAACACGCATGATACGGGGGGTGATACCCTTGTAGAAAGCATGGAAACCTTCTTGCCTATATCGCAACATTTCGCATTAGCCAGTGTCTCCCTTATTTCAATTCCCCGGGGAAAAGGACGTACTTGAACATATCCTTGGCAATGGCAGTTATTCTGCTCAGGGCGGTCTCGCCGGGCTTGCCGGGGGTCTTCTGCAGTCTGGTCTTGATGGTGTCAATTGGTGCGTTACTCAGAGGGCCCATAGCTCCGGAAACAAGTCCGATGAGCGTGGTCTGGTAACTTGGGAGAGTGGTGTCATGGTACTGGGGTTGCCATCTCTGGAGGATCTCCTTGAATTCGGTGTAGGCGGTGAAGTTGACGGCTTGGTTGGATCCTATCTATTCTTTAGCAATTTCGATCTCGAGAAGGGGGCGGTTTCTGGAGTCCTACCCTGCCGTAACGCAGTCAGAGAGATACCACGGTAAAGTGCGCCAATTCCTTCTTCCTTCACCACGGTGTACAGGGCGTGTGCAGCGTTTCGGTACTTGGGAACATCAAGCGGGTCGGCCATACTATGATGCTGGGCCTGTAATCGGATCTTGATCACCTCCATTGGCGTCACAACAGTCACTGCTTCGGTCACACCTGCTGCCAGACCGGCTGAAAGGGGAAATTTGTCAGCATAACTTCAATAAACACCCAGAATTCAGATTTTTCAACGGAATGAGTCATCCGTGCTGAAATGAAGACAAAATTTCCGGGGAAAGAGGCTCGACTGCTAGGGAACCTAAGAGAGGGAATAACGAACCCAAAAATGTCGATTGTCCACTAACTTGCCCCGTCTCCTTGTTCGCAAGCAACTTCTTGTACGCCTCGAAACTCGTAAACCGAATTGCCATCTTTGGCACGATACCCGTGAGAACAGCTCCGAGACCCTTATATAAACCCAGAGGGGTTTCCTTCTTGATGATGTCTGCTCCGGTACCGATGAAGCCGCGCTTCTTCACACCCGGCGCGCGGGCTCTCTTTGAGAGTTGCATGCGGACTTTGATGGTGTCTGAAATATACTGTTAGCTTCTGAAGCCGGAAAGATAGGAAATGACGAGGGGATATACCTAGAGGATGGCATACAAGTGCCTCCATCATACCTGCTACACCTCCAGCTGTATTTCAGTCAGCACGTGCTCCAATGCCAGATTTCGAAGCACTTCCGCCCGAGCCTGGGACATACCGATCAAGTTGGTAGCTGCAGAGGCAGGCTTCTTGCCTTCTGAGCCGTTGACACTTTTGGCAGACATTTTGGGAGTAATTGAATAGTCGTGGAAGTTCTGGAGGGTTTGCGCCTATATGATGCTGTTGCCTCGGGTCAAGGGACCTTTTCCACCGCAAGCAAAAAGTTCGCACCTATGTCGGGTACGTCGTATATCTAAATGTACAGGTCTCGGGAAACAAACTGGATTCAGTGCGATCAAGGGATTCTATGCACGAGAGTCATGTAGGAAAAGGAGAGGAAAACCTAGGCGGAGAGGTGTGAGAGAGAAAGTGATGGAAAAGGCGACGTGCTAGGAGAGGAAGTAGTAGTTGAAGCTCGGTGATGTTATTTCGAACTTGTTCCGAATTCGGGTGTTCGTGCTGAGAGAGCAGCTCCTTTAACCCGGAAGGGAATGGTTGACCATGGAGCAGCGGGCGCTCAGCTTGTGATTTGTGTGATTTGTGAACGGCACTGCTTTTCCTCCAGACTTCTTTAGACCTTAGACCGGGGCAACGGAGGGGTCTGGTTGTCGGGAAGATCGAGGTACCGGTTCTGATACCCGCTGAAGAATGTAATTCCGGCCAGAGTGCCACGGGTCCACGGTCGACGGTCCACCAGAGATCTTGGTCCCCTGTTTTGCGGGAATTGACGCGGCTGTGAGGAGAGACAAGAAGAAGGCCGGGGGGCGCATCCATTGGCGGGCTCGCGGGCTTGGGGTCAGATAGATCAATGCCCGTTCTTTGACTTGTGATGAATATCATGAATATCATATGTATCATATTGGTACTTGGGCGGGCATTTGTCTCACATGCTTTTGCACTTTACAAATGACGTTTTGGGGGATGGATGCGCTGACCCGAAGGGCTCTATCATAAGCGAACTACCGAGCTTTGCATCTGGGCTCTGACTCTCTGACTCTCTGAGCCTCTGAGGGCCGCTTGTGATAATGCGGGGTGGGGTTCGAACTGCGCCGGATTTCTTTGAGCGTGTCGGAGAGAATCGGTACCGCCGTGCTGAGTCATGTGGCGGTTTGTCAGGTCTGCCGAGGTTGCGGTTCCCCGTGAAGTGCTATGACGCATGATGGTCCGCCGCCACGGATGAGTAATCAGCGGGCAGCAGGGCAGGTGACACGATCATGTGACGGCGCGTGAGCCCCTTGCATGATCGCGCTTCCAACGGGAATATGGTCCGAAGTTTCACCGAAAATAAGGAGGAAAACAGGGGGGGGTTCCCCATTTGTAACTGGCCGGCTTATAAATACGTAGTGGCCTGAGGCTGCCATACCTCCCTCCTGTTTACTATACCAGGCAGGGAGGTACTGTAACAGAAACTGTAGGCTGCGATTATGCACGTCGGTCTCGACCCGTTATATAGATAGCAGGGAAAACGCCCGAATTCCACCCGTTATATAGTAGGTAGTGAAAGCCCTCAAATTCAACCCGTTATATCCCCCTGAAAACGCCCGAATTCAACCCGTTATATGCCAGTGAAACCGCTCGAATTCTTAACGCGTTATAGAGCATCGAAGAAACCACTATGTGCCTGTCAGTAGTGCAACCCCTTTTCCTTATACTATTCACCTGTCAAGAGCCTGTAAAGCTACCTGTCGAGCCACTATAGAGCCACTTACCCCTGCTACCCGTAGAGCCGCCTACATACCTACCTAAGGTAGGTACATAGCTACTTACCCGTAGAGCTACCTGTAGGGCAACTCGTAGTGGCGCCCGTAGTGTGCCTGTTCAGGTGCCTGTCCTACCTTAATAGACTTGTTAGTTAATTGCCAACCTGCCAAAAGAGGATTCTGTTCCTTATAGGAGAGGGAAGAAAAAGGTGAATATAACTCGTCGAGACTCGGCTTCTGCCCCTATGACTAAGCATTGCACCCGCGAGAGCAAGCGAGCTATCGCAACCAACCTGTACCTTACCTACCCCTACCTATCTACCTACCTTACAGTACCTACTACCTGGGTACCTTGGGCTCCCTCAGGAATAATACCCCGAGATCATGCCTTTCATTGAAGACTCCATCCCGGTCAACCTCCGAGCGCTTGACCCAAATATGTCTCCCCGAGACTTGACTTTGATAGTCGCTGCGACCAACAGCATGGGCATCGGTAGAAGTGGCACGCTCCCGTGGACAGGATTGAGGAATGAGATGGCATATTTTGCAAGGGTCACGAAGAGAGCAAATGCCGGGGTGAGATGAGGGACACCGAGCAGCAGTTCGCTGGCTAATTGTGTCTCAGACCATCAACGCTGTTGTAATGGGACGCAAAACATGGGACAGCATCCCACCACGGTTCAGGCCACTGAAAGATCGTATGAACGTTGTCATAACCCGAGAGGTACCGCGCGGTTCGTGGACAATGGATCCCGAGAGGACAATCGCTGGGTCCATGGACGATGCTCTCAATGCGGTCGGCATGACAGTCCTTGACCGGAGGGCATTCGTTATCGGCGGCGCACAGATATATAAGGAGGCTCTTGCAAAGGCAGAAACAAAGAGGATATTGTTGACTCGGGTCCTGACCGATTTCGAATGCGATACGTTCTTCCCCATACAGTTGAATGAGGACGGCAAAGCAGAAGGGTGGGAGAGGAAGACGAAGGAGGAGTTGGATCGTTGGGTTGGAGAGACTGTCCCAGAAGGGGTGCAGGAAGAGAATGGTACGAAGTATGTCTTCGAGATGTGGGAGAGGACGTGGTGAGACAATATTGTAAGTGTTATAAGAATGTTCTTTCTAATCATTCCTACCCTACTTATTGACTCGTTTTCTAAAGGGTACCCTAGCGGACGCATCCTTGAAGGACGGACACTACGGGTCGAAGCTACAACCCAATTACATCGTCGAACAATAATCATCTAGCTTACGGACTACAGCAGTACTGCCTAAGTCACAGACCAACCCGGCCGCCAACTCCCCCGCTCTATGGTTGTTTTGATACCCCCCTTTTTAGCCTTCTCAAAACGCGCCAATTATTTCCTGGTACCAGCGAGGAAATCTTCACCGCCGTTAACAATGGGCTCGGGAGGTCTAATACAATATACCTAAAAGTATAAGAAGAATTGACACGTCCCAAAGCGGGAAGTTAAGATCACATGATAAGAAATTGGGTTATTACATTAATGACCTTAGGGTAGTCATGATTAAGAGGGCTGACCAGGTAGTTACCTACCTAAATATGAATGTGCAGCGCGAGAACTTACGCGAGTACTTCTTCAAAGTCCCAATATGATAATAGACAATGGTGATGCGTGCACAGCTTTGCTTTGTCTTTGATTACCTCCAAATCCGCTTTTCCACCCCTGAATACAAACAAGCCACTCCCATACTTCGTTCATACAAGATCCCATTAAATCACGCCCAATCTTCATTCATCATCATTCCCCCAAGATCTACCTATATCTCACCCACAATCCTCAGTCCCATATCCTTCTTCCTTGTACGTAAAATAACGAGAAATTTTGTTTTCCAGCCTCATCGAACTTCTGGCTTCTATCAGGATATTGGGAGTACCTATACAAAGCTTATATGTATATTATCGAGTATTTTGGAGAGGAGCTTAAATACAAAGGATTTCTTGGTGGTTTTAGGTGGGGATAGGGAGGAATTGGAAGATGAGAAGGGGGTGGGGGGTGTGGGGAGTAGGTAGGTAGGTAACTACCGCGCGTGTGGTTATACGTAGGTATTCGGGTGTTTGATAGGTATCATAAGGTAAGGCAAGGCGATGGTAAGCGTCTTTGTAGTAGGTATACTAAGGCGAGCATGATGCGAATTACTTGATGACTGAGAGTAAAGCAATTTGTAGCTTGGAGAAGTGAAAAGGGGCGCGGAATGTTCAAAATCAGTAGACAGTCTGAAGCGGAGAGTGGGCTCCACAACTTTGCCATATTCAAGCTATATATACAATATCCAGTGCTCAAATCCCTTGAAGTCTCAGTTGTCCATCCCTCATCGATCCTCGTCCCAGCGTCCAGAGACTTTATACTCATACATTATCTATACGCGCCGTCCCCAAAACATATATTTAAATATACAAGTCTCACTCTCCCTTTTTGCCCGATAAGTCATCTCCCTTTTGGAACGGAGCATCCATCATCGGACTCTTCAGCCGCACGACATTCGATTCATCCTTGGGGCTCGAAAACTTGAATTGCCCCGCCATTATCGCGTGATCCGGCAAGGAATCCACACTGTGCAGTAATCTCCTCATATAGCTAGTAATCTGCGCCAATTTTCTAATATCCACGTCCTCGCTGGCCTTGAAGAGGTTTCTCCAAATAGCAGACGCGAGCACCGCATCTCCCTTCACCACGCCCTCGTCGTATGCCGCGAGCAAGCCTCTCCACTGGATATATATGTCTTTGAGGTACTTGTTCCGCATACCGCGTGAGTGCATAGCGTGATCGACGGCCATCTTGTTCTCGGCATCGTAGAAAAAGTGATCGAGAAGGTGTTGTTGAAAAGGTTGAGCTTGCGCGCCAGGAAAACATCGAAATCGCGCAGCCAGAACATACATGTGTAGCATCGTAACTTGCGACCATGTACTGAAGGTTGGCTTCAATCCCAACTCTTCGAGGTATTAGTCAGTCAGGGCTCTCCTTCCGTAATATGTTTTGGGGGGGGGAATCCGTACCAGTGTGCCACCAACCCTCTCCAACTCCAAGATCCTCCCCCTCTTCCGTCTTGGGTATCTCGGCATTGTCATCTTGTGCTTGCGGGATGCTGTAGTCTGCCTGCACTGCACATTCTCGGTACAGCACTTCTGTAACACCATAGGCCGTATATGTCGTGAATTTGTTCTTGAGCGTTGAAACCAAAGGCTCCGCGGCTTTCGGCGCGGGAGAAGAGGCCGTTGCGCGGTTCGCCGAGGCGGGAGCGGTTGAGCTTGCTGGCGTCGCATTTGGCTCGGGATGCTCTGCATATCGTGTGGACGTCGTTGCGAATGTTCGATCAATGAATCTTGGAGTCTCGAGGGGAAATTAGATTTGTTTCCATTGCAAGAATTGGTGTACCTACCCTGTAACTTGATCGTGTTTGTCTCTGGACTGCCCGAAGGCATGATGCACAAGTTTTTGAAGCCATTGGATTGTACAATGTGAACCGTATCCTGAAAGTTTGGGAGAATTCCGTATACCTAGAAGTTCCACGCTTCAAAGCTCGTGATATTTCGCTGATGTCCATGAATAAAATGTACAGGGATGTATATTTAGCGCCCGCTTCGGACTAACGTTTATCCATCCCCTTTCTCTGCCGACTACATTTCGTTCCGCTGCTTCTTGCGCCCTTATGTGTGATCCATGCCCGCTCAGGATCGACAGTAGCATCCTAGCATGCGGTAGAATGTAGATTCCCACCTCGTTTGCGGATCGGGTCATTGGAGATTTGGTATAAGATTTCTGGAGAAACTTGTGACTGGGGTCTTTGGCATGGTAAGCTAGTCTAGTAATGGTCTAGACTGGTTTAGACGAAGCTTAAAGTCACCACGGAAAATTACATAGTGTAGAACTCCAACAGAACATGGCTCAACAATGCGACGAGTAGTAGTGACAGGCCTCGGTGCCATTACTCCCCTAGGCGTCGGTATTCGTCGAACCTGGAGTCGACTCCTCGCCAGTGAGTGTGGCATTGTCAGCATCGCGGATCGCGAACCTGTGGCTCGATGGAGGGAGCTTCCCAGCAAGGTCGCTGGAATAATACCAGAAGGCAGTAAGGACGAAGGGAAATGGAAAGCTTCTGATTGGTTGGACAATGGGGAAGAACGTCGAATGGCCAGGTTCACACAGTATGCCATCGCTGCGACGGAGATGGCCCTGAATGACGCTGGGTGGAGACCACAAAAACAGGAGGACAAAGAGATGACAGGTATCTGTCTCGGCAGTGGAATTGGAAATCTCGAAGAGCTCTATAATACAAGTGTAGTCTATGATAAGGCAGTGAGGCCCAATTGATTATGTTCCATGGAGACTCTGCTGAGAGATGGCGTAGGGATATAAGAAAGTTTCGCCACTTTTCGTTCCCCAACTTCTGATCAATCTCGGCGCGGGGCATGTTTCGATGAAATATGGTTTACAAGGGCCCAATCATGCTGTCACCACTGCTTGCACAACCGGAGCACATGCTATTGGTGATGCTTCAAGATTCATTGCATTTGGAGATGCCGATGTAATGATTGCTGGAGGGTCCGAGTCTTGTATTCATCCCTTAGCTCTCGCCGGGTTTTCCAGATCTCGATCACTGGTGACGGCCTACAACGACAAGCCTTCTTCCTCTTCTCGCCCATTCGATCGTGATAGGGGTGGATTTGTGATAGCTGAAGGCGCAGGTGTTGTCATACTTGAGGAGCTGGAACATGCCAAAGCTCGTGGAGCTGAGATCTATGCTGAGGTACGAGGATACGGATGCAGTGGTGATGCGCATCATGTGACTGCACCAAGAGACGATGGTCATGGTGCTTTCTTGGCAATGAAGAGAGCGCTGAAGAATGCTGGGGTACGACCCAAGGAAGTCGATTATATCAACGCTCATGCGACGAGCACACCACTTGGCGACGCTGCTGAAAATTCTGCCATACAAACTTTAATGCTTGGTGAAGAGGGTTTTGACACCGCGAGCCAGATTTCTGTCAGTAGCACGAAGGGTGCTATTGGGCATCTTTTAGGAGCGGCTGGTGCAGTCGAAGCTATCTTCTCCATTCTGGCAGTCAAAGACGTAGGAAATTCCATATACACGTTCGTTCTAGTTGCTAACATATACCTAGAATACAATACCACCCACTTTGAACCTTCACAATCTGGATGAAAAGTTCAATTGCAACTACACACCCTTGGTATCCCGTCAAAAGGAGGTTAATGTATCATTATCGAATAGTTTTGGATTCGGCGGCACCAATGCCTCGCTGGTGTTCTCGAAATACAGATAATAATCCATGCAGATATTGCATAGTTCATGAGAGGATCCCTTTGGAATTTTTGATACTTTTTCCCTCTCAATTGTCCGCGTGGAATGCCACTACGATTGATCTTGGCCATATCATCTCCTCGAAAAATTTCAGGTGTTCAAGGTCTCAGGCTCTTTTCAAATTCGAGTTTGGCCGCCATAGAGCCCTTCTTAGGCCGGTCTCAGCTAGGTCCCAGAGGCGCTTGTGAGATATGCAGTTGAAATCAAAAATGGAAGCAGAAATATTCAGGTAAATTTTACCAGCCTCATTCCCATCTCTTATTAGACATGGCTTTGACTTCTTGCTGTACTAGAATATGACTTTTGCAGGTCTGGGAACTACAGAGATAATAAGATATTTAAATAAAATTCGCAGCCTCGTACTTCCCGCCAAAAATACGACAACCTTCACTTGTCCTCGACTTCTCGCCGAACTCATACTAGTCGAGTGAAGACCTGAATGAGAACACGTCGTTCAACTTCCCAAAATCGCTGTCATCTGGTAATAGGTCTGCCCTAACCTCCACAGGCTGTCCACCATGCTTCATGAAGAAGTTCCCTTGACTGAGGGGCAGTTTCGCCCGCAAGGTATGATTTGGATACCATTGCGCCTATTTCGTCTCCTAGTCAGCTTACAATAACCAAGTGATATATTTTCACTGTCCAAGCAAATAACTTCTGATTGTCACGAGGAGGATTGACTAAAGAGCGGATCATACCTGATAACCCAGCGCAATCATAATTCTATATTGATCAGATTCATTGGGCATTCCAGCATGCCAAGTCCTCAGGTCTCTCAACATGATATCCCCTTTCTCGCAGGTCGGCTGAATTGGTGGCCTAATTTTTCTCCTCTCCTCCACGACCTCTGGTCGCACGAAGGTATTTGGCTCTCCCACCCTTAGCTTTGCATTTGCTAACTTTGCTTCAGGTGTCGCAAGGACTTGATCGGCTCCGCTTGTGGAGGCGTGGGATCCAAGCCAGAACTCAGTGGAGCCAGTGGCCGGGCTGAACGGACAGAGGGGAACGTTAGCGATAACAAAAAAGGGGCACTGAGACATGGCTTGTCAGTGAGCGGTTGGGACGGAAGCATCGAGGGGTGAGCACTTGAGGGTGAAAGAATGTGATGTCTTTATGAACCGGCTGTCTCAGGCCATGAGTTCGAGGCAAGGCATTATTGCCCGTGACGAAGGCCCAGATGGGATTCGCACCGAGGTAGCTGGGTCCCATCAGTATGGAAGCTTGAGGACGGACTACGGAGGACGAACGCATTCATGAGCTGGATAACAAATGGATTGAAGAAAACATCGTCATAAAGATAATCGGGATCTTTCAAAGGAGGAGCCTGAAGAAAGTTCGCTGGCCGTCATCAGCTTCTATTTACACCGAAAGAGACGTATACGCTGTACACTTTACCCCCTGGTTGAATGGCTTTGAATTGTTCTTGACTATCTCATCTGCTTCTTTACTCATGTACGAGTTCAGACTGTCCACATGCGCCACATCGACCACGGACTTGAGGACGACGAATCCATCTTGATGCAACGCTTCAAGCGCAGCTTGCACATTCGCAGCGTCGTATTTACAGTTCTTCAATTCTGATGGAGTTGCTCTTATCTGTCGCGGAGGTTCGGCCTGGCCAACAGGCTGCGACGAAATGGTAACCATATTCACAAAGGTCTCTACTTTTTCCGTGGTGACTTCGCTGACAAAGAATCTATTATCTGTCTGATCTTGCGAATAGCATCAATTTCCAGATAAGAACGCTCTATCGAGGATTGCGGGGTTGGAATGTTATATAAGCAATTCTTCGGAGATCCGAGCCAGGCGAGCGAGGCCGTCGGCTACTTTATTTTACTTAGTTACTACTATTTTCCTGATAGTGGGGATATCAGGGCTTTGATACTGGACATGTGCAGGGAAACAGGGATGTTTGATAAAGTCAAAAGAACGGACAGATAGTCCCAAAGAGGAAGCTGGCCACGATCCAACAGCTGTGGCACTGACCTGGGCCGCGTCAAGAATCCACCACAGTCCGCTGCTCACTGGACGACCGGCGAGCTCGAATCCCAGACGATGCGGGGCAGGCCATGCCAGTCCAGGAAAACTTCAACGACCCTGGACTCCTGGAGGCTGGAGCTGAATACCTTAGGGTTGCTGTTGCTGGTCAGTGGTAGCTTATCTTCTCGCAGTCGCGCTCTGTCCACAAAATCCGCGTCTATTCCTCGGAAAATTCTCTCTCCAGGAGGAGTCGAGCAGGACAGCAATGCGACTTATATGACCTGAGGATATTCTTGCCTCCTCTCGGGCCAGCGACGCTACCTTCTCTACCCCGCAATACCAAGCAAAGCGGACCTCAAAGCCATCATGCGCGCGGCCGAGCTTAGGACTCTGGCTGCTGCCAAAGCCACCACATTCGTGAACGCATTTAAAAGTCGCGAGGGTTTCAAATATTTCATTGAAACGCGCGATACTACCCTCGGCCAGCATGGCGACCCAGATTCAAGGCATATTTGGAGCAACGAAGATTTGGACCCAACTCCACCAGAAAAGGTAGCCCGAGTCCTCCAGTCCGGAAACGCATTCCTGACTTGACACGCAGAGAACTTGGCGATGGTGGAATTATGTCACATTTTATATGGGCTTGTCATTTGGAAATTGGACACTGGGCAGCACCATGGTTGGAATTGGCCTGAATTGGTGGCAGAGCATCCTCGTGATCTTTGGTAGTCAGACCATCTCGTCTATTGCTATGTTCTTCAACTCCAGGTGTGCAAGTGTGTACCACATTGGATATCCGGTCGTGGCACGCAGTGTCTTCGGTATGTGGGGAAGCTATTACTTCGTCGCCGCGAGAGCTGCACTGGCAATCATTTGGTATGGGGTTCAGCGTGAGTGCTTTTTCTTGCTTCTCGCTATTTAACGTCTCATTTACTCTTGAATAGTTTATTCTGGAGCAAGCTTTATGTCGAATATCCTTCGCTGCATCTTTGGACATAAATACACCGACATACCGAACCATATCCCAGCTTCGATTGGAATAACGACCGCGGGCATGCTGTCTTTCTTCCTATTCTGGCTCGTCCATTTTCCATTCTGCGCCTTCCGCCCTTACCAGCTCCGATCATTCTTCTGGTTTAAGTCCATAATTGTCCTTCCAGCGGTGTGGGGTCTATTTATCTTTTGCATGGCCAACACGAAGGCCAACCTGGGTTCTGTCTTCCCTTCCACCTATTCTGGCAGCAAGGGCTGGTTCATAATGTATGCCATTAACAGTGGAATGGGAAATACCGCGACGCTCATTACCAACCAGCCCGATATTGCAAGATGGAGTAAAACCAAAACGGGAGCGCAATGGTCTCAGCTTATCACAAATCCGATTGCGGTAACGGTTTCGGCATCCCTTGGTATCCTCTCAACAGCTGCAATCAACAACAGCTGGGGGCTTAATCTCTGGAACCCGTGGGATTTACTTGAGGCTATCCTTGATAGATACTGGTCTGGAACCACGCGGTTCGCAATTTTCCTACTGGCTTTCTGTTGGATGGTGTCCCTCCTGGGAACCAACATTGCGGCCAATATGATCCCGTTTGGATCCGACAGCAGCATGTTACTTCCACGCTATATCACCATTCCTCGAGGACAATACATTGTGGAGTTCTTGGCGTTCGCAATCTGTCCATGGAAAATTCTCAGTTCAGCTTCGGTGTTTACCACCTTCCTTTCCGGATATGGACTCTTCATGGCCAGTGTTGTTGCCATTATGGTTTGTGATTGTGAGTCATCCATCTTACCTTGCAGTATATAGATGGACCAGTACTTATCATCCCCTTCAGATTATCTTCTTACAAAAGGAAACGTGTTTGTTGGACAACTCTACCATGGATCTAAAGCAAATAAGCACTATTATTACCATTACGGTTGGAACCTTCAAGCCGTCTTCGCCTATCTCTGTGGGATAGCTCTTCCATTTCCAGGTTTCGTTGGGACCCTCGGTGCCAACGTCTCAACCCAGGCAACAGAGCTAGGCCGTCTAGGCTGGCTCTTGTCGTTCTTCGTCAGTTTCGTGGTGTATTATGTGGTTTGCATTATCTGGCCAACCAAAAACCAGAGGTTGATCAAGGAGATGGGTCTCAAATTTGAAGAACAGAGTACGGAAACATTTACTGCATCAGACGGAACCGTGATTGTGGAAGAGGGGAAGGTGGTCCGGGAGAGAAGCGAAAATTCTGATGGTGAGGGAGTTATTCGGGAGACATATGGCGTGCAGAAGAACTTTTAAGACCATTTAGTCAGACAGATCTCTCACAAAATATAATCACTAATTTTTAGGCCTCTTCAATTTTACAGAATATGACTGTAGCTCAATCAAGGCCCTAAATAGAAAAGAACAATCTGAATCCTCTTTGAGTAAGAACAGAGGAAGCGTGCAATCTTAACGAATAGATACTGTCTTAGAACATTTCTGCCATAGGGCCCTCTTACCATGTTGTACCCCCTTTGATCGGACTCATTGCAACTCCCACCGCCAATATCAAAGCGGTGAAGACCGCACCACTCTTTCGCCCTAATTGTCCCTATTATGAAAGCATTAGAGGCGCGAGTACATACCCATAGAGAGATCAGGCCATAAATCTCCAAAAATCAAAGATAGACTGCCATTACTCGAGGAATCAAAGCCGTCGGAACCAATGGCCAGGCCAGACAAAACGAGCGTACGCGTCAGCGAGAGCTTGGAATAAATTGTCAGTTCCGCGGGGAATTGGTTTCCATCCTCTGTCTCATGACTCTCATCTGACCCGATTGTGAGCCCAGCAACCTCGCCGATGACCTCGCCGACGGCCTCATTCTCGAGATATGATACTGGGACTGGAGGCTTGATAAAGGACATATTATCTAGAAGTCCTGGGCTGACGGGAATGATAACCTCCTCCCTACTACCCAAGGGACCGGCACATACTTATCTACCCTATCTCGGCCGAGATACGCCCCATGAAGAAGGTACATAGATCACCTTACAAAGTGAGTCTATATCGATTATCTGTGCATCCGCGTAGCGGGAATATGACGCGTATAAGCGCTAATCAAGATTCCCCGGGTTCCCCCACTTTTCCTGTCAAATCCCTGGGGTCTCTGTAAACCACCAGCTTCGGATGTCTTGACAGATAACAGCGCTCCTCGATCAATCCCCACAAGCAAGATGAATGTCATATTCAAGTCTGCGAATTGGGATACTATCCACGAAACGCGAGCTCCATCTCTACAGCTCAGAGCTAAACGATGTTTCGCCGCAGCCATACTATGTGCAAGCACTCTCTTCCTGGTAATTCCACGCTGGGGATTTTCTGCTAGATCAGTCTCTCAAACTCACAGCTATATAGATACTCTCGGCTCTGGCAAGGCAGCCCATTGCTTTGGACTACGCCAGAGGATCGTTTTGTAGAGTTTCAAGAATGTTCCATCAAAAACTTGCTGAGTACCGAGCTGAAATTTCTCGATTCTGCATCGCCATTACCATTGGATGAATTTGTCCAACGCAGGACCCGTCTTGCAGAAGCGCTCGTTGCAGACCATGTTGATGCTTTTGTCGTTGAACCGGGCTATACCTTCCAGTATTACAATAATATAAGTCAAAAAGACTGGGAGGTATGGGAACCCGAAGAACGTCCCTTTCTGATGCTTGTTCAACCGCAAGTGGATCTTACCACGGGAACCGTAAACGCAATAACCAAATTTCTTGCTCCGAGCTTCGAAGTTGAAAGAGTAAAGATGTTAGGAATGCCATTCAAGGAAGACATCGCCATTGTCCCATGGGAAGAACACTGGAATCCTTACGAGACACTGAGAAGGTCGTGGACCCAGTATCCTGTGACTGAAGAGGAGGTGACTGATGAAAGATATGCCCCAAAAATCATGGTAGATGAAGAGATGAGAGATTTCATCCAGAGAGGCCTTGGTGAGAATGGTTTCGACGTCGTGGGACTTGGTGGCGAGGTTGAGAGAGTAAAGCAGACGAAATCCCCAATGGAGATCGAAATTATCAGAGCAGTCAACACTGGGACCGTGGAAGCCGTGCGGGCAATGCGAGAGTGCATGTATCCCGGCTTAACTGAGAACCAAGTAATGGAAGTTCTGGATAATACGCTTAGAGCTGCAGGAATGGAACCCTTTTTTGACATTGTCCTGTTCGGTGAGTAAAATCCGAACGAACCAGGGATTCGGTGTCCCTGGTCAGAGAAAGTTGAAAAAAAAAACCGCTGACACAACTGCAGATGAGGATGCATCAAACCCACACGGTGGGACAGATGGAAGCAAAGCTCTGGAAGCACAAACCTTTGTCCTGATTGACGTTGGGTGAGTATACCAATATCCCATAAAAAAAAAAATAATAACTGATAACTTACAGGGCACATCTATTTGGCTACTCCTCCGATATCTGCCGTACATTTTTTCCACCTTTTTTTCCAAAGCCGACCCCCAGCTCGTTCAGCGCACTCCCACTCGGAATTCAAGAAAAGCTTCGTGTTTGGGCCATCGTGTTCGAAGCTCAAACTCAGTCTATGCAGGCGATGCATGCAGGAAGCGCAGCCGCAACGGTTGATATCGCCGCAAGGAAAGTTATTACTGATGCGGGGTATGGCACTGCCTTTACTCATCGCGTAGGTCATGGGATTGGCATAAAAGCTCACGAGAGTCCATATCTGAACAAAGGAAATCTGAACGTAACATTGAGAGTAGGTATGACGTTTACCTCCGAGCCCGGGGTTTATCTTGTGGATAAGTTTGGGGTTAGGCATGAGGATATTTTACTTGTGAAGGAGGACGGCGAACCTGAGATTTTGACTGGGAAAAGGGCCTCGGGACCCTGGGATCCGTGAGCTAGGAAGGGAGTTAAACTTTGCCGAGATATTGCCTCCAAGGCAGTTCCAGGAATCCGGGTTGCAGGCCCCCCTTTTATCTTGAGCCCCCTTTTATGAGATAAAAAAGGGGGTTAAGCGAGGCTAGAAAGCCATACGATGAAGAGACCCATTTCTCACCAACAAACAGGAGTCAACGCTTGTTGTGTTATCAGGTCAACCTATAAAACAAATGATACTGCCCTGTACTCAGTGACATTTCATGACTCTTTGTTTCTAGGCATCCAACATCTCACGCCGACGTTTCTGTTTCTGTGGCAATCTTTCTTCTCCAGACAAGCATAGGGAATTTGCTTCGTTTTGGGAAGGAAGATTGGTTCCTAATAACGTATTTCTGTAGAAATATGTGGGAAATCGGAGGATTGCAAAGCTGTGAGCCTGTGGCTTCCGAATGGAATGGCGGCGCGCCCTCGGATCAGCACTGGCGACCAACTGAGTACTACTGCCACTTCTGGGAAATTCAAATCCCGTTATCGGTGTTTTTCTAGAGATTACTACCTCCGTAGAGACTTGAAAAATCGGGGATCATGATCGAAACTGTTCGAATCAAAGGGGGAACATCATGTGACTTGCTTCAAGTTCAATATGTGTTTGAATCCAAGGTACAATACGGTGAACGCAGAGAAGCCTAGATTTATATGAGCTGAACTGGAGTGAAAAGAGTTGAATCAAGTCTAGGTATGTGCCAACAGTACGTGAAAATACTGCTCCTTACATAATGCGGACTAAATGACCCTATACCGAATCGGGCTTTCGACAATATCGATCCTCCAAGTCACCGTGGATGATGAGGGTCATATGAAGGAATGATTGAATTTTCCGGCTTGTTGGCTTAGCCACCGTAAACTTCAAAAATACCTGTCGAAGATTTTCGGTTAAAAGTGGCCCGTTAGGACAGCCTGACCTAGAGAACAGATCAACCCTTCATATAATTTACCTTACAATGCCTAGAATCGAAGTGGCCTCTGTCTAAGCGGTAACCCTGCGGCTCATTATATTAGATGGAGAACGCAGCTAATATTCTCTCTGACATTTCTACATGACGGGAGCCTTGCCTTTCCGTCGTGATGAAAGCCTCCTCGACACGTCAGCGAGCATGCTCAGATGCCATCCCAACCAGCTTCGCCTACTTAGCTATCCAACCAGAATACAAGCAAATGTTTGACTGTTGCGGCTGAAAGCCATTCCCAAGACCGTGTAGCTCACCCACAAAATGGGTAACGCGGATCTGCCTGCTCGTACTGTCTGGACGAGGCTTTGAAGCTTTCCTATAGCTGCAGAACTGCAGCTCATGCACACCTGCCACTTTCCATCGTTGTCCACAGCGAATACTTTGAAAGTTATCGTGGACAGGGAGCAACTCCGCACGCCTAGAAATGGCCACAGACCCTGACAACGCTGCCTGCTCTAGAATTCTTTCCCTGGATGGTTGGAGCATCGTCGATGACTCGCAAGGCTGTGCTCACACAACCCAATATAACCTGACATTGCTGCCCAAATGATCATATCTAGAAGCTATCTACCTTTGCCATCGGTTATAGCGAAATCCTCTGAAACATCGTTACTTGTAGTATCTGCTTCATTGCAACCATGAGTGCTCTCGAATGCAGCTCAAGTGACTCGGACGACAATAACAATCCCGCTCCGCCACTTCGAGGGGCTAAGTCGAAGTCCAAGAAGAAGAGGTCTCTACCACCTCAGGAGACCATCAACAAAATATGGTCTCGTTTCTCCGCCTCGAGGTTCAGCAAGGCAACTGTGATTCTGCCGCAGATCTCCGGCTCTTCACAAACCGTCGCACCCTCTAACCCTCGTCCGAACAACCTACTGGTTTCTGAGGATTTTGAAAGAGCGGTGCTAGAATGCCGGACTAGGGTCAGGAAACTTATAAAGGAGTGCAAGAGGGTGAATATGCGATACCGCGATCCAGATTTTGACATCGACTGGGATCTGAAGTGGGAGAAAGGGCACTGTCTCAACGGACTTGTAGACCCCAAGTTCGAGATAAGTAGGCACGCATTTGAGAGTCCAACTTCGATGGTACCGAAAGCTGTGAAGAGGGTTCATGAAATATTCAATAAGCCGACATTCTTGAAAGAGAAGATATCTCCAGCTGATGTTATGCAAGGCAATCTCGGCAATTGCTGGTTGATGGCCAGTCTGACGGCTTTGGCGAATATGGAGGTTGGCATTCAAAGGATCTGCGTTGAATATGACACAAGTGGGTATCTTGTAAATTTCTGGAGATATGTACTAATTGAGATTCCAGAAATTGGCATCTACGGATTTGTATTTCATCGAGGTAAGTTCAAAACTGAAATGATGGAGATGACGCGTGAAGATTCTCGACGGGGGCCGCAGTAAGAAACAACCCAGAAATTTTCAGTGATTCCGATTGATTTTTCAAATATAAACTGGGTGTAGCCAGCTATCTCTGCTCTATTAATCTGACATTAAAGTTGTCTTGTTGAAGCTACTTACTTTTCAGATTTTTGCTGAAAAAACCCTCTCTAACTTCCTTCAGATGGCGAATGGATAATATCCATAATTGACGACAAGCTGTATCTTAAATCACCAGATTGGGATTCACCATCCGTTCAACGTCATTTGCTAGAGCAAATCGACCGAGAAGATGTTGAGAAAGAGTATCGAATGACTTACCAGACCGGGTCCCAGGCCTTGTTCTTCGCGCATTGTCGGGACCAGAACGAAACCTGGCTACCCTTGTTGGAAAAAGCATATGCAAAAGCACATGGTGATTATGCTGCATTGTCAGGAGGCTGGATCGGGTATGAGTTACATAAAATGCCAGATGTTTGAAGGCTGACGTTTGGCAGTGAGGGACTAGAGGATCTCACCGGTGGAGTTACAACAGAACTCCTGACATCCGATATCCTGGACACTGACGAGTTCTGGGATAATGAGATTCTCAAGGTCAATAAGGAGTTTCTGTTTGGATGTTCCACCGGCCTTCTTGACGGCGGCTATGGCAGTAGAGATGGTATTACTGAAGGCCATGCCTATGTGATCATGGACGCTCGGAATCTATCCACCGGGGAACGACTCGTAAAGCTTAGGTAAATTAACAACAAGCATTTTGGGAATCATCATCAACTAACAGGTATAGAAATCCGTGGGGCAAAGGCAAGAAGGGTAATTGGGAAGGGCCCTGGTCCGATGGGAGCAAAGAATTCACACCCGAAGCTCAAAGAGAATTAAGCCATAAATTTGGCAACGACAGCGTATTTTGGATCTCTTTCGAAGATCTCCTCCGCAAATATCAACATTTCGACCGAACACGGCTGTTTATGGACTCTGCAGGTTGGCGCGTGACCCAGAAATGGATCAGTGTAGAAGTACCCTGGCACGCCAAATTCGAGGAAAAGTTCCAGATCATATTAACGAAGGAATCACCTGTTGTATTAGTCCTCAGCCAGCTCGATGACAGATATTTCAATGGACTGCAGGGACAGTATAGGTTCAGACTACAATTCCGGTTGCATGAAGCCGATTCTCCTGGCGAAGAAGACTACATTGTGCGAAGCCACGGCAATTATCTGATGGAACGCAGTGTAGTTACGGAGCTCAAGAGCCTCAGAGCGGGCACATACTCGGTTTCTGTCATGGTAGCGGCTGATAGAGATATAAACATGCCGTCCGTCGAAGATATTGTCAAGGAACAATGCCAGCAAAAAGTTGACAATGATAAATTGGCTCAGGTTGGAATGGCGTATGACTTCGCTCATAGCAAAGGAACTGCACACATGGAATCTAGAGCTACCGCCCGCCGAGCGCAGGAAAAGAGAGAGGCGAGAGAGGCCCGGATCGCAATTCGAAGAAAAAACTGGGAGAAGAGGCATCTGACTAGAGATATTATTCGAAAGCAAGAGAAGAAAAATCGTGAGAAGCGGGAGTTAAAGCAGTCTAAGGACGCCGCAAGAGCCCGGGAGAAAGAAGAAAAGGGTCCAAAAGACGCGGCTGTTCAAACAGAGGACGTCAAGGAGGTGATTGAAAAGGAGGGCCAGGAGGGCCAGGACGCACAAACCGAAGCGCCGCCAAAGCCTGCCACAGAGTTGGAAACACAGTCTTTGAATGGCAATGGTCAGGGAGTACAAACCGACAACATGTCCACTTCATTCATCGAGTCTCAGGGTACACCCGAAACGCCCAAGAGCGGCCTTAACACTCCACCATCACACATAACCATCCCTATCCACTATCAAGGAGGGCCGCCCGCGCCAGAGCCACCTTACAGGTCACGCCAAAGTAAAGACTCATCGACCCAACGCTATCCACGGAGTTTGCCTCAACATAGCAGATATATCACCTCTGATGGCGAGTCAAGCGCTAGTCCTATCTCTGATTCCGATGATATGTATAGCGACAACGACTCGACACTCAAGCCAAGGCCGGTCAACTCCCAGACCTCTACTGCTAATAAGAAGGTCAAGGAGAGTGATGAAGACGAGCCAGAGCCATGGAATGCGGTTTGCATTGTAGGACTCAGAGTGTATAGTAAGGATGAGGGGCTGGAAGTTAAGGACTTTGAGGAGGGTATTGATGATTTGGTCAAGATAGATGAGAAGAAAGAGGAGGAAGACGGGATGGATGGGACAGATGCGGATGTTGAGGATCATGGGGATGGGAAGGATGGGGAGGATGATGAAGTGGTGAATGAGAAGAAAATGGATGTGGCTGGGAAGTAGAATGATAATGTGGGAGGTGAAAGAGGGTAAGGGAGAAGAGCTTAAGAGCTCAAGCTTCCAATTGAATCGAATTCTGATGGCCCATCATGATTAAAAAAAGAAAGGGGGAAGTCCTGGTCTTGCGTTAAGCGGGGGGTACTCTATCTTCGAACGGCGGGGCTGGGATACCTCAAAACAACCCTCTTGTCTCTGGCTACGAAGACAGGGAGATATGTCATTTTTAAGATGGTTGAGCGCGTAAGAATCTTTTGTTCTGTTCAATTTGCCCAGGCTCTATATGCCTCTCTTGTATTGTATTAATATGTGCAAAACATCCATCTATAGGGATGATTTTGAAGATTTCCTGTCTCTAATCACTTGACGTGAGGTAGTAGAAAGCCCATATCAAAAAGGCACTGGAGAGGATTCAAGCTAAAACAGAAGTTCGTGTAAATTCATAGCATAGCATAACCAGGTATGTTCAGGTCGCCAGCTTCAGCCAGGAAATACAACGCAAAGATTTCAAGCTTTCTCTCCCTGTATCGTGGCCACCACTTTCCGTTGATGCTTACTTGCTCTGAACTCCAAATACCAAATTCCCTGCCACGTCCCAGTCGCTAACTTCCCATCTTTTATCGGAATCGTGACACTCGCTCCAATCAAGGCGCTCTTGATATGTGCCTGTAGTTCTCACCTGTTAGCATTATCCCCGACCTACATCTTAAATGCGCATTCGGATTCCATCCGAATGGCGAACACAGAGGAATGTATACATACAGGCATATCATCCAACCCCTCGGCACTATGCCTATACAAATCGCCCTTGCGATCTTCTGGCGCGATGCGATCCAGCGCATCACTCATATCGGCCCTAACATCCTCATCCCAATTCTCGTTCAGACTCAGCGCGCATGATGTATGCTGGATGAACAGGTTCAGCAACCCCACTTTGTATGATTTGATTTCGGGAAGTTGTGACACGATGGAATCGGTCACCAGGTAGCTGCCCCGCGATTTCGGGGGCAGCGTGAGCGACTTCTGGAACCAGGACATATTATTGCTGCGACTGGCTGGTGGAAGGGGAACTGGAGACGGAGAAGGGTGGGCGAGGTAGGTGAGTGGTGAGAGGAGGTGGAGCGGTATTGACCAGCTGTATTGGCCGGGTTAGCACAGGCACTGAGACGTAAACGACGATAGGAAACTCACAATAAATGGAACAAGCTCGGAAATAATGCGAGCAGAAGTAGGAGCAGAAGCAGAATTGTTATGTTTCCCGATGTAGCGGTTGAGTTTCCAGGTTGCATTTTTTGGAGGTTATCTGATATTCTGTTTTGGCGGGGCTTGGACGTCATAGGCTTGGGTGGAGCGAGCAGGGGCTTCAAGTTGTCTGATATTCGTCCTTCTTGCTTTGTCTTTTGTACATTTTACTTTCTCACTTATTTATCTTCTTCGAGCTTTGATTTGGATTCTGTATAGAAGTTCTTTGATTCCTTGCTAAAGCGAAAGCTAAACAATATAGACTCCGTAGTATATCCCCCCCCCCCCAAAAAACCCAAACCCAAAAAAGTAGGAAGAGCCTCCAGCCAACACCATGATAGTTCCCGGTGCACTGAACCCTCTGAGAAAAAAAAGGAAAATTGCCCATAAGCAAATTAGGCCTGCACCAGACCGGAGCAAGAGGCTCCTTGACGGAAATCAGAACCTATTGTCGGCACAGGCCAAGTAAAATCCTTTACCATAAAGGCCACCCCCCCGATATCATGTCTAATTCCGTTATATGCCATACCATGAATGGTGATTTCACCACCCACTCTGATTTGCCTTAACTGGTCCTATTCCACCATTGGCCCAGCTTCCCCCAGACATAGCCGTCTCGGTGCCCCACACAGGATTGCCTCCATTACCACCGTTCGAACTGACCCAATTATGGCTCGAATTACCGTTTGCAACTCCACCCCAGGAGGTTTGATTATTGCTGTTGGAATTGTCATTCCCTCCACCCCAGGAATTGCTCGTATTATAACTACCTGGGTTATTCCCCCCGGCTTGAGTGCTCTGGGCGGCAGACATATCACCCCATGGAGCTGGGTTCGCAGGTTGGCCCCAAGAATTGTCATTACTTCCTCCATTGTTGATATTAACCGGGCTTGAGGGGTGGTTGTTGTTGGACGGCTGGCTTCCCCCCCAGTTGGTATTGTTGGTATTAGGCTGATTATTCGAGTCATTTCCCCATGGATTGTCGTTGTTAGATTGGTTATTGTTCGGGCTATTCCAGACATTGTGCGACTGCTGATTATCGTTTGATGCATCTCCCGTTGCCCCTCCTCCGCTATACGAGTTGTTATTGTTGGGGTTATTATCATTGAAGTTTTGGGTGTTGTCTCCCCAGCCAGTGTTCCCATCCCCACCGAAGTTACTCGTCTGGCTTGACTGGTTGTTATTGTCAGCCCAGCCCGAAGTAGTGTAATTGCCGTTCGAAGCCTGGTTATTGTCGTTATCCACCCAGCCAGAGCCAGAAGTCTGGTTTGAAACATTTTTATTCCATCCCGATCCAGAAGCTTGATTGTTGGTATATTCACCATTTGGCCAACCACCAGGCATACTACCCCCTTGCTGAGTTGACATATCGACCCAACCAGTATTGCCTATAGGCGAGCTATATGATGGCTGCTGATATTGGGGCATAGGGGTTTGCATTGAGGGCGGCCCACCGAACTGGGAAACTTGAGGCGCGAATGTACCGATAGGTATCTGATCTGCGGGAGTTGGAATGAGGGTAGTGTAGGGATTGCCGTACACTGTGCCATGGTAAACTCGTAGGATACCGCTTTGCAAATCGAAGAATGCATTTGGGCGCGGATCAGAAGGGCACTCAATCACATCCTCCCGGAGAATGACCGTCGCTCTGCGGGGTTGTATCATTCGAGCTACCATATTTCCGTTTTGATCCAAAAGGCGTACTCGAGATCCACGTCTGGTTTGCGTTAAAGACGAGTTGTTGTTACTCGGATTATTCCTCAGGTTCTGGGGGCGATTGTTCTGGGGGCGATTGTTCTGAGTTTGCCGAATACCTTGGGCGATATGGTTTTGGTTCTGTTGTCTTCCCTGGTTGTTTTGCTTGTGCTGATTCTGAGTTCTATTAGGTTGGTTCTGATTTCTCGCCTGCTTGTCTCTCCCGTGGGATTCACTCAGACGGCCATTGCATCTAGGGCATGAGTGATGCATAGAATCCTCACTGCTAGTTCCATTTGAACCCCTTCCCTTACCACCACTCTTTAGTGAAGACTTCCGCTTCTCCTCTTTGAACCGGACCTTCTTGGGCGGGGTTGAAGTCCGGCTGCTACCAGACGAAGTCTCTGAGCGTCCGCACTCAGAATCACTCGTTTCCACATGGACAATGACACGTCTGTGTGGAGACCTCGACCGGCTTCTGGCATGTTGGGAAGGCCTTTGTCTTGGAATTGGTGCGCCTGCTACCCATTCTATGAATGAGTTTGGTCTTACCATGACTGCTCCGCGTGCTGTCTCTCCTCACGAAAGTAAAGACTCGACACTTCATATGGCGTCTCATTACAGACGAGCGGCCGGAATGATCCCACAACTGTGGAACTCGCAAGTATTTGTAGAAAAACACAATAGGCACTGCTGAGAGCAGGTAAAATCCACAGAATCTGTCAAGAGGGTATAATAATTTCTTTCTTCGATTAGAACTAGATGATGTGTAGGAGCGTATAAAGGGTATGTTAAGAGGGGAATGTTAAAAGTGGTGGAAGTGAACAGGAAGGAGTGACCGTTGATGTTGTATGCGGAAAGGAGGACAGTCATCGTGAATTCAACTTGTGATAGACTTCACCCGATCACCAAAGAGAAAATTTACAGTACGACACATTATCTTTGAGCTGCTTTGATTTATAACAGTGATATCAACTCCTAAAGTTAATGTGCTATGATGCTAAAGGCAGAAATCACCCACAAAGGTATAGTTGCCGCTGTTCCAAATACCTTTGTCGTGAGAGTTCATGCGGAATTGTTCAAGTTTCCAGATGAAGTATTTCTATCACCGCATACAAGTACAAGCCAATCCATCAGGAGTCACTGTGACCATCGCATGCCTCTCTTGAGACCTTCCGCCCTAACGATAGACTAAATCAGTCTTCTTGTCAGAATGTGTGCTTCTTGTTCTGAAATTGGCTGACTATCACTTATAGACAACCCCTTTCCTGTATTATCTGAGACCTTTCCTGTCATTACGACCATGTAAGACTACTATGCTTTACATGTCAGACACAAAGAAACTGTCAAAGCTGCTTTGAGGGCTCGATGCTTTAAGCACCACCACGTCTACCTTCTGACACCGCGCTGGCGAAGCCAATCAAGATATCTTGAATTATAAAAAAAGACCTTCATCTACCTCAGAGCCTTGCTTTGGCCTGCAATTCCTGCTCCTTCCACTTCCTATTCATCACTTGTCCTCGGTAAAGATTCCAAACGCCCGCCAGGCCAGCCAACGGCGGACATAACAGAAGTAACCAAGCCCACCATCTCGGGCTCGCTCTACTGATCTCCTTCATCACTCTATCGACCTCCTTCTTCAGGTCCTCCTTTCCCCCATCGTTCCAAATAACTACTCCCGCCCCTGGACCCCTCGCCTCACACCTTCTTGCTTTGTCCCTCACATCCCCTTGACTCCTTACCCTATTCTCTGCATCCTCAGCCGTCAAGTGACTATCTCTCTCCCGCAGCCTCCTCATTTGTATCGCAGGATCCGTAACCGCAACTACAAGCACTGTCCCACATATTGCATCAATCCCACTTTCAAAAAGCAATGGCACATCCAAGACGACCGCCCAGCAGCCTCTCAAATAACAAGATAACAATTGTTTATACATCTCCCACCGAACTGCCGGATGGATGATGCCATTCAAGACCGCCCGATCCCTCTTCTTTTCTTCCGAATCCCCGAAAACGCGCCGGCCCAGCGCGGGGCGGTTCAAGGGCGCGCCTTTGCTGAAATCCACAGAAGGATCTGGGGTTGAGGGGGGTTCGAGAAGGAGGTCGGGAGTCGTGGGACCGAAATGCGCTACGATTTTCTTGTAGCCGGCCGTGCCTGGCTCGACGACTTTCCGGGCGAGAACATCAGCGTCGATGATGGGGAGCGAGTACGGCGCTTGGGAGAGGATAGAGGATACGGTGGATTTGCCGGTCGCGATTGAACCGGTAAGGCCCAGGAGTAGCATTTCGGAGGGTTGGGTTGGGAATAGAGTTAGGAGGGGAGAGGTGTAGGAGCACCGCAGAGCTTGGGGTGCGGTTGGCGGGGCAGCTTGTTTGACCGAGGTTTGATCGGTCGGCTGTTGCAACGCGGCAACTTATCACAAGCCACCAAGAGGGGATTGTAACCCTCTTGTTACTCTCAATTGTTATTGATATTGGATACCTGACGTCGGATAGTTGCTCCCATAGGCCTATGGCCTTTCTCTATCAGTGCGGTAATCCCATTCTGGGAATCGTTTATTGTCGGAGTATACTGTACGAACATCATGAAATAAATCTTGGAGCCCTTATCTTTTGGCCTTCTAACCCCCCCCGAACTCCATTTTCTGACAGTCTACTCATCGAAACCCCATCATAAATAACGCCAACGCCGCTGAGCTCCCTCATCTATGCCTCCAAACTCGGCGTCACAGGTCTACTTTCCCTCGTGAAGAAACTGATATTCTCCCGCAGCGCCACATACTCGCTATCAGCGTACCCAAGCAGTCCGTGAATCTCACTACTCTGCACCCCCTTAATCCTAGCAATCTCCGCTGCGCTGTAATTCACCAATGCCCTGCCCACTTCATGACCAGGTCCTTCCCATAATTTCGTTGCTCCTTGAGCGGCTGCCGATTTAGGGATTCGTTCCACAACTACTAAACGAGCAGCTTCTTGTTGTGCGAAGTTTCCTTCCACATCTACGATGCCGACAGGAAGGAGGCCCGCTTTGTTTGCCAGAGCACGATGCGCGCCAGCGTCGATGTAAATTGTGCCGTGGGGAGCAAGGCCATGGAGGAGCCAGAACTGTCGGTCTCGAATTGGATGAGAGGATGGAATGAATCTTGTATGTAAGGGAGCTTGGAGCTTTCCTTCAAGGGTCAATGAAGCGGTTGATCTAGCCAACGGCTCTTCGAAAGCTGTGTCTGAGGAAGTGATGATTTTTCCTGGCGGGGGCGTGGAGGATTCAGAAGACGAGGTCTTAATGGCCTGCAGGTAGCGTACTATGTTTGCTATGTTTCCTGGGTTAGAGGAGCGTGTGATGACGGTTGTCACACCTGCTGAGGTGGCCAGACGTGCTGCTACAATCTTGGTGGACATCCCACCCGTACCAAGGCTCGAGCCTGCGCTGGATACTACTCGAATGTCAGTCACATCAACTCGGATTCCGTACAGGACTGGGTAAGTACCATCTGCTTGCAAAGCAGTAATATCCTCAACAACCTCAATGGCCTGGGCGTCCGGATTTGTTCTTGGGTTCTTGTCATACAAGCAATCTACATCAGTCATGAGGAATAGATAATCCGCATGAACCATAGCGGCTGTGATGGCTGATAGAGTGTCGTTGTCTCCAAACTTGATTTCAGTAACAGCAAGAGTATCATTCTCGTTGACGATGGGAATTACCCCCATCTCAAGGAGCTCGGCGAAGGTATTCTGAGCATTGAGATATTGTGTACGCTAGGTAGGCGTGAGAAGCTGGTTCGTTTCGGATTTGAAATACTACTTACATCTGCAATATCATTCCTCGTAAGCAGTATTTGAGCAATTGGCTGTCGCAAGTGGCCAAAAAGACTATCCCAGAGACTTATAAGTCTACATTGTCCAATTGCTGCCAAAGCCTGGAGCATGAATCAGCAAATATCCTCAGCTTGTATGTGAAGATCACGTGCCTGTATCCTTGGAAGATGCTTTGGTCTTTTGTCAAGGTCCATTCTCCTGAGACCAACCCCGATGGCTCCGGAAGACACAATGATCACCTTGTGTCCATCTTTACGAAGCTTTACAGCTGTCTCAACAATCAGGGACAATGTTGATAATAGCGGTTCATGGGTCTTTTCGTCAACAATGGAACTTGTTCCTGGAACGAGTCAACGACGCTTCACATTTTTCAGTGATAATTAGGACTTACCAAGCTTTATGACAATTGCCAAAGGTTTGGGTCCCTTCATCTTGGATTCTGATCGAACTTTGGAAGATTCAGTAATGCTTCAAAACCAAAGCTCTTGGATATATCTAGCATCTCGAGAAACCAGCGGTATGACTCTGTAATATGTACGTTTGTGTGTCTGCGATTTCGCTCGGCAGAACCCAACTTTTCCTGCCAAATACAGACACCGCTTTCTAAACCCCAGTAAAAGTTAACCACGACGGAAGACACGCCCTGTAAACGACAGACCGACATCAATTGCGCGCCCTTTCAATCCCTATTTCCTCCTTGCAGACCTCTCGCCCTCACCATGGCGTCTAATTCCTCTGAAGCCCCCCTAAATCGTGCGAATGACCCCGCAGTAACAGGGTACGATCCAAACGCCAAATGGTCAAACTACTGGAACATCTTGACGGGCAAAATGACCCGAGAAGGACAAGAAGAATTTCGCGAAGCTGCATATATCAGGAATGAAGCGCGGGATTGCGCTCGATGTGAAGAGTGGAGGGATTACTGCTTCAAGTATTCGCCCATGGTCATATTTATGCAGAAGAACATCAGGGAGTTAAACGGCGATCTGAATGCGGAGAATGTGAAGTGTAGGAGATGCCCGGCTAGAAGAACAGAGGATGGAACTGTGGTTAGGCAAGGAGGGGGGTTTAGCCCAGATCACGGCATATTGATATGTGCGAACGAGATGAGGGATAAGAAGCATCTGGAGGATACGCTAAGTCATGAGATGGTGCATGCTTGGGACCATTTGAGATGGAAGGTTGACTGGGCCGATTTGAGGCATGCCGCATGTACTGAGGTAGTATTCACGCAGTCCCGCGAACGAAAAAGGGTACCACTAACACGTTGAGTTAGATTCGAGCATCGAGTTTGAGCGGAGAATGTCGGTGGACGAGAGAATTCTTTACAAGGAATAATTGGACGGTTACGCAACAGCATCAGAATTGTGTGAGGTCGAGAGCCATCAAATCTGTAATGAGCAGACCATCCTGTAAAGATGAGGCGCAGGCAGCGAAGGTGGTTAATGAGGTCTGGGATTCGTGTTTTGCGGACACACGGCCGTTTGAAGGAATCTATAGATAATCCACAATGCGGCTTTGTATAAATAGAATAGGAACCCGGGAATGGGCGGCGTTTGTTACGGTTATATTTGATCAGCGTAGGCGCAAAGGAATATATTGATCTCCGACTCCAAACATTATGCTTATCCACATTATCGATACCCATACCATCATCTCCAAACGCCGATATAAAGGTCATAAATCATCACTCATCACGCTCTGCGGAGGATTTGCTACCAGTTGACTTCGAATCCCGTAAACTGGCTCGCTCGCCCTTTACACAGTGTTTGACTATCCAAGGATGTTTTTGGACCTGTTCGAGAGGAATTCTCTTCTCTGGATCCAGGACCAGAAGCTATAGGGGGTCAGAGAATTTTCCAACATCAATAGGCGGCCACTTACCCTCTTGATCAGATCTCTTGCTTCTGGACTAACGAAGCCGGGTATTGTCATCTCCCCCCTTGCAATCCTCCGTTGGGTCATGACAGGAGTATCCTCGAACGGTGCTTCGCCAACCAAAAACTCGTACATCAATACGCCCAAACTCCACAAGTCAACCTTCTCGCTATAGTAGTTATCCTGGCTTCCTGGCTTGATCATCTCCGGAGGTAGGTAATCCAGTGTTCCACACATCGTGTTTCTTCTGTTGTTTGGTGCATGTACACTCCAACCGAAATCCGAAATCTTGATTTCGCCGTGTATCCCAACAAGAATATTTTCCGGTTTAATATCGCGGTGCATGACATGCTTTTTGTGCAGATACTTCAAGGCGGCAGTCATCTGGGCGATATATTGAGCTGCTTTCCATTCAGGAAATCGGTTCTCGCGACGAAGATGCTTGTACAGTTCTCCTTTGCCTGCAAATTCCAGTATCAAGAAGACCCTCTTGCTGTCATGGAAAAAGCCATATAGTTGAAGTATGTTCGGGTGTCGTAGATTGCTTTGGATCTCAATTTCTCTTCGAACTTGCTTCTCGACCTTGCCTTGCTGCAACTCGTTCTTATGTAGGACCTTCAAGGCACAAACAAATCCAGAGCTTCGTTCTCTGGCCAGATATACGCGACCAAATTTTCCCTTCCCCAAAGGGCGACCAATTTCAAACATGCCGAGGTGAAATTGTTTTGGTGGTGCCGGCTGCTCGTAGATTGGATTTGATTTGCGTTCGACTTTGACGATTTCATCAGAGCCACGAGAAGAGCCAGAAGCAGCCTTTCGTGGAGGTGAGCCGGAGCCATTGGGAATGTGCGACCCTCGCCATTGTGCTGCTTGAGAGGGAACCGTGACTATCGTGCTTGTTGTGTTTTGATTTTGTAATGCGATCTTGAGAAGATTGGAACGACTTGAGTGTTGAGATAACTGGGAACTCGATGCAGTAGTGGGGACCTTCTTTAAGTCAGTGCGTGATATTAATTTCGATGGCCATAAACCAACCTTTGGTTTTTGATACTTGGTTCCATCACCGGGATCATTCTCGTCATTCACGGACATGAGCTCGAAGCGTGATTCAAGAGTGCGAGTTGCCATTTCAGTGTTGGCAACAGTATAATGCTGATCAATTATACCTGACTTTATCTTCCGATGGCTCAATGCCTATTCTTCCTGCTGGTTAGTATAAACTTGTCGAGGACCAAGTTGCTTTGCTTTCATCGAGATGATGTTTTGGGTTTCGGCGCTAGCCTGTTACCAGGGCAACACCTTTCCGCCTGGATGACTCGTTCCCCGCCAAAAGTTACCCCACACCTGAGATACCTCCAGGGGATCTCTCTCTCACGTCGCAATATCTCCATACTCCGTAAGATCTAGCACAACACACAAATCCTATCAGCCTCTGAATCCGAATTGGGTCGCAGCCATGTCTTTCAACGGCGCAGTAAATGAACACTATCCGACGCCCGCTGCCGCAGACGAATCAACCGTGTCGCATGTTCAGAAGGGCTTCAAGATCAGCGCGCGGAAGCTTCCTATTTCCAAATCTGGGCCGATCGATGAGATGTCACAGAAGCTAGGCATCCCTGTTCCAGAGATGATTTTTGGTGATAATATGGTTTCTATCGAGCATCTGGAAAGTGGGTGGAGGTTGGAGTTTAATGCGTATGATGCTTTGGACAGAGTGGACAAGACGGGCAAAAATATGTTGAAGGTTGCATACTCAAAAGAGTGGTCAAGCAGCAGGTATGAAAACCAGTTCTTGGTTATAGATACGTGTTGACATTAGATAGGGAGAAAACGCACGAAGGTATCAAAGAGGTGGTGAAGCCATTCGATTGGTCATACACGACAGATTACAAGGGCACCATCACCAAGGGCAAGCCTTTCAATATGCCTCCTCAACAAGATGCTGAGCGAATCCCAATCGAACTTCTGAAACGGCCCGACCCTATCCTATTCTTCGAAGAAGTGGTTCTCTACGAAAGCGAGCTCGATGATAATGGAATCTCGGTCTTATCCTGCAAAGTGAGGGTGATGCCCGACAGGATGTTGCTACTCTGCCGTTTGTTTATGAGACTTGACGGAGTCCTTGTGAGGATCAGGGATACTAGGATTTACGTGGATTTCAATGCCGGGAAGGTTATCCGGGATTATACTGAGAAGGAGGACGCTTTCGATAAAGTGAAGAAGGTGGGCTCGTCATCTCCAATTTTCAGCATCGCCGGTTGGCTTTTCTAACGAACTTTCAGAGTCTTCTGTTCTCCGGAAAGCTACCAGAGGACATAACGGTCGCACTCCGGGATCCAAACCAGATTGCGCATCTGATACCGGAAGTCAAGCACACTTTAGAGAATTTGACTGTGCCCTGAAAACCAGCAGCCCCGGACACATCCCTTTGATATAGCGGTGAGTTGGGTGCCTTGCATTTGGGGTCGAACAGGTTCAGTAGCTATGTCAGATATACTCTGTGAAACATGTAGTATGCAAGGCCTTCTTAACAGTGGGTAGGCGCCTTGAGTAGGAGATCTGGATGATAAGCCACGAGCTTCGCGATTGGGCGAATTGCTGAGTACTTTCCATATTCTCTTGGAGCTGTGGTGGCGTTCTACAGGACCCAGTCTTAAGAGTCAAGACAGTAGGGAACTGCCGCTGCTTACGTGCATTCAGCAGTGGGTAGAGCTTCGGCACCGCGGACATATGCCGGGTTACTACGTTTAGATAGATGGATAACTTGAATACACCCTTCCTCCGGCCAGAAGCACTTCTTCTTGAAAGGCTTTGTTCCGAGATGAAGAGGAAACCAATTTTTGCCCTTGCCAGGCGCGGGTTTGCTGCAGAGCTCTGAACATGGAACATGCAATCTGCCGGAACTCCACAAGTCGTGATATCTCAGTTATCTGGAAGAACCATCCCATCTTCCTCCAAGCTGTCCTTATCGGGCTAGATGCATTGTACGTGCTAAGGTACTGATTCGCGCGACTCATGCAACCTTAGATCCGTAAACCTGGCGGCTGGCAAGGAAGAGGCTTCCCGTGCTATGGGCGTGGGTTGCGTTCCTATTGGCAAGGAAACATGGGATCTCCAACTCTTCTGCGCTGGTCGACATGTGGCCTCACAAGGTGTTTGTTTACTAACATGGAGTCGAAATACGGAGGATACTGTTGTTCTATTGGGTTTCGCTTGGACATTGGCCTTGATGTACAGGTTCACCGTTCACCGCACACGACATACCTCAATACTCCGTACAGTCTGATAGCCACTAGAGAGTACTCGCACAAATTCCCCGCCAGATGACCAACAAGGTCTTCGCGCATTCTGATCTTTCCTTCTCCTCCTCCTCCTCCTCCTCCTTTCCCGCCTCCTCCTCCTCCTCCTCCTCCCTGCCCGGCCGATGCCAATCTGCTCTGATTTGGGGGTTCCACGCTTGCGACCACTCCTGTCTTCCTCGGCTTGTCGTCCCTCGCGCTACAACAGGAACCGTCTGCCAACACCAGCATCAGTACAACTCCTAGACTCAACAGCTTCCAAGAAAAGCTCACTTCTCCGCGTACGACCTCCCCATTCTCCAGATCCCAACTGTACATCCTCAGCTTACCACCAGCCCTTCGGCCCCCGTCGCACAGACTTCCCTGATATCCAGATTCCGTCCTCTAGTGTTCCCCCAAGGCGTTAGGCTTCGCGGGGTCAATCGACTGGGACCGGCGCTCCCCTCCGTCTCTGCTTCTACGACTCGGATTCCTCTATTTCCCAATCACTCGAATCCCTTCCAACCTCGTCCGTTCCTTTCACGATACGCAAGCATGTCTACGTTATCTCAACCCCAGACACCAGCATCTATGGACAGTTCCTTGAGAGAGCACAGACATAGGCCAGTGGAAAGGCTGACGGATCGCCTCGAAACCCCGTCTCTCGATGATAGGTCGTACAGGGTTGTCAAGCTTCCCAATCAGCTAGAGGTGCTTCTTGTGCACGATGCAGAGACCGACAAGGCTAGTGCGGCCATGGATGTCAATGTTGGCAACTTCAGTGATGAAGCGGACATGCCTGGCATGGCTCATGCCGTAGAGCATCTGCTGTTTATGGGCACAAAGAAATACCCAATTGAGAACGCATACTCGCAATATCTTGCCTCACATTCTGGGAGCTCCAATGCCTATACGGGCGCCACTTCTACGAACTATTATTTCGAGGTTGCCGCAAAAGGAGCTGAAGATGCTGAAACCTCGCCCCTCTATGGCGCGCTAGATCGATTCGCTCAATTCTTCATTGATCCCCTATTCCTTTCTTCTACCCTTGACCGAGAACTCCGAGCTGTGGATTCTGAGAACAAGAAGAATCTGCAAAACGATCAATGGCGGCTACATCAGTTGGACAAATCCTTGTCAAACCCGAAACACCCATACTGTCATTTTTCCACTGGGAACTTTGAGGTATTGAAAACAGAGCCCGAGGCACGTGGTATTGACGTTCGAAAGAAGTTCATGGAATTTCACGAGAAGCACTATTCTGCAAATCGAATGAAATTGGTCATCTTAGGTAGAGAGCCTTTAGATACATTAGAAGCATGGGCGGCCGATCTATTCGCCGAGGTGCGGAATAAGGACCTGCCACAGAATCGATGGGAGGACGAGGTGCCATTCGGGCCTGATGATCTCTTGACTCAATGTTTTGCCAAACCGGTTATGGACTCACGGCAACTGGACCTTTCGTTTCCCTTTCTAAACGAGGAAATGCTGTTTGAAACCCAGCCAAGTCGATACATTAGCCACTTGATTGGGCATGAAGGCCCTGGATCTATAATGTCCTATATCAAATCGAAAGGTTGGGCAAATGGGTTGAGTGCAGGTGCATACCCCATGTGTCCTGGAACTCCTTCAGTCTTCAACTGCCAGATTCGCTTGACTGAAGATGGTCTAAAGAACTACAAGGAGGTCGTAAAGGTTTTCTTCCAATACGTTTCATTGCTCAGGGAGACTCCTCCTCAGAAGTGGATCTTCGAAGAGCAGAAGGGGCTGGCAGATGTGGATTTTAAATTCAAGCAGAAGACCCCGGCAAGTCGATTCACCAGCAAGATAAGTTCTGTGATGCAAACCCCTCTACCGCGAGAATGGCTTCTCAGCGGGCATAGCAGGTAAGCTTGAGCAAAGTTCCCGCAGAATCTCCGATATTTGTCCCAAGGATCTCGTTCGGTTGAGAAAAGGAAACCGCGTGGCTAACCCAGGATTTCTAGGCTAAGAAAATTCGATCCTGCCCAAATCGAAGAAGGGCTGGCTTGTCTTAGACCGGATAATTTCAGGATGACAGTTGTTTCTCAAAAGTTCCCAGGTGTCTGGAAACAAAAAGAGAAATGGTATGGCACCGAGTACACATATGAGAAGATTCCTGCAGACTTCCTTGATGAAATCAAACGTGCTAGCTCGACTACTTCCAAGGACCGCTTGCCGGAGTTGCATCTGCCTCATAGGAATCAGTTTATACCAACGAAGCTTGAGGTTGAGAAAAGAGACGTCAAAGAGCCGGCGGTTGAACCTAAATTGATTCGAAACGATGACCTTGCCAGAGTATGGTTCAAGAAGGACGACACATTTTGGGTGCCTAAAGCCAACCTGTTCATCACTTGCAGGAATACGCTTCCTGGAGCCACCGCGGAGAACTCACTGAAAGCAAGGCTTTACACTGATATGGTACGGGATGCTTTGGAAGAATACTCCTATGATGCCGAACTTGCCGGGTTGGACTATTCGGTGGCCAGTCATTCAATGGGCCTTGAAATTACGGTATCAGGCTACAACGATAAACTCCCAGTTTTGTTAGAGAAGGTCTTGATTACCATGAGGGATCTGGAGGTCAAGCCGGACCGCTTTGAGATCATCAAGGAGAGACTGCTAAGAGGCCTCAAAAATTGGGATTTTCAACAACCATACAGCCAAGTTGGCGATTTCACGAGATGGCTCACCAGCGAGAAGGGTTATATCAATGAACAAATCCTGGCAGAACTGCCCCACCTCACAGCGGCTGACATACAACAATTCTACCCACATCTGCTTCGACAGATGCATATCGAGACTCTTGTGCATGGGAACTTGTACAAAGAGGACGCCTTGAGACTTGGCGATCTAGTTGAGAGCAGCTTGAAGCCCAGAATATTACCTCAAACTCAGTGGCCTATCGCCAGGTCATTGGTGTTCCCTGTCGGGGGCAATTTTGTCTACCACAAGACCTTGAAAGATCCAGCAAACGTCAACCACTGCATTGAATACTTGTTATATGTCGGTGACAAGTCTATACGTCCACTGCGCGCAAAAACGCTTCTTCTTGATCAGATGACGCACGAGCCTGCCTTCGACCAGTTACGGACAAAGGAACAGCTTGGATATGTTGTCTTTAGTGGAGCTCGCTTCACCATTACTTCTATTGGCTATAGATTCATTATCCAGAGCGAAAAACCTCCCGAGTATCTTGAGGGACGGATTGATTCTTTCCTTTCCGGTTTTGCGAAAACCTTGTCGGAAATGTCCGAAGCTGAATTTGAAGGCCACAAAAGGAGTCTGATCACGAAAAGATTAGAGAAGCTCAAGAACTTGGATCAAGAATCAAACCGACTCTGGTCGCACATTGATGGAGAGTACTTTGACTTTGAACTAGGTAAGGTTATGCCATCTTCAACACAACTGATCATTGCTCATTTTTCCCACAGTTTACCACGATGCCGCACACATCAAGGCACTTACCAAAGCCGACATGATTGAATTCTATAACTACTATATTTTGCCAACCTCAGCTGCTCGGTCAAAGTTGGCGATTCACCTCAATGCCCAAGCCACAGCCAAGACGGAGGGAGCAAGCGGTGTCACCGCGGTAGAGAAGGGAATCAAGACGCTGGGTTTGAATAAAGATTCAAAGGACGAGGAAGATGGCGAGGTTGTGCCAGTCAAGGAAGAGGGTAACGGGACTACGCCATACATCATTACGGACGTGCGGGAGTTCAAGTCGAAACTGCAGGTCAGCGCCGGTCCACAACCCGTGAAACATATCAGCGAGTTTGAGGAATTGGACTCAAAGTTATGAGGCAAAGAAGACGGCTGCGATAGAAAGATATGTGAGAATACTTAGCAGGTGCTAGCACAGGCGCCTTTAGCAGCATGCGGCAGTGATCCGCAGAAATAGCTGCGAACATGAAAACTCAGAACCATGGATGCCCATTGGACATTGGTATAGGCGCTGTAGATACCCATCTCCAGTCGCACGCCAGGTCAAGAGCCTCGCCACGTGATGTGAATGCAACCAAGTGTTTCGTAAAAGGTTGTGACCAGCATATGCTCAATATCCAAAACTGTGCTCATGATTAAACTATCACCTCTTTTTGAAACCGGGCTTTATATACGGTCTGCAAAAAGCAATGGCTGAGAACGATAGCGCGCGCCTTTCATAGCCTTGTCTATAGCCAGCCTTGCCCTATCAGTCGTCGGTGCCTTACCTTACTTGAAGTAAGCAAGCAGTGCATGAAGAAGCATTTACATAATTTCCTCAACCTATCTATCTATCTATCCCTTTCAACTACAACTCCAAAACCGTCCCATTCTCGTACTGACTGGACTGTCTTCAAATCAAACCATAATAGATACCGCAATATCCAATCCCGAATCTTCTTCGGTTGGCGAAGGCATCAAGGGAAGAGCAGATCAGTCAGTATTCATGGAGAGGAGATTATAGACCTGGGACTGTGGAGAATAGGTAGGTAGGCATACTGTAATGTGCTTCATGTGTCTATATGTAAGTAAATCTTCTGGATGATTTGCAATTCATCATCATCGTCTTCAGACCTCGGTGGCGCGCTCCAGCTACAATGTGGACCGCATTGAGCTGTCAGCCGTCAATGATTTACCAAGTGAGATTATTTGCGAGTCCTCCCGGTGGGTATAGATATAATGAAGGGAGTAGGGGAAAGGAAGAGAGAAGACATAGCTTCCAGATAAACGTGATATAAAGAGGACACCTGGAGAATACTTAGACAGTATAAATATTTTCGAATCCATGCTATCTTTTTATGATTATAACGAACGACCAAAGAACTCCTTCCAAAATGCTAGAGTCAGCGCCACGCTCAATGCTCGAAAATGAATCCCCGACGATGCCGTTCTAAACCATTGCATCTTGGGCAACACAACTGCCAAAACCTCGAAATTTTCTCAATTTACTTTGCGAGCCTTTCGCAAAGGACCATCATCACCACCTTGGAAAAACCTTTTATGATTTTGATTTTGTGGACAATCCGCCTTCAAATGGGGCCCGCCGCATTTGAAGCAAGCTTTATTGGACTCTGCTTGTCTGTCTTGTCTTCCAGTCAGAGATGTCATACGGTTAAGTTTGACCTCTTTCTTCTTCCTTCTCTTGACAAACTCCCGAGCCTGATCTTTTTCCGCCTTTCGTTTGGCTTTCCGCTCCGCCTTTACTCTTTGAGCAGCTTCTTGACGAGAAGCCTTTATCAACTCGCTCGTCGGATCGTTATCGTCATCGCTTGACTCGTCGGACTCCTCATCCTCTGAATCGGATCCCGAGGAATCGTCCGATGAAGAACCTTGTTTCTAAAACTTTTGTTAAAAGACCCGAATAATGGCATAGAATGAATGATGACATTACCTCCTGAGTCTGGTTGAACTTGCCAAAGCTCCTGCGCCCAATCATTGCTGAGCTCTCGTCTGAATCTTCCACTTCTGTAGATTTGAGATGCGAAGGCAAGGGAACATCAAGACTGGCATATCCTGCTTGAACGACTCGTAAAGCGGGTTTAGGAGCTACCTGTAAACTGTTTTGACCTTCGAAGCTCAACACCCATCGAGTATCTCCTGCTTCGGCAGCTTGTCTCTCCAGAGCTGCCTGGCGCTTGGCTTCCTCAGCATCTAGCGCAGCTTGAATGGCCTTTTGATCTGCGAGCGTATTAATATCGACTGCAGGTCTCGAAGGCGAATCCGAATTCTTTTTTAGGCGCTTTGAAGGGGGTTCATCGGCCGCAGGACTTGAAGGAGAGGCAGGCGATGACGCAGCAGCTCTTTGCATGAATTTCATGGTCAAGAGCCTCGAGGACATCGCCTTTGGCGCGCTGCCAGGCGTGCTCCCGGCGCTCGACATCTTGATAGGCGAACAGAAACAGCTATTTCGAAGACGCGTGGTATGCCTGGATACCACCTCGCTGGCTGTTTCGTGTGTCGATTGAGACTTGTCTGAAAACAAGTTGCTCTAGAACTTGAGGTGAAAGGCAAGTTTCGTGACGGCCGAGACGCTTGGGCGGCCCAAATTTTAGCGAGCTTGGAAGATCCGGCGGCAACAACACCTCGTCCTCGCGCCACTAGCAACCTCGCGCTACAAGCAATTGAACCACCACCACGATGCTGTCCACCGCAAGATCGAGGGCCATCTGGCAGCTCTCTCGTAGAGCTCAGGTCTCTGCAAGGAGGTCCTATAGCTATACCGCCAATGAACAGCGGGGCACCAATGACCCAAACAAGCCGAAGGAGGTACCCAATGTCTCCAAGACCAACGAACTGCCAACCGAAACGATACACCAGGATGCGCCATTACAGGAGAATGTCGAGGATGCCGAACGGCTGAGGGTTGCGCAGGCGCCCAACCGGGCCACTACGTGGTCGCGGAGTCAGAAACCGAGAGGACAAGCAATGACTGGGCCTCGATTTGAGCAGACTATCATGGAGCTTCAGGTATGCTGCCTGTATTAGAGAGGACACTTTGCTGTGCCAAGAGATGCTTGGAATCCTTTTGTCTATTGGCAAGAGCTAACTTCTTATGTAGCCAGCGCCCCAAGCAGCTATCTCCCTGATCCACAAGCAGCCGGTACGATGGACACATGAACGTGTTGTTTCATGCGATGGAGGTGGCGGTCCATTGGGGCACCCAAGGATCTTCATCAACACCGATAAACCTCAGATTTGCCAGTGCACATACTGCGGTCTTCCATTTGTAAGTCGACGCCTCTTCGGATATTATGTCCTGCCTAGACAAGCTCTTCTCTGCCAGACCTTCTCACAATAAGCTGGATACTAACGAAGTGATAGGCCAATGAGCATCACCGAAAGCACCTTGAATCCCTTCCAGAGACTTCCTACCCTCTGTCAGCCCAAGGTGACGTCGCCGAAATTCCCGAATCTCAGCGAATTACGAACGAGGCACTCGGACAACGATAAACGCAACCAACAGTCTGTTAGAGGCCTTAGGGGGAGGCCGGTATTGTATATATCTCATTATAAGAACTTCCAATTGAAGTGCATGTTCACGACTCTTCTTTGCACATGATCCGAGCCTTGTAAACGGGGCATATCATGGATCCGTCTCCGTGGCCCCTTTGCCGTAATTAACCAAAGATATAGCTGTAGGGACCCTAATCCAATTGGGATGGTGACGGCTATTGAAGTGATATGTGAAGTTGCAGTGAAGTAGTATACAGCGCACTTTTCCAAGGCTTTGATTTCCATACCAAGTCAAACTGGATTAAGCTAGTAGTAGTCTATATCCATTTAAACTGACGGGTCGTGAAATTCTCCCAATTTGTATTGTCGTAACCTCGTAATGGGGAGTCCTTCCGCCGAGATGTCAACTCAAGGCGGTGAAGCGCATTCGCTCAATTCGCTCGATTCGCTCGATTCTGCTACCACCCAAAGATCTCGCGACCGATATCCCAAGTCCTCCCATCTCCTCTCCACACGAATAAAGATGTCGACTATTACTAGTACTGCTCTTCAGACCTCCTACCCGCCTCTCCTCCCTAAGTCTTTCAACGGCAACCAGCCCAAAACAATCCGCCTCTATCCCCTCTCCAACTACACCTTCGGCACCAAAGAGACCCAACCGGAAGAAGACCCCTCGGTGCTCGCGCGCCTCAAGCGCCTCGAAGAACACTATGTCGCGCACGGTATGCGGCGAACGTGCGAAGGGATCCTCGTTTGTCACGAGCATAACCATCCTCACATCCTAATGCTGCAAATCGCGAACGCGTTCTTCAAGCTCCCTGGCGATTACCTGAAGCCCGAAGATGAGGAAATAGAAGGGTTCAAGATGAGGCTGAACGAGAGACTGGCGCCTGTAGGTACGCAGTTTAGCGGCGAGGGCGTTAATGAGGAATGGGAGATTGGTGATACGCTGGCGCAGTGGTGGAGGCCGAATTTCGAGACTTTCATGTACCCCTTCATCCCGGCGCATGTTACGAGGCCGAAGGAATGCAAGAAGTTGTATTTCATCCAACTTCCGAGACAGAGTAAGTTTATTTTCTTCGTCCTCTCTACAAGAAACTAATCCTTTTCACAGAGGTTCTCAGTGTCCCGAAGAATATGAAACTTCTGGCCGTCCCTCTCTTCGAGCTCTACGATAATACCGCGAGATATGGCCCTCAATTATCGGCAATTCCTCATTTGCTATCACGGTATAATTTCGAATTCATTGATGAGAATGGTCAAGTAGTGGCTGTTACTCCAGGAGGTGGTCCAGATGATGGATACGTGCCGAAAACGAAAGTTCTAGCGGGGGGCACTGATGAAGAGATGTCTACATTCGAGGAAGTCAAGGAGGAGAATGGGGCACAGTAAGAGTATGGTGTTCACGGCATGGGATGGCGTTTAGAGGATAACATCAAACCCGTGGGAAATCTGGTGCAGATAGCAGGAAGATTGACCGCGAGAAAGAGGCGCGTACGGACATTCCATCTTAATGAAATACAATCAAAAAGAATCAGCAACATAATACTTGGAACGACGAAGCAACACATCGATTTCCAGCCAAGATCTTGCTCGGCTCAGCAAGCTATCTATGCAAGGACTCAAACGAGCCTCTCGAACTAAGCATGTCATGCTATTCCTATCCTGTGTCTCATGCAGCACAAGAAACATATCCTGCCATGACCATCCCAACTCCGTGCAGCCCCCAACTCCAGCAAAACACCCTTGCCGTCCCTTTTCAGCCCATTTATCAAGCCGAACCCAAACATTTAGACTCATCGAGCATCCCTCGGGGAGCTACTACTAGCAGTCACCTCCTCAAACTCCAGTTCCCACTTATCAACCTCCTGAAACTTTTTCGCTGCCTTCTCTAACTCCTTTCCTAGCCTGATCTCCGACTCTCGACTGTTCTCGGTGATATCATTTCCCTCCGCATCATCTGGCAATGGCCCCAAACTATCATCTGGGTCATGTTCCTCATTTTCTTTATCGGACGTAGCATTTGCTTGCCGACCATACGTAGTTTTGCGGCCTGGCGTCTTAGAATTGGGCTTAGGAGCAGCTTTCGACTTAGCTGGCTTCTTAAGAGGTGCTGGACGGCGCATCAAGGGGTTGCGTGCCCGTCGAGTTGCCGGGGGCACACTCAAATTGGTTAGTTCGTCATCGTCTGAGGCTAGACCAGAGACGTCGACTTCATCTTCTGAACTGGCAATATCGAAAGGATCACGGTTTGTTTGACGTCGTCTTCGGGGCAGGAGCGCCTCAAGTTGCGCAGTGGAGAAAGTGCTGATTGGTGGAGGTTGTCTTCTTCCTCTATGCTTGGGTGCTTCCCTACCCGGGCGATTAGGCGAGTGTGTGAGTGATGGAGGAGATGAAATTGGCGAATCCTGGGTTGCTGGCGGTGGCGTTCTGCCTCTCAAAGGTCTTCGTCCTCTGGATATGCTTGTTTGTGCTCGAGTCCTCTGTGTTCTTCGTGGCTCCAGTAGACTTTCTGGTGAAGAACTGCTGCTTTGAGGAGGAGCCATGGTTTCGCTCATTACTTCTGGAGTAACGGGGCGTGGCTCAATTGAGGTGATTGGAGCTTCTGGAGGTGATGATGGAATTTCGACCCCTTCCTCAGCGTCGTCGCTGAGAGGCGCAGTTGCTGGAACGGTTTCTTGCTCTTTAGGACCTTCGAGAGTTGGGCTTGACTGGGGTACTTGGACAGCTGATAACTTGCGCTTCCTAGGATTAGACGATGATACGGCGGATGAAGTAGTCATAGCCCTCGTCTTAGACAGATTCAAAGGTGTTGACTCATCCTCGGGATTAAAATCGTCTTCATCTTCTCCGTCGTATTCTCCTCGCCATTGCTGCGTCTTTTGGGCCGTCCGTAATATACTCGGTTCGCGTTCCCTTCTGCTGAAATTCCCAGTCCTCAATGCCGACCCAACTTGCGCTGGTATCTCTCCGTCAATGTCTAATCCAATACTACTAGACCGCGCTCGTGCAGTTCCACGGCCAAGAATGCTGGGTTGCCGCGGCCTTCTCCGAAAATTTCCAATCGCAAGTATTGAGCTTTCAATCGCAGTGCTGCTTCGATCCCTCCGGCCAACCTCCACGGCAGGACTGCTGGATTCAAGATCAATGTCTCCCAAAAGAGACCCATCATCCTCACCTCCTGGTACAACATTTCCACTTTCCAGCCTGCCCTCTGTTGGCTCGCTCAGTTGCCCGCCCGTGCGCAGGCCTTCCTCTCTCGCTGGAGCCTTCCCTTTGTTTTTCTTCGCTCGTACATCCGGATCGCTAGCATTGTACAGGTCAAGGGAGTCTTCTCTCGCCGCCGGGGGTAGTGCTTCGACCTTAACAGGACTCCCGCGTTTCCTTACGCGTGGGGCTGGCGCAGAGGGCGCGACTTTTGTTCGCTTGGGGCGAGGCATTGTAGTAATTCCGGGCGATTATTTCCAATACTGTGAGAAGATCTCTAATTCGTAAATCTATCGCATGCCGGAGACAGTGTGGTGGGGGGGTTGCGGGTGGTTTGGGGTTGAGGATAGGTATTCAACGCGTAACGCGACTGGAGGGATGTTTGGGGAGGTCGGCGGCTCGCTTACTAATACAGGCTTAGAGTATTCTGGACCATCAGGATTCATCGTCTTCCCCCTCCTGCTCTCTCCACGTCCTTCATGCTGCCACCCATCTATTCATGTTCATGCGAATGAATCGAGATCCCTGTGGTGCTGCACCATCATGCGCGGAAGACGCAGATAATTACCGCTCGGAGAATAGAAGTGTCCGAGGGCTTCAGGGAATACGGCGTCAATGCTACGCGTCTGATTAGAACGACATTACTGTAAGATCTGTCTTGCGTTGTCATACGTAAGGCCTGCTATTCTCATTCCCTCGAAGTGTATGTATATATGTACATACATATACCTCTCTGTGTGGTTGCTTTCGTTTGTCCTTTCAAATCGTCATCTACGCATCCATTCATTGATACTTCCCAGCAAGCGCTATAAACGTCTACTTGCTCCAAAATTTCTTCCTCTCACATCTTAATTGTTAGCCGGGATATTGTCGGCTTAGCCCTCGTCCAGTGGCCAAAAAAGAATGTCATATGCTTCACATTTCGAGCGCGCTCTCCGGCTGCTCGTGCTCAGGACTTGCGCCGAGATGAAGCCAAACAATTCCTGCTTTAACGCAATTATTGACGGTACAGGACTTCAGGGTCTCGCCACTTCCCCACGGTCGCTTCTGGGATGCGGCGGTCGACTTACCTCCACAGAGGATTACATGTACAGGGGTATTTGATGGCAGTTGAGGGAGGACATTTTGCGATACCCGATAATGAATTCCATACTTCATCACATAAAGCAGCTAACCTGGCTCTCAAGCTTACAGAACACTGGAAGCCAGAGTCTGGGGTTTTGCTAGATGTTCACAGTGAATAGTCATCACCTCTTCGCATCGTGTCAGCTAAACTCGAATGCTGGGCCTGGATTCCTTCTACATACGTCATCTTTTGCAGGCGATGCTGTTCAGCAATGATGCCCGCCGGAGGATCTGATGTTGATGCTGTGCTGGAAGATGCGGCTTTATTGGCAAAGCTCATTGTTGAGGGGAGTATTTCTGAGAAGACGATGGGAAAGTCTATTGATCAGATGTGGGAACATGCTGTGCCGCACATCAAAAGAAGTGACACAGAAGCTATTAGCTTTCCAGAGATTTGAGGGGCCGGAAGAGTTATATTTTAAAAATTATTTGCAGTCTATGGTCTGGTATGCTCGCAACCCCCGCCCTGGGCTCCTTATTCTTGTTGGATGAATACATTGCGACTTCAATTTGATACACGAATATAAAGATTTCCACTTCTCGGCTCACAGCGACTTGTAACGAGGTATCCATACCTTAGGAGTCGTACCAAATATACCTTACCTGTACTTTGGTAGCTCCCGAGAAGACAAGGCCCAGCAAATGAGCCCATTACAAAGAAAGAGACGCCCAGACGCTCCATGGTTCATTCGAAGATTACGAGGCTGTCTTCGTAAGGAAGTGTTTGTCACCTATTTTTAGGTGTGATTAGTCGACTCGACACACAGACCTTGGAGCCCATGGGTAGATCTTAATAGCGCCCCTGTTTATCGGCCAGCGTTCTTCCTGCGATAAAGCTTGAAAGGACGGTTATCTCTCCTACCCTCCTCCCCCGTATTTTGATCTTTCCATACAGCAATTGTTGTTTTGTCGCCTGGCATTGCAGAGAATGAGCGAGGGCATAGTGTGCTCTTGGCTACGGCGATCTTCGGCAAGGAGAGACAAGAGGCTACCAGCCTTCATCGTCAACCTCAGTCGGCGCCAACACTCAGTCAACGTCCCAAGCAACAACTACTTCGTGCCATGGCATTTCAACCAAACTGGAACTATGGCGAACAGTGGCCTAATGGCTACAACTCTCCGCCGGCGCAAGGCTGGGTAGCGGCCCCCTCCTCGCAGTACCAACCTGGCTTGGTACAGAATTACCCCAACCCTGTTGTTCAAACTCAAAGGCCCCCAAAAAATGAATGTGCGCTCAGCAAGCTCAAATTGTCCTCCGTGACAAATCTTCTTGCGGGCGACGTGCCCGAGTGTATCCCAGGAGCTCAGATATTCAACAATGGAGTCCCAGCCTTGCAACAGCAAGGAGCACAATACCTCTGCCACGGCGCCGCCTTATATGATCTGATATCGTCAAAATTGGATTCAGTGGTCACTCTCATTGATGGCGGAGGATTTAGTGGAGAAGATGCGGAATTGGCGGTATTCCAACCACCTCAGCAGACATGGCAGCAGCAGGGCACAGGATATTCCGCCCAGGAACCCTCGAAAGGAAAGTTAAAAGAGTGTTCGAATAACCCCATATCATCAGCACTCACTGGTACGAACCACTTTTCCAAAGTCTACCTGTATGCGAATTCGAGGCTGCCACCAGATCTCCCTCCAATGAAGCTGTATGTCCAGCCCCCTTGTACCCTCAACCATTTCTGAGATATACTAGATATCCACCAACATTTCCACTGCTCTGCTTAGCGGCTCAATACTCCGAACGCGTATATACGAAGCCTGCGGGTAAAGAGAGGGAAACCCACGTGGATTCTGATTGGATGACGGGAACGAAGGCTATGGTCATAAAGTCTGTACCGATGGACGACATGAATACGATTGTGTTCGCTATCAGAGGAACCCAATCCTTTATGGACTGGGCAGTGAACCTTCGCACTTCACCCGCTTCTCCCAAAGGATTTCTTGTGAGCCCCCTTTTCTGGCACGTGACTCAACTCTACTGACCGTTCTTTAGGATGACCCAGGAAATCTGTGCCATGCGGGCTTCCTGGCCGTTGCACGCAAAATGATTAAGCCAGTAGCAGCTCGACTGCGCAATCTACTTCAAGAAGATCACGTCCGATCCAAATATTCCCTTCTCATCACGGGTCACTCAGCAGGCGGTGCCGTTGCTGCACTCCTATACATGCACATGCTCTCGACCAGCCACGAAGCAGTATCAGAACTTAACACCCTGACTAGCTGCTTAAAGCGTGTTCATTGCATTACCTTTGGTGCACCGCCAATATCCCTCCTTCCATTATCCAAACCAAGCGATCCAGCACTCCGCAAATCAGTGTTCCTCTCATTCGTCAACGAAGGCGACCCGGTTCCGAGAGCTGAGAAGGCTTATGTACGATCGCTACTAGAACTCTACTCTACTCCGGCCCCGGGATCTTCTTGTCTAGAAACAGCCACCCCTCACAAGCTCCAGCCTCTCATTCCTGGTTTGGGTGGCCGGTCTAGCAGCTTTCCCATCGTGAACAAAAGCCGGCCCACGCCCAAGAAATCCCAAACCGTTCCAATTCCCGGCGTCGTCGCACCAATCTGGGAAGTTCCTGAAGCGACATTAAGTATTGCGGGCAGGGTGGTGCTTTTAAGAAGCGCAGAAACAGGTGTGAGTCAACAACTGAATCAACGGAAGAAACAGATCCACGAGATGATGATGGATGAGGGCGTCGTCGCACAGATGGCTACGGATGAGTTACTCAGGGGTGTTGTGTGGGGCGATCCCGTGTGCCACATGATGAAGCTTTATGCGCGGAGGATCGAGGTGTTGGCTACGAAGGCGGTGATGGGACGAGAATGCTGATGGGCATTTCTGAGAGGACGAATATGACATTTTGGTGGGCTGGCGCATATTGGTGGCATATACCCATTCCCTTTTATCTAGTTATACCTTAGTCAATTATAGATCTTTCGGTACTCAATATGAATAACAATATATCGATTGAGTTGCAAGTATAATGAATAGATGTCATAAATAGAGCCTTACGAAGTTAGAGAAAAGAAGAAAGAAAGAATTAGGAAAAAAGGATAAGAAATAAAGAGTAGAAAGTTTGTATATCTCTAGTATAGATTACAGATTATTTAAGTAGCTGCTTTTTTAAGTAGATAGCCTAAGGCGCCTCAGGGAAAGATTAGTTGGGATGCATGAATAGTAGGAAAGTTGGGTTCATTAAGAAGGGGGGGGGGGGGTTAGCGAGCCCCCCTTTTTCTATGTGTAGTGGTCGGTCATACCTAGAGTTCGCGAGGGTAGGGAGGGACAGGGAAAATGGAAGAGGTTGGATTTGGTTCTGTGTTTATATTCTTTTTCTCATTAATGATTAATCATTATATCATTATGTAAAGCGCCGTATCTAAATTAATAGCTCATAAGCACTTCTCCTAAGATCTTGATGTCCAGCATCCGTTATATCTCATGGTCCCAATCGTGGTTCTCCAGCAGAATACACCGACGCTCCCTGAATGGTACACATTCCCTAAAAATGTCAAACAGAAACCGATAACACCCCCCCAGGACGCTTTTCAACCTGGTTCATATATCGTCGGTGAGTACGCTTTCTTTATCTGCAACGCTCTTATCATACTAGGCGTCTGGTGGGCATCAAAGTCAAACCTCTCATAGGAGGCCTTGATCTCCCCCAGGTAGAAACGCGGGCATGGATGAACCTTGTTCAGCATCTCGTGCGTCTGATGCTCCCACTCCGGCTCGAAAGGGCTCTGCGCCTTGCCAAAATCCCGCCACGTCGTGATCACCAGCGCCATCTTATCCTCCTCGGGTAGGAGCTTGGTGTCGATCTGGAACTCGGTGGGGCAGTCTTTGCACGCCTTTACCCCGCAGCAGACGCCACACTCGCAGCAATGGGGATGGGTGGCCCTGCAGAGAAGTAGCCGGTCGAGCCTGCCGGGGTATTTGGTATATCCGGTGGATGTCAGATGTGGACACAGACCAAGATTATAATGATCTGGCAGTTGGACATCAGGCCCGTTGGCCCAAGCAAACAGGAGCCAATGCTGGGTCCGTACCATGAAGCGCCCATTGCGGACTCGACATTGTACGGACTGTTGGAAAGTAAAGCCATCGCGGTAGCTGGTCCAGGTCTTGTTCAACGGCTTCAGGAGATTGCTGTAGTCTCTGCCATGCCGGTAATGCTTCATGAGATTCTGAACTCGGGAGTGATTGAAATCGCCGTGAAGGTGGGAGGAATGAACTTGGTAACGTTCCAACTGCGTACAAGGGCGCCTCTGCTCAAATGGGATGGATTTGCTACATCTGGTGCAGTTTCTGTCTGAGCCGGTCTTTTCAGGGTGGTGTAATTTCTTGCAGTAGTAGCAATAGATAAATTCGAGCGAATCTCGGCTGAGCTGCTCCAGGAACTTTTCGCGTTCTACTTGTGCTGGTGACGGGCGCACGCATTGGTCTTGGGTCTGGTACCATTCGGTGTACGGTTCTACAGTTGCTTGGTTGATGCTGGTCAAGTACTTCGAGCCCAGCTTCAAGAACGTGGTGCGGTTGCAAAGCGTCAAAGCAGCGGCGGAAGAAGTAGGTAGAAAATCAGCTATGCTCTGCAACAGCTCCGTGGGAAGACTGCTCAAGCTATCACTTTTCGGAGATGGAGAATCTGAATATTCCCTGCTCGCCAAAGTCAGCGATTTGGCTACATATGTGGCATTTGCGGCAGAACCAAGGAGACATTTCTCCCAGAAGTCACTGACCAAGATGCATGAGGTGATGTCTTTCTGCGAATCCCAGCCAAGAATGTAGGTAAGATAGTCTTCATCCAAGGTGCGGTAGAGGCAGCAGTGTCTTTGGGATCCAGAGCCAAAGACAAAGGGATGGGACCCATATTGACATATTGTTGCCATTCAATGGCAGTATAAAGTCAAGGCTTCACCATAGAAGTCGAGCCGTGATGTAGTGAGAGAAGATGGAGGGTTTGAGACACGATCCATACGAGACCATGTCCATCTTATAATCTCACCAAACATCAATCAGGTAATTGGTAGACGTAGGAAGTCGTCGGGGTCCAAGGGTACTATTAGCTCTGCCGATATACCTATGACGGAGTCAGGTGACTAATTGTGAGGGACGTCTGGTAGCGAAAGACTTGGAACGTCAAGGGTTCGTAGCTGACGACGGAAATAGTATCACTTCCTCTGCATCCGGATGGAGGAGATCTCAAAGGAGCTGGTCCCCGAGAACTGCCGGACTTCCAAACCATGGATCTATCGTGCCAGGGGAGATTTCCAGTGTGATGATAGAATCGTTGAAGGTTGTAAAGGGTCATCGGCTCTGATATATCCCAAGGTACGTCACCTGACCTGAGGAGATGCACGAGTCATTCACATTCTGCGCAGGATCTACTTAGCCAGTTTCTCATCAACGTTTTATCTCCGTGTGCTGGCATCCAGAAAATGAGTCCCCTACTCGACTCAACGAGAAAGCCGTCAGCACTTTGACGTTCTTTGACCTGGTCTAGATCACGTGACTGATTTGGAGCATCCGTCATCTCCGACAAAAAAGAGGGAAAAGCACTATCCGAGGTTCCCGATATGAGACTTCAAGAGACGGCAAGTAACTCGGGACTATGCCTCTGACAGTACCTCCAAGGTACAATGAGAGAACCTAATATCGCCTTTGGCCTGGGGCCATCACGTGACGCATCTGACCACCATGTCATCGCCGGTGTAAGATGACACAATCCAGAGGTCCAGGTAGGGGGCTTCAAGAGTACGAGAAGAGAACTGGAGTATGCATCAGATGATTGCCTCAAGGTTCTGCTTGTAAGGCGGCTGAATACTTGCGGAACTATGCGAGGATCTACCTGCCTCTTCCTTTGAACCCTGAACCAGTAAGACAACGTTCTCCTTGGTCTAGCTCAGGTCGAAAAGAATGAGTATTTTGTATTTTCACTTACTCCGCACCATAGTTTTAGAAGCGCCTAGATCCGGTCTGAATTGAACGAATTTTCCGAGTATTGAGGCGTTGGAAGACCGGCAGGCAGAAGCAGGCCCGAGGTGAAGTTGTACCTAGGTAGTGAAGAGAAGGGAGAAGGTGCAGTGATTCATAAAAGTAGGTATATATCCGTAGGTGGTAGATTCTGGCCATGCACCTCAAATATTAATGAGATCTATTATCCTGCAGCATCAATCCGTTCCTCTTCTGTAAGGTGAAACCAATGTTCATGACAGACTTCGTGTACAGAAATGATCACTAGGGGTTGAACAGGACCTCAATTTAAGCTGAATTGTGCCGCTCCTTATTCTGCTGGGGATATGCCTTATGATGTGGAGGGCGCTTTCAAAAGATCACGTTCTATTTGTGCTTCACGGCATCAGCCCTCACTTCAACAACCCTAGTTTCACGTATAGGCTCGCCATTCTCATCATGACCAGTAATGAGTGGCGTTGAAGGTGGAATATCAGGAATCTCAAAGGAGTCGTTGCAGCCGGGTTGACCTATTCGAGCAATGCGATCAAAGTCGAAGAGCCGAAGATGATCTATAGTTGGGCCGATGAGAAGATTCCGCGGAGCAATATCTTGATGCACGATTCACAGTCCAAGATTCAGGTAGTCAACAACAGCGCAGAGCTGCTGTTGCCATAATGATCGAAAAACTCGACCTTTGTTCTCATCCAGGGTTCCCCCTGGAACGTATACTGTCGTAAATCCAAGGATTCGAGACTCGACATTGTCAACAACGATGCGATCGAAAGGTACAAGGTGCGGATGCTCGGGGAAATTAAGCTGTATCTCATTCTATATCCAGATCCTCCGCTGAGAGATTATGTTGTCTTTGAAGACACGCTTCCTCCGGATACCAGAACCATCTGCATAGCTCACCAAGCAAACTTGAGGTCCAAGGCGGTCCAGCTCGGTAAGCTTGGACAACAATAGTAGAACAGTCATGGAGGGACTTCGCAGGAGAGAAATGGAAGAAACCGAGATCAGCAGCCCTGCATCATCGACTTTGATGGAAGCGACATTTGGAGTGAGGTGGAAATCTCAATCTCAATCTCAATCTCTTCCTCGGGAGGACAGGGCTTCGTCGAGCTGTTGATGGTCTACCATCGACGTTGGCACCAGTCAATACATTACCTGTGTGAAAAGCTCTCCCTGATAGCTTCACTCTCAAGCCAGAATCTATCTCCTGGGGCGATCATCACCATGTATCTCAGGTGAAAGCGAGTGATGGATGAAAGAAAGTAAGATGTGTGATGGACAACAGAAAGTAGGTAAGTCGCTTGATCTTTGTGGCGCCAAGGATTTACGCGCCAGCCAGCCACGACGTTCATTCCGATTCCGTGGAAAAGCTTACCTGTAAGTCTAACATAAGAGCTTTACAGATTTCTCCCCTTTACATTTCCAAAGGGCCAATCATTAAGGATATGTAAAGAAAGTGTAGAGCGGAGTCATCAAACACGAAAACCCAAGCGGACCGCCTCCGTCGATCCGCTCGTGTCAGATTTGCCAACGAGCTGCCACGCAATAATAACTAACGTCTTCTCTCTCTCTCTCTCGCTCTCACTCCTTCACACCGCCACGAGTCCCGCACACACCAGATCCAATACCATTCCACGACCCGCTCGTATCGCGGCAAGCTACGCCCAGTACTTACGAAGCACTTGCGGAGGACTTGGACCTCGCGTCTCCTCTGCGTTGTGGGACAGAGGGCACCAGAATAGAATTCTTGACATCAGCTTAGGTAGATCTCACGTGTGTGGAGACACGAGACTATTGATACGAGGGCCTGCTTGGTGAGGGTGAGTATAAGAGCGGTGGTGAATGAATGAATGAATGAATGGTGTTCTCTGGAGTCAGAAGCTACATCTATCTCTTTTATAAAAAGAACTTTTAGTTTTTATACGGCTCTTCTTTCTCTCGCTCTCTATCAAACTACTTGTTCCTCCATCTTCTCTCTCTCTCTCAAAACCTTCAACAACAGCAACAACAACAACAACAACATTAAAAATGCGTCTCTCCACCCCCCTCTCCCTCCTCCTCGCCCCCCTCTCCGTCTCCGCCATCATCACCGGCCTCACCGCGCCCCCCACCATCACACCCAACAGCAACATCACCCTCACGCTCACCACCAGCGACTACATCCAAGCCGTGACCGACGTATCCTGCGCCTTCGGCATCGCGCCAGGCGCCGGCTACCCAGACTCCCTCGGGACACTGATCTACTCGGCGTACCTGGGCCCCGCGCTCTCCAACACGCTGCAGCCGATCCCCTTCACGGTGCAAGTGCCGGCGGGGACGCAGACCGGACCGGCGCTCGTCGCGGTGGCGGTTACGAGTCTGTATGGGGTGGATAATGAGCCTGTGGTGAACCTTTTTAATACTACGGTTACGGTTGTGTAGAGAGGAAGCTAGCTGGGAATGTGGGAAAGAAAGAGGGGAAAATTAATTTTGCTCGTGCTGGAGTTAATTGAGGAAAGATCGATATTCCAATCAGTCCGGTCTTTAGTGTTTTATATCTTGGCATCTCGAGTTACTGTAGGATGGGTTCAGGTGAGGGACGGAGAGGGTTTCGGTTCGAGAAAGGGGGAGGAGGACCGGGGGTGAAAATATGATGCGCGATGGATGCTTAATCCTTAAACAATAAAATCACAATCCTGTCTTGATCTATCTATACTGATCCTGTTGCGTATTTGCATTGGTTTTATTTTGGTTTGTTGTTGTTTTTATTTAACTGGGTCACGAGATGTATCAGACTCCTATCACCCAAGGTACCTCCACCCATCCCATCCCAAGGTATTCAACCCGAATCATCCAAAAAGATTCCCCCCCTCTTTTTCTCATGGCCCACCACGTATTACCAAGCAGGAATATTATCATCGCATTGCAAACTCAGAACCATCACACTTGGATCTCGAATTTCTCTCTATACATGTACAAATAGGAATAAGAGTAGGAAAAAGAGGAAAAGGAAAAAGAACAAACCATGGTATCATAAACGAATCTCCCGCGGCACCCGTTGCCCCTCTCTCACCTCAACAGCACCAACCAACCCCTCAAGACGAACAGCCTCCTCCCCCACAACTGCTTCCACAACCGCCTCCACCTCCACTCCCGCAAGATCCACACGCACCCCCACCTGCACATCCCCCAGGCCCGCCAGACGCCCCGGCCGCGACACCCACACCACAGGTGCCCGCCACACAACTGCCCGTCATCCCCTCGCCCACGGGCATCACGCACGGATCGCCCGCGTAGTACACGCCGCCAATGACGCCCACCGCCATATACGGCCCGTACATCAGGTACGGGTATCCCCAGCCGCCGTAGTACTCGGACGGCGTTCTGCGGGGCGGGAGCGGGCGGCCCTTGGCCTCGGCCCGCCGGCAGGCCTTGTCGTAGGCCTCTTCGAGTTTCAGCTTGCGCTGCTGTCGCAGGCGCGCGGCAACCGCGTGCTGAATTGAGCTGTCGAGGGGCTTGACGGCGCTGTGGGAGCTGATGTGTGCGGACTTGTCGGGAGGGCAGAGCTGGGCCGCCCCGGAATCGTAGAAGCTGTCGAGGACTTTTTCGTGCTTGGACGTTCCCCAGAGCCTCATTGACGAGGAGATGTGTCTGGATCGGATTGCTGCATTGTGTTAGGAGCCTTCTTGGTGGGGGGGACGAAAAGGGGGAAATTACCTTCGCAATACCAACAGGTGCATTCTGAGTAGACTTCTTGGAAGAGCTTCTCGTATGTTTTGGACGTCCATTCGAAGGCGGCTGACAGCGCATCTTCATCCATTTTATCATCGTGATCGATGAACTTCCCGCTCCTCCGCATCGAATAATCGTAATATGATTTAGGTGAGAGCTGATGTGTGTGCCATGCCAGATCAAGATCCAAGGTCGGCACCGCGTTCTGTTTCGGATTAGATGCGATGATCTCGATGAAACGAGCATACTTGATGAGGAGCCGACGCATGGTATCTGTCGCAGCTGGGCTATGCAGCCAATCAATATTATGCATCTTTTCCACAAAGATACTCTGTCGGATGACAGCACCACCAAGCTCGAGTGCAAAAGGAGAAGCATTCTCCCAGTATCTCGACATCATCTTCCGGATACTTAAACGTTCCCCCTTCAAAAAATTGCTCATAGATCTGCTGTTGCATCTCCTGATGACATGTCGATCCTTGACTGCCGTCTCGATCATATTCTTAACGTCATCCATCGTGGGCTTCTTGGATGAGTTGGGTTTGGTGAGTTCCAGAATTCGACTTCGAAGCTCTATGCGAACGACTCGATTTGGGAACGTGTTGGGATAGCTGGGCCATTCTTTTTCGCTTGGCGCCTCTGGAGCTCCGCTGGCAGGAGAGAGTATTGTACCTCCCAGTGGCCAGTCTTGCATGATGAGTTTCTCGGTGTCTTTCCTGAACTTGGCAAGGCGGAGGAACTTATGGTTGATTTCTCCACCGCATCTGTGGCAGATATACGAGAAATCTCTATCTCCGTATCCTGTACCGAGCAGTTTGGTAATCCTGTCACATGTTAGAAATGACTTGTTCCCTTCAGTTAGGATACCCACTCCTCGTAACTAGGATTTCTATTCTTCCCGCATGTTGTCCATGGGATATTCAACTGCTGCGAGCATCGGGGGCAGTGCATAGTCTTAATGATAGGGTCGTCGGCATTGCTCCAGTTAAGACCTGTCATGCCTGCAAAGATATTCATTCCATCCGCTGGGACAGTATAGTTGAAGTTTGTGTCGATGGCCTCATTGACCGCAGCCCAGGGCAGACCTGTGGCCCAGAGATCCTTCAGTCCGAAACGAATGCAATCCTCGAGGTAGTTTCTTGGATTAAGCATAAACGAATGCCATACCATAAGGACATCTAATCGTCTCAGCAACCGGTCCTAGCTCGCCAGGATCAAAACTTACCGACAGGAGGCAGCATCGACGTCGTCCATTTCTGAACTCTTCCCCTGCTCGTAAACTGCATGAACTTCATCTCCGTGCCCAGCATCTCCTTGCACTCCAGCCTCCTGGCCTCCTCAAGCGTGCATAGAAACTTCAACCACCAAACCTCAAACCGCTCCACAGCTCGCGCAATATAGAGCGCCCATCTCTTCTCCCTCGTCCGCGCAAGCGCTTCGTCTCGTACCCTCCCCTCCAGCACCTCGCATCTTGCATCCCAGAGCCCAAACAGCCCGTCTGTGTACCCAACGTCTTCTTTCAGGGCATGGAAGGTATTGAGGAGTTTGAGGTGCGCCAGGCAGTGGTCGGAAGTGGGGAATGATGGGGGGACGCTGGGCAGATTGAGGTTCGCAAATGCAGCATTCATCTCGGCGGCAGTGAGTTCTGCAGTGTTGTCGGTAGGATCGGTTACAGCATAAGAAGGCGGTGATTCTGTGGCCGAGGAAGGTCCGACAGGTGGTGGGATATTGGCTGCCATGTTGGAGGATGTAGGAGGGCAAGTCTGGTGGTCTGTTGGGATGAAGGGAGGACTCTGGAGAAGGATGTCTCCAGCTGTAGTTTGAAAGATCGGGTCTCAGGGTTGAGGGACGAGGATCATCTTGTACAAGATGTGTACGCTCTGTGAGATACCTCGACATATACCTTAAGCACCTGCTGTAGCTATGGCGGGGCTGATGCAGTCGATCGGTGATAGATAAAGATGGAACGGGCTGTGTCCGCCCCGGGCGGGACGGGAAAGCTTGATTATTGGCCGGTCGGGCGACACGTGAAGCGGAGGCCGCCCCGTGCAGAGCGGGATGGACGCTAGAAGGCGGAGAGAACACCGGGAGAAGGAGCGATGGAGCAGGCTAGTCCCGCTGAGGGCTAGTCTCAAGGGATGAAGGGACCTAAGGGTGGCTTGGCACTCCTCGGTAAGGCCGGCCAGGCGATAAGGTAAGAGATGGGCGCAATACCAACAATACCGCATCTCATCATGTTATATTGGCCGTTGGATGTCGATCCATCCCTCCTACTCTCCATGGCACGAGGAGATGTTGCTCGCTACAATTGGACGAACGGTTCTTCATATACGAGGCATTTGTTGCTGCCTCCAGCCGCGTCATATTTCATGGTTATCATATACAGTAGTACTCATCGGCTTCCCGAGATGGCTGAGCCGTCGGGACTCCCGTTCAAAGCCCTCTTGCTCTTCTTCTTCCGCAGTGTCTTCCGCTCTGATCCTGGAATATCCAGGTGATCATGTGTTTGCTCCAACTTGGCAGGGCTTGCACCACGTTCACTCTTCGGAGGCCCAGCATTTGGCTCACCCGCCACCGCTGTCCTGCCATTTGCAGCGTGCTTCAACTTCCCTTCAATCTTCTCAGGGACAAGGATGTGTTGGATGACGGCCAAGATCCCGTACGCGAGAGCAATACCAACAGTGACGAGATCCACAACATGCACAACCCACCAGATATGCTGCAGTCCCAACTCGCAGTTCGCAAACTCGAATTTCCAATCCCATGTCTGCTCATCAAACCACAGCGACAACAACCCTGCGTTTCCAGAAAAATCTCCCATCATACTCCTCACCGTGATTTCTCGCATGCCCGGCACGCCCGGTTGATCGAGCAATCCAGTAGATACTGCTTCCTCCCACCGCCGAGCTTCCCACGATGGTGATTCTCCGGATGTCTGGTTGATATAATGATACGTATCGCATCCCTCGTGATCATGCCCCGTCAGGATTAATCCTCTTCTACCAAAGCCATGTCCAGCAACATGTTCATTGCCACTCATACCAAAGATGCCCTCCAGGAACCCTTTCGAGGCATCTGGAGAAAGGTGGTTCTGTTCTTTGACCCCATTCTCGAATATCCCATTGAAGAAATCGAAGAACGGTGCGTCAACGCAGACTCCAGCTCGCTTATGCATAGGGATATGCGTCAAAGCGAGGGTGAAATGTGCCGGCCGAGTTACATCCTTCGAAGTTGTAATAATGTCATTGAGGAACTGGTAGGTTTCCGCTTGGAGATCTTGAGACGAGGCGGGCGTATCGAGGTTCATATCGTTGACAATTACAATCCTTAATTCGGGCACCGGCTTCTCGCCCCCTTCCTCTGCGCCCTTTGTAGAATTGATTGGGAGTTGGAAGCGCAACTCATAATTCGGCTTTCCAAACACCCTCACAAATCTCGCCATCCGTTCTGGGGACAAATCGCCCGCATAGCCAATATCGTGGTTTCCGGCTACATTTATGATCCTCCTCTTCCAAGCATCCGCATCATCCCCAAGCATTATAGTACTTTGAAAATCCTCGGCGGGCTGTGAAGTCAGTTCCTCGGGCACACGTTGGCCGTGGCGGAAGACACGGTTCCAGTACCTCCATCCGCGACTTTCGAACTCGGCATCATCAATCCATTGGCTGCCCACCAAGTCGCCCAAGACTGTAACGTGCGTAGGATCCGTCCACCAGTGCAGTGTGCGGTAGATGTGCCCCAGGTAATAGTCATTACCAATGTGGTCGAGTCGTTTGCGGTACGCTTGAAAGGACTTCGGAATATCGTCAAGATAAAAGTCAATTAGATCATGCAGACTGTGTCGTAATCGCTGTAGAAGAGTATGCTTCGTGCCATTGAGGAGTAGGGCATCATTCCAGAATTTCGCAAGATGCGGTAATGAGGTAGCTTCGGGGTCGGGAATCGAGGTGTCGCCTTCAAGTTGAGGATCTCCAAGAGCGAGAAGTCGAAACGGTGCTATGCTTTTAGGACCGCGGGGTAAAGGGGCATGCTGTCGAAGCGTGCTTAGGTAGGATGAGCGGGCATCCTGCTCAGGGGAAGGGAACGCGCAGAGGTGGAAGACGGGATATAGGTAAAGATAGCATGATAGAATTAGAGAAAGCGGCACAAGGATGAAGAGGGAACGACGAAGCACAGAGACTAAAAACATGAGAAAAGCTGCATCAGAGCAAAAACAATGTTGTTGAAAAGAGTGTCGAAAGTTTGTTGCGGAGAAGAGAGGGGGTCCACAGTACAAAACAAGGTAAATTCAGGGGTCGCGCTCCGAACGGGGTTCCACGTGAGTTTGTTTCTATTTCAAAACAAGCTTTACCCTTGCCGCTAATACCAGTACGGTAAGGCCGCGGAAGGCAGGGAGGTATACTTCCGCACCGGCTACGACGAGATATATCGTACGTTGTGTTGTGTACGGAGTAGATATGTAGTATACATATCCCCATCATGTCGACAAGTGTCGAGCACTTGGGATTCCACCACCAATTGTCTTCGCACAGGCATCATGAAGCTCTCTACTTTTTCGCTCTTGGCTTTCTCCACCACTGTTCTCAGCGCGAGGTTTCCCCGAGTCACAACAAGTACCTCTTGATGTCAATCCCGAGCAAAGGTATGCGATTGAGCTAAGACCCCGGAAGACCAATGGGTGACCGAGGCTGAGAAATGGGAGCTGAGGAGCGTGCACAGAACTTGTTCATTAGATATTCTGGGGTTTTGCTGAAAACTGCATCGAATGGCTCGTTCTTCATGGACATCACGGATTTCCGTGACCTAGGCACCATCCGAGCGAAATCTGCTGAAAATGTCAAATTTAAAAAGCGCTACTTGCTAGAGGAAGTAGTCCCCTTGCTCAAGGACCTTGAGAAGTCTAACATCAAGACGCATCTTGAGTATTTCATTTCGTTCCACAACCAGAGTCGGAGTACGTTACACATTCCTCGAAATGGCTGCTGGGTCTTGTTAATGATACGGGCAAGGAAACCGATGCTTATAGACACGGAGTCACTGTACGGCCGTTCTCTCATGCGCGGGCCCAGGACAGCATCATTGTGATTATCTCAGGGAAAGTAACTCGACTGTAGTTGCTGGCGCGCATCGGGACAGTGTCAATCTTGGCGACCCTTTAAACGGGAGAGCATCAGGAGCCGACGACAATGGCAGCGGAATCATAACTATCTTGGAAGTATTACCGGTCCTTCTAGGCTCAAGGGGTGATCTCGAGGGCAAGGCGGAGAATACTATCGAGTTTCACTGATACTCCGCAGAGGAGGGTGGATTGCTTTTCAGTCAATATATTTTTCTCGAGTATGAGAAGACTGAGAGAGACGTTAAGGCTATGTTACAACAAGACATGACTGGTTTTGTCTATGGAACCATCGCAGTTGGGAAGAAACCAGAATTCGGATCAAAATGGATTATGCTATTACAACTCGAGTTCCCTACATATGTGCATCTGAAAAGTAGTGTTCTCTAGAGAGCAGTCGATATTATATCAACACACAAGCGCCCATCCAAATATGCTAAGAGTTGCAAATCATTACGACTTGAATCCAACTTCGAATGGTGTCTGCTCTTCCGATCTCGGAGCCAACTGCATCTAAACTGAATAATCCTCATGATGTTTATCATATCTATTTGCTGCACAGGAAATATAACAGAAACCACCAGCAGCTACCAATAATAACTAATATATATCCCGCCCAACATGACAAGCTCCCCTCCCAGCTCCTCCGCCTTCCCCACACCCCACACCATCCTCCCCGCCCCTCCTCACACTCACACCAACACCCTGATTCTCCTCCACGGTACATCCGCCAACGGTCCCTCCCTCAGCGCATCCCTCCAAAATCCCAATCCGCCCTCTCCCACCCCCTTCCTCCCCTCCCACCCAACCACCAAACTCCTCTTTCCTACCGGCCGTCCCCATCCCACAACCGTATTCCAAGGGCGCGAGACCAACGCTTGGTTCGACATCCACTCGTTCCAGGACCGGACGCTCGGGGATGACAGCCTCGTCTTCCGCACGGGGATGCGCGACAGCGTGCGCTATCTCGCGCGGCTGATTAAATCAGAGATTGAGGGCTTGGACGGCGCGGGGAGGCTGGTGTTGGGCGGGTTTAGTCAGGGGTGTGCGCTGGGAGTGGTGGTGTTGTTGAGTGGGGAGTTGGAGAGGTGTGGGGTTACGGAGAAGGGGTTTGGGGGGTTCGTGGGGTTGAGTGGATGGTTGCCTTTGTGGGCTCATGTGGCACCGCTTTTGGAGACGCAGGAGGGGGGAGGAGTGGCAGAGGGGCGGGTGAAGGTGAGGCGGTTTTTGAGGAGGTATTTAGGCTTGGATGAGGATGAGGATGGGAATGGAGAGGGGGTGGAGCTGGGGGTTGGAGAGAGGGATGAGCTGGGGACAAAGTGGCTTGATGTACCGGTCTTCTTGGGTCATGGGTTGGAAGATGAGAAGGTTAAGTATGAATGGGGACAGCAGATGGCGGACGTGCTTCTGGCATTGGAAATGAATGTGCAGCGCAAGGCGTACGCGGGTCTGGCTCACTGGTGGTGCGCAGAGGAGATGGGTGATATTGACGAGTTTCTGAAGGGAGTGTTTGGCAAGGAGAGGTAAGAAAGGACGTAGGGTAAAGGCTTTGCTGTTGCAAGGTGGTTGGGGACTGAGCTTGGAGATGGCCTGAAATATAGGCCTGCTAGGACATGGACTCCACTCGGATATATATAAAGCGTTCACTTGGAATAATGTCTGGAAAACCACCTAGTTGACCCCAGAAGACGCACCACGTCTTGCAGAGCAGTAATACCATATGCTCAGCTGACTAGAAAGCCAAACGCCTGTTGTACAGTGTAATGCAGATACCATTATAGTTCCTCCTCCACATCCATCTCATCGCCATTCGCATGCCCATTGGCGTCCAGCTTCTCCTTTGGCACACACGCCTCCTTGTCGATCATCTGCCTCGATACTGAGACAATGTTGTCCTCAATAAGCTGCTGTCCAACATCTTCTAAGTGCTTCTTTGGATCCACCTTTCCAACGTATCGAGTCTTCAGTTGTTCCTTTGTTAACTCTGTCTCTTCTTTCACCCGTTTCTCATAACCATCTGCGAGATGGACCAGCTGCTTTAACCGATCCACGTTTCGGCTGCCCTCTACGCGGAAATCCTCCATCTGTAGCCCCTCTGTCCAGACCTGCTTATGTAGGTTCATCAACATGTTCTCCTCCAGAGCAGTCTTGCGGTAGTTGATGCCGATGCTGTAGTAATGTCTGTTTAAGCCGTGGATGAGGGCTTGGATCGACGGCTTGTTGAGGTGTCCCAAGTTGGATGTGCTTTGACGGGGCTCTTGGCCGAGCATGAGAGATTGTGGGTTAATGAGTCGGAAAGCATCGATGACGACCTTGCCCTTGACTGATTGGATGGGGTCAATCACCACCGCAACAGCTCTAGGGTTCAATTGTTCGAAGGATTGTTGGGTATTGACATCGACAGACGACAGCCAGCAGCCAAAACCAGGATGAGAGTGGTACCAGCCTACAACGGTCTCGGGTCTAGATATTGTTAGTTTGTTACGGGGAAGATGCAATATTGACGCCTTACCGGCCTGTTTGTCGCAGCATATCCATCATGTTTGTTTGGAATACTGGATCTACCGCTTCTACACTGACACCAGTACCACTTTGTGGCATAGCAAACACATCCACCACTCTTACTGTGAAATCATCGACGAATTCTCCAAGCATCAAACCCATGACTTCCATGGGTACTCCAGCTCTTCCATGTCGCAGCATCTTCAGGAGCGCAAGCGAGGAGATGTAGACGGTCTCGGAGTTATCGATGAGGTTTGTATTGTCCTGCAAGTATAGGGTATCAGCATCGCCTTCTCTTGAGCTCAGCGCAACGGCGAACAGCTTACAGATCCGGGGGCGGCGCTGCTGAGGCCACCCATTCCCCCTGCCGACGCCAACATGCGATTTAATCTATCCATCTTGGGCGAATTATGAGATGAGCGACCTGGGGAGGTCGTAAGGAACGGGAAATGAAGAGAGAATTCGAGTTGGTTGCCACAAGGTGGTTTTCGATGTTTATGGAGCTTCAAGGCAGCTCGTCGACGCGAATGCAAATCATGCTGAGTCAGCAGAGGTAATATCACGTGATCATCTACAGCCTCGTGGCAGCGCCTCGTCCGCCGCCTTGCGGTTTGCGCCATGCTTCACCCGGCAAACCCAACGTCCCACGAGGCATTCCGTTCAAAAAAGGAGGAGGTTGGATTTCTGGCGCCAATCACAATATTGCCCTCTTTTTCATAACCTTTTCCGCTATTCAAAGCGCAGACGGGCGGGTTTGCTCAGTCCAGCCAGCCAAATCGGGACTAGCGCGTACTAGGTCGGCCTGCCGCCCAGGGGTTACTTATACTATTGTCCCGACAAGAGGACTTTCTAGCTATTGTGGTGAATTCACATTCAAGTGATATGCCATTCTCCTCCTCACTCATTCCCTCCATCCTCTTTCTACAACATCATCTTCCCACTCACTCCTGAAATGCGACTTTAAATACCACGTTCCCCCTTCTCTTACACCACTTCGTTCATCCTCGAAAACATTAATCCTTCCTACTGCCCGCGAATCCCAGCCGCTCGACATGGCTTCCTTTGCCCCTCTTGATCCGTTCGTGTTCAACAATGCCAGCAAGAAGAACCGGGTGGCCTATTTCTACGACTCGGATGTTGGCAACTACGCCTATGTCCCTGGCCATCCTATGAAGCCTCATCGCATACGCCTGGCGCATAGCTTGATCATGAACTATGGCGTGTATCAGAAAATGGAGATTTATGTAAGTCGGCGCATCCTTCATCAGAGGAAAGCTTCACGCTTATCTCCTCTTCATATCCATGGAGACCTGCTGACAGCCTGCAGCGTGCAAAGCCTGCGACCCGCCACGAGATGACCCAGTTCCATACCGACGAGTACATTGACTTTCTCCAGAAGGTCACCCCAGACAACATGGACTCCTTCGCAAAGGAGCAGGGCAAGTACAATGTTGGAGATGACTGTCCAGTCTTTGATGGACTTTTCGAGTTCTGCGGCATCAGCGCGGGCGGTAGCATGGAGGGCGCTGCTCGTTTGAACCGTGGCAAATGCGACATGGCCATCAACTGGGCTGGAGGTCTTCACCACGCCAAGAAGAGCGAGGCGAGTGGTTTCTGCTACGTCAACGGTAAGTCTGACCTAGCCGCGCGGTTTCCGGATAGCTGTTGATTGTTCTTTAGATATTGTCCTCGGCATAATTGAGCTCCTGCGATTCAAGAAGCGCGTCCTCTACGTTGACATCGACGTTCATCATGGTGATGGTGTTGAAGAAGCCTTCTATACCACCGACCGAGTCATGACCTGCTCGTTCCACAAGTACGGAGAGTATTTCCCAGGTACTGGTGAGCTTCGCGATATCGGTGTAGGCCGAGGCAAGAATTACGCCGTCAACTTCCCACTCCGCGATGGTATTGACGATGTCACCTACAAGTCTGTCTTTGAGCCAGTCATCCAGGCTGTCATGGACTATTACCAACCGGAAGCTGTTGTTCTCCAGTGCGGCGGAGACAGTCTTTCAGGTGATAGATTGGGCTGCTTCAACCTGAGTATGAAGGGCCACGCAAACTGCGTCAGGTTCGTTAAGAGTTTCGGCAAGCCTACACTTGTAGTTGGTGGCGGCGGTTATACCATGAGAAACGTTGCGCGTACTTGGGCCTTTGAGACTGGTGTCCTTGTTGGCCAGGAGATGCCAACAGTTCTTCCTTACAACGAATACTACGAGGTAAGGTTTTGCCACATCTTCTGATAGCAAAGGCTAATATCAAGCAGTACTACGGACCTGACTACGAGTTGGATGTTCGCGCATCAAACATGGAGAATGCTAACTCAAGGGATTACCTCGAGAAGATCAAGATGCAGGTTATCGAGAACTTGAAGAAGACCGCTCATGCACCGTCCGTCCAAATGACCGATGTCCCTCGAACCACCATGCTGGGAGGAACCGATGAGGATGAGGCTGAGCTTGATGATCTCGATGAGGACGAGAACATGGACGTTCGTATGACACAGCGAAGACGTGACAAGCGCGTCGCCAGAGATGATGAATTCGAAGATAGCGACGATGAAGAAGAGCGTCCAAATGGCATGCGACCACAAAACGGACCTAACAAGCGTAGGAACATTATGGACTATCACAGTTCAACTGCTGTTGCCTCGGACATTGAGATGGACAGCGCAGTTGCAACCCCTGAGGTACGGAATGAGGTCGATGTTGCTGTCACTGCAATGGCTGCCGAGGCAAATGCCGACGTGAACGCCGCGGTCATGGAGGAGAAGAGTCAAACCCTCACCAGTACGGAAACGGCTGAGAATGGAGCATCAGACGCGGTATCAATTGAGCAGTCAGCTAAGCCTGCCGTGGATAATGATGGCGATGTCGATATGGCGGAGTCCACTGCCGAGCCGACAGCTCAAGTTTCAACACCAGTTCCTGAGGCTCGATCGTCACCAGCTGCTACCGCACCAGCATCTGCGCCTGCGAACACAGAGGCTGAACCCGTGGCTGAACAACCAACTGAACCTGCCAAAGAAGAAGTCAAACCACAGGAAGCAGAGACCACCGGTGAAGCATCGACCGAGACGACCCAACAACCACAAACATGATCATATTGGCCATCCGAGTTGTGACTTCTACATTCCAGTCACGTAGAGGTCTGACTCGCCCGACTTTGCAACACCAACCATTCAATATGCCTCGATTATCATGGCATTTGTTACTTCTACATTTCGCTCAGGTAGAAGTTTGATTCGTCCGACTTTCAGGAACACCAACTACTCAGTTTGATTTTGATTTCATGACCTGTACTATGTGGGCATCAAAAGGGAGGGGCGGACCACTGAGCAAGGCGTCTACGGCGTATTCAGGCGCCAGGCGGCATTCCCATGATAGCAGCGCATCTTAGCTGTTCCTTGTATCCCACATTTGTATTTACGATAGAATAAAGCCGTAAAACCCAATTACCGTTCCTGCATTGTGATTATCTTTCTTTGGTGCCTCCAAACCTTTCGACAATCCTTCGAGCTTCCATTGGCAACAAGTCTCACTCACGTGACCGTCTGGATGAACCCGGAATCCATGACTCCAAAATCAACCATCACCATCTCGTCCTCTACTTCAACAAAACCAATTGCGTTTTTACACTCCCTCTCATCATTCTAATCCCATCTTCTGCTCTCCTTCACTTTGCAGAACGAGAAAAGAAGGAAACAGAAAACAGAAAACAGAGTTCGTTATCCAAAAAAATACTTAGTGCGCTCGCTTAAACCTGATTAGGGTTTTCCTCCCTTCGAGCACCAAAATTTCCACCTCCCGCGACGACAACATCGAAATCTTCAACCCTCATCCATTTGACTCCCGCACAACACCGTCGAAATGGCAAAGATCTCGTAAGTGTTCTCCTTCCCCTCGGCCACGACTACGATAGAGAGCGAGCGTGCTGGATTGGGCGTTGGTTGGGAAGGGATGGTGGGGCCAGTAGAAGGGAGGCGGTGGTGACGGCAGTGGACGAGAGAAATCGACGATTGAGGGAATCGGAGTGGACAAAAGAAAGGGATGAATTGGAAGCTGACGGGAAAATAGTCGTGGTGCCCCTGGTGGCAAGCTTAAGATGACCCTCGGTCTCCCAGTGTACGTCCCCTTCTCCTGCGACATATTCCCCTCCGCTCTTGTGTCGAGCAACGATTTCGTCAAGCAGATACACACCAGGTTATATTTGGAGAGCTGGAACGACGAGCTAACGATCCTTAAGGGGTGCGGTCATGAACTGCTGCGATAACTCCGGCGCCCGAAACCTGTACATCATCTCCGTCAAGGGTATCGGTGCCCGCCTGAACAGATTGCCTGCTGGTGGTGTCGGCGACATGGTTATGGCGACTGTCAAGAAGGGAAAGCCCGAGCTGAGAAAGAAGGTCATGCCCGCTGTTATCGTCAGACAGGCCAAGCCATGGAAGCGAACTGATGGTGTTTTCTTGTACTTCGAGGACAACGCCGGTGTGGTGAGTGGAATTCCTTGTCATTGAATGGGCGAGGCCTTGGACGGAGCATGAGGGACTGCCAGAGCAAAGTTGGGGAGTAGCAGCTGGATTGAATGGAGACGCGGGCAATACGCCTGAGACATGAGATTCTCGAGATGATGCTAACGAACTATTCCGCAGATCGTCAACCCCAAGGGTGAGATGAAGGGATCAGCCATCACAGGACCCGTCGGAAAGGAAGCTGCTGAACTCTGGCCAGTGAGTTATCCCCCCTCCACTACCCCCGGAAACTCCCTCTAACCGTTGCTCTCCCATAGCGTATTGCATCCAACTCCGGTGTCGTTATGTAAGCGCGTCGTCACGGAAAGGGCTGTTTTCTGAAATTTCGGGGTTCTTGGCATGGAAAGAGAATATGGGTTTGCCTTTGCATTCAATGAACGGTGCGGTGCGGTTCCACACTGAGTACCTAGCGCATATGAATAGACGCTTTCCATCCATTGCTTCTCCCGTGATCTGTGCTTTTTGCATAACCACGCTTATGGGGATGGCATGTAGGGGGGTTAAGGAAGGGAAATAGAGGATGAATGTTTGTGTACCTACCTTACCTATGTTTGGGACGTGCATTTTTTGTCCATCCTCCTAAGAAGATCTCGTGATGCCCACCTACCTTACCTATACCACCAGTTTCAGTCAATCACTCAATAATGCTACTCCGCTATCCAATTCTCTCTATCTTCATCTTTATCTCCATTTCCATCTGCGTAATCTGCTTTGCTACTAAACACGTCTGGCAGGGGTAAATAGAGTGCACTGTATACCTATGTAAGGTACGTAGTGGATGATCTTGAAGCAGACGATAAATAAACTTATATACCTAGGTACGTATGCGTCTAAATCCGATTAATATACCTTGGAATCAAACAAATACGCCCCCTCCCCTCTTAAAAAAAACCCTCCCCCCTACCAAGTCTATCTCATAACTCATGTATGTTTCCTCATCTTTCACTTCACACCCGCTCCTCGCAAACCTCAATCCCCCGCCATATCGCTGCCCCATCTATCCATCCATCCTTCGTAAAAAAAAAAAAAAAAGAAAGAAAGAAAAAAAGCTATCTCTCCCCCCTAACCCCCCTCCTCCTCACTCTCGGCCCCGCTCTAAACTGTCGACTCGCTACCTCCCGATCACGCGCATACCCACTCCTCCTTACGCGCAGCCTCGCCATACCGGCCTCCAGCATCATGCGCGCTTGCTCGTCGTCCGAGTCGGAGTCGGTGGCTAGCGCGAGACAGGGGTCTTGAGCAGCATCGTGGGGTTGGGTATCAGGGGAGGCGGGTTTGGAGGGGAGGGAGGGTAAGGGGCGCTGTTTGTAGAGATCGTGGAGTTGGGGGGAGGGCGCGGTTGGGTTGGTGGTGGTGGTAGAGGTAGTGGTAGAGGTAGTGGTAGAGGTGGATGGGGAGGGGGAATGGAGGTAAGGGAGAGGTTCGTGGGAGGAGACGGAGGAGGTCATTGGTGGGAAGGTGGGAGTGGAAGTGGTGGCGGTGGGAGGTGGGCCCGTGGATGAAGGGTGGAGATCCCAGCGGAGGAGGAAGCTGTGGATCTGGGAGAGTCTGGATGGTGTGTTAGGCGGTGCTTGGGGGAAGGTAAGAGGAGGCATCTTACGAGATGGGGATATGGTGCTCGTGAAGGAGGGCCACGATCTCAGCTTCGGTTTTCTTGTCGTTGAGGAGTAGCTTGAAGATCCACTGGCGATGTAATTGGAGGACCTCCTCGACTGTTAGCTCAAGGGCTGGAACCTCCGTCATGATGGATGTTGGATTTGAGAAATGGTATCGAGTGAGAACGGCGGGAGTGACGAGAGCGGGAAGTGGACGAGGGTATGGGTGGCAGTTGTTTGCTCGGGACCCGGGACCTTGCGAGGACGGACCCGAGGGAAGGGGACGAGAATGTATATTAATACAGAAAGAAGGCAAGTCGTGACCCGACAAGCAGTCTCACCCAACGTCGTGGCACACGGGACCCGGGTGAGTGTTGGATCAGAGCTCGTGCATACACTTGCCGCAGGCTCGGGGTATCAGGAGGAGAGGAGAGAGACGGGAATAGAACCATGAATCAATGCTGACCGGGAGCTGGGCCCTCTGGAAGGGAGCCCGGCACGACCAGAACTTTAGGAAGACAGAAGCGGGAACGACTCCGTTCTACCTGCTGATACGTGTGGGTTGCATGGGTTGGCTCGTCGACCCAAAGTGCAAAGTGGGAAGCCCCAAGACCCTGATGCAATTCATTGCAACTCACGGTGACTCGAGAAGGTCCACCCAGACGAGGGATGATATGGGCAGCGGGTCTTTCTTTCCACACCCACGGTGCTGGGACTCGCAGCACCGGCTGAGTGGTTTGGCAGCCCACTTGGGCCGCGGCAGATGGCGCACAGAGAGAGAGGGGGGAGAAGAGAGGGATTCAACAAGGGTCGAGACTCGAGGAGGCACAAGGGGCCCATTCCCGCGTCTGCCGCTGTACGCACTGTGGACGATGTATGGCTTGCTGAGGATGGCTTCGATCTACAGCCAACACGAACACGCGATCCAGCCAGGTTGCCCGGAAGTCTCATCCGCTGAAGCCGCTGGGCCTCCCCTTGTCAAGCTGCCAGTAGGACAATGCCAGGCTTTTCAAGCGAAAGTCAAGTCACTACTTGCTTGCCTCGTAAGGTGTGACAACCTGTCAAAAGTCGTCGACTGATGTGTACTTGTCGACTGATAACCATGGGCCATGCGTCCTATAGGCTCTCTCGTCCAGGCCCAGACTCGCAAGGGCTGCCACAACAGGGGGATTCTGAATCGTTCAATCGCCGATGGAGAGGCCCACGCCTCAGGCAGCCCAGCGTCAAAAGGACTGAACAGCATGTCGCCGTGATTGATTGGAACACCAATCATGGGTTGAGCAGCAATGAAGAGAAAGCCTTGCGCTTGTGATCCAGCCTGACCCTGACTCTTGAGCGGTTGAGCCACGAGTTGTGTTTCTTGTTAGTTGTCTTGTTGGTCAACAACTCAGTCTACCTTCTTGTCATACTTGACGTCTGAAGCTGGCAACGATCGTCTTTGGTTCTGTACTGTTGTCATTATTAGAGCGAAGAATCTTTTGAATGAATGTAATAATGTTTCGTACCTTTAGATGATCATGCTTCTCGTTGTCTCGTCTGCATGCCAGGGAAGCCTTTCAAGAGCCTGTCCCTACCGACCTACATACGACCCGCCGATGGCATCCTGCAACACCATGGGTCCATTCTCCCTTCTCCAAGGGCCCGGTGTCCCTGCGTGTGCCCTGCGACTTCAAGTCCATGAGTAAGATTGAGTTGCCAGTCAGGTTTCAGCACGACAAGGCATTCGCAATTCCCCTTCCCCCTTTCACCAGCAAAGCATGTATGAAATCAACTTCAATAGATTAGAGCTCCTCCTTGAACAATGCGTGAGGGACCTCGATTCGCCTCCAACTGGTCGGGAATCGTTTCCGCTGCATCGCATCACATTCTCCGTGCTCTTCCTGCTCTTCCTCTGTACAAGATGCCCGCCACGGCCCGGGACCCGTCCGGAGCCGTTCTCTCGGCATGCCGAAGCCCCCGATACGACGCTGGCCGTTCTCACCGCCTCATCGGCGTCACATTCCTGATCCGAGAATCCTGGCCGGATCGTCGAAGACTCAAGACTCAGGAGCCATCTGCAACGGCTCTTCGGTTTTGGATATCCAACAATTCCAACAACACTACCGATGTACGCTCGAAGCCTTTGCCCTTTGAAGTGACAAGCTGCCGGCTGATCCCGAGGACCCGACTCAAGTGGGAGATGTGCTTCGGACATCAACCGTGCTGGGAATAGCTGAAGAAGGATGTAGTTATCCCATCTGCATGGCTGAACATCCCTTCTAAACCTCTTGTAGACTGCGGTCCCTCCTATCCGTTACTTCGTTGCTATTTCAGTCTTCTTTCCATGTTGCTTGGGGTTGTCTACACCCCGCTATCGATCGGTGCTCGTTCAACAACCACTTATGTCCTTCCCACTGTCTCACTTCTACATGTCAACTTTCAAGCAACCCCCACGCCAGGCATTTGCAATTCTCGGGGCTTCATATATCATTACTTCTTATTTGTGTTCATTCCCTGTCCAAGTCAAAAGACTAAGAAAAGAAGCCAGAACCCCCCTCCCACCACCACATGCTGCACCGTTCCCACCAAAAAAAGCAAGAACCACAATCACCCGCAGGCCCAGCGTTTCAGAAACAACGAAGGCTCATCTCCCGCGAGACATGCTCTGTCTGTTTGAGTGCGGGGACAGCCGTTGCCCAGTGTCCCCGGAGGCATCCCGAGGAAGAGACCCCCCCCCTCTCTCCCCCCTTTTTTTCCTCCACCAAAAAAGCCCATACACGCGCCTCCTTTCCATAGCTGAGGCGATTAACATCCCTCGCAGCAAACACTAGTCTCACAAGCTGGGTCTCTATCATATAGTCAGTCTCACGGTCATTCCTCTTCTCTCCTCCATCGATATCTTCTCTCCTTTTCCCAAACCAATACTACTATCTTCTCTTCCCTCCCCTCTTACCCTTTCCTAACCCCCTTCTTCTTCTCCTCCTCCTTCTTCTCCTCCCATCCCACCCAATCCAACCCAACCCAACCCAAAACAAAACAAAAGCACACAAAAAGAGACAGCGAACCTACCCATCCAAACACTCACAATACGGCATATCGCAATACGGCGGATCGCACCCCGCCTGCCTCGCTCGCAGCAAGAACGTATAATCCGGGACCGCCGCCGCGCGCCAGAGGCCGAGCGCCAGGAGAAAGAGGACGCTGGTCTTCATATCCGTTTTCTGTTTTTCTTGAGAGAATTACTGGTGAAATGCAGGTAGATGTGAGTGAGTGAGTGTTGCGTAATGATGAGGGGAGAGAGAGGGGGGTCAGATATATATGAATGTAGAGGGGAGTAAGTATGAGGATCTGGATTCTGCTTGCTTGCTTGCTTGCTTTGCTTAATCGATTGATTGAAGAAGAAAAAAGGGTAAGGCAAAGAAAGAAAGAAACCCCCTTTATACATACACCCATCTATCCATCCATCCATCTATTGTCCTCCTCAAACAAAATTAATACCCACTCTTCACAGATCAGTTGACGTTTTCGTGCCCTACTTACGACTGACTCATGCTACCTCGTATCCATTCATCCGCAGGTACAAATTACCTCACACTCTCCTACCACCGTATCTCCATCTCTATATCTGTAGCATTCATCTATATCTGTATACCCTCACCTTGTATACCACCTTCCCCATATCTCAAATCTCACCACCTCATCCATCCCCACGGCGGGCGGCCACGAGACAGAGTCAGGAGAACAAGGGAAGCTGCAGCAAAGGGGAAAAAAAAAAAAATCGGTTTCCGTTGCTCTACATTTGTGCATTGTAATTCGTGTCACTACTACAGTACTATCTTATCTCCTATTGTACAACGGCCGAGGTTTTCCGCCCCCAGCGTCCAGTCCAGTCCAGTCCCGTCCTGGAATGTTTGTTTGTTTGTTTGTTCTATACACACACATACACACGAATATGCACTGCTGCCTTCCTTGAAAAGAAAACCGATTATGCCGCTGAAACAGGGAGGGGAGACGACACGCACGGCTTGGCGTGGGGAGGAAGAGAAAGGGAGAAGGAAAGAAAGAATTTTCGGGGGATGAGAGATATGCGCCCGCCACCTGTGTCCTGATGTACGCCCTCTCTTACTTCTGCTCTTTGGATTGGCCGCCGCCAAACCATCCGGTAAAGCCGCTCTTCATGGCTTTCATGCCCTCTTCCTTCGCTCGCTCCTCTTGAAGAGCCTCCTCCTTCAGCCACTTCTCACCGTTCTCTCTGATCTCCCTCTCTAGCGCCTCGTAGTTCCGTTGACCCCGCTCCCGCGCCTGGTCCTGGAGCATCTTGCCCTGCGCCAGCGCCTCTGTGAGGCTCTGCTCGCCTTCCGGCATCACCATCATTCCGCCGCTCTTGATCCCCAGAGCGTTGCCCAGGAGTCCCAGTCCCGAGTGCTTAGGCTTCTTCTTCTGCTCCTCCTTTAGCTGCTCCTGGAACTTGGCGCGCGCAATGGCTTCTCGGCGCGCAAACTCCGTCGGGATGTGGGTACCGGCGAAAGAGGCGATGGCTTTTCGCACGTCTGAGTACGCCATGGTGTGGATGTATTCGAGGAAGGGGATCAGGGAGACGAGTTCCTTGTCCTTGACATCACCCTCCCAGGGCTTGAGAATGATTGCATTTTCGGGCTGCTTCTTGACGTGTGATGGCTTCGTATCAATTATGATTACTTTGGAGAGGTCGCGGTTGAGGTAGGAGAGATCCTGCTTTTGTCAGTGCCTGAAAAGTCTGGAGGCGGAGGGGACATACCTTGACGTATTCGCCATTTTCATAGAGGGTGGCTTCTCGGAACAGGGGCCAGGTGACGATGTGATAGGGGTCGAGTTTTCGAATGACTGGATCTGCTAGCGCTGATGGTTGAGTCGTAAAGATGACCAGCTCGTAGTATTGACTAAGGTATCGCAGAAAATAGTCGACTCCAGGTCGTTTAGCCATCCGCCAGCCATGCTCTCGGGTCCATTCGCTGTGTATTAACAGATCCTCCATACTCAACACCAGCGTGTAGGGACGCTCAAAAATTGGATCAGGATCGGGCAACAGCTTGCGGAATGCAGGTTCGTTGTAGTAACTGAGTTGGTCCCCTAACCGTGCTTTCGCCCGGTTCCACATCAGTCCCAAGCCCCACCCTGAAGGTGCATCATCTTTATGTTTCTGCTCCTCTTCTTCCGTCTCCCAGTTTCGGCCTAGGTAGACAGTTCCCGCCACGGCGAAAACTGCAAACGAAGCGTACATGATGTTTGCCATTCTTGCTCGCTTCTTTTCCGAGGATGAAATGTATGCCGAAGCTGGCAGCTCCCCTTTCCCTCGCCCTCCACCTGCAGCTTGCGCAGGTTCGGACTCCTCAGCTTCCGTGAGGTTCAAGCCGAATGGCTTCGTGCTGCCGGTAGTCTCATAATCCAGCGTTGATGGGATACCCTTTGTGAGATCCGGCAAGGGTTGGTTTTGAGATTTGGATTCTGCGCCATCTGCGGCAGAAGGAGAGGATGATTGCGGAGCTGTGTTGCGTTCTGGAGAGGCGTCTTTGTTGAACTCGGGCTGTTTCTTTGAGAAATCTGGCTTTGCGGATTTACTGCTGCTTTGCTGTGGTTGTGTGAAAGCAGGAGACGCGCTAGGCCGTGACGGTTGAGGAGCACCAGGAGGCCGCGAAAAGTCTGTCGGCTTCTTGTGGTTTTGATTATTGTTGTTCTGGTTTGGGCGGTTATTCCGTGCCATAGATCGACTCCATATTGTAGATGAGGCTATTCGAAGACTCGTAGGAGCGCTTCGTACTGCCGGCGCCCGTATCGACCTGGTGATTGTGCTTGACAACATATTGGGCAATCGTCGTCAAGATATCATAGGTATCCTCGAGACAGAAGACACGCCAAAGGGATTGGTGTTGACGCTTCAGCTTGACAACCTCGTCGTCGACCTGGCTTTACCTTCTCCGTCACCTCGTCTCCGTCTCCAGAAAATGTTTCTAGGTCGGATGACTAAGCGCGGCGCTAACGGACCATAAAAACTCCCAACTTCGCCCGTTTTCTTCCTTTTCTCTTCAAAGTTGCCCTCGTTGACGAAATTTGGCTGGACGATCCCTCCCTTCTCCCATGGACGGCCGGTTGATATAAAGACGAGCAGAATAATATGACGATTTCAAGAATTGGCTTGTAGACCGGGTCTTCGGGCCCGGTCAGAATTGAAGTCTTTCCCGTGTCATCATTACATTGCCAGTTACCCCGCATAGGACGGTCACAATCCTTTTCCGTATCTTCACCATAGCCGGCTGTCTTGTCCATAGTTTGAATTACACTACCTATTTACCTCATATTGTCTTTACTGCAAAATCTGCGGTACATTGATTGCTCGAAGCCTTTCCTCCCCATCTTTGAGCCCGCATGCAGCCGCAACCACAACAAACGACAGACGACGCACAAGATGACCAGAGCCATGAACCATGGCGTGTTGAGTATTCGCACAGTAGCAAGTGCCTCAACAACGCCAGTATCCTCGACATACCCGTCAGCCTACCTCTTGGAAAACGAAGATGAAGACTCGACCCAAGGGCAGAAACAAGCGCCCTTCCCTTTCCTGTCCCTCCCCTCCGAACTGCGCAACAAAATCTACTCCTTCGTCTTCTCGGAGGCTCCTCAGGTTCTTGATCTGGATCCCTCGATCTTCCACCTTTTCCACAAGCAAAAGATGCTAGCACTGTTCACCGTCTCCCGCCAAATTCATCTCGAAGCCACCCATCACTTCTTCAGCACACATACCTTCCGCCTCTTTCCCACATATCCAGGTCGCTACTTCAAGACCAAGAAGCCCTTGCTGGCCCGGTTGCCTAAGCATTATCGCTCTTCAATTACAAATTTTGAACTGCGTTTGGGACCGGGGTGGAATGCTCCACCTCGCGGGTGGGTCGTGAATGATGCTTTGGGACTCAAAGATTGCATAAATGTACGAGTATTAAAGATATTCGTGGAGTGCGACCCAAGCGATGCCATCTTCAAGGGGTTCCGAGCAAGTGATGGATTCTACGAACGCTTCTCGCAGAATCTCTTGGATGGCATCTTGAAGGAGGTGCCGAGTATCAAGGTGGTGGAATTTGATGCTTGGAGCTCGGTCAAGAGAAATGGCGACATGATTGCGGGACTTGGCGAGGTAGTTTCTAGGTATGATAAGGTGGTTGGCTGGGGACCAGAAAGAGGTTGGGACCAGGAGCTTGATCGAGTTTGGCTCGATGCGGTGCTGGTTCATGGAGGTGGTAAGTTGAGCAAGAGCCTTGCCGTCTTTGCCTGAGACGCTTGACTGGGACATGATTAAAATATCATGAACAGTCTGCCGATGGCTTTAAATCAGATTCAGTAACGAATGATGACACTCTACTTCATTTCTTTCTCTGCCATCCAGTGTTGTTGGCCAGTCCGCGAAACAGTGTTTCCTAGAACCGCAAGTCTGCCGCCTACCTAGTCATTGGAGGTCTACCTTATCATAAAGTCTTCTTGAAGCAGTATCTAGTCACCCAATCCGTGGCGTAATGTTGCAGGATGCTCATACTGCATTGTGCTCTTAGCCATCATGGGGTAGGAAGAACAACTACCGGTGCTCTGAAGTCTAATCCAGCTCAAAGGCTCTGCTGTCCAGAACTTCCTACCCAACCTTTGAGGAGTAGCAGCTAGTCTTAGGGATCTAGTAGAAGATTCTTGAGATCCTCTCTGCGTCTCACTAGAGGGGAAAGTGTCCCATCAATCCAATTCTCTATCTCACCTTAGGTGGTTGGGGAACTTGAAAGTGAATCCTAGTTCACGTGCTCTGGCCTCGATAAAGGAGGAAATAAGCGCGGTCTCTGTTTACCAGTCTATATGATATTATTGCAGAGACGCGCCTCTCTTTCATCCTCTCAACTCATCCTACTTCCCCGACTGTGATTTCACTCCTTTCTTTGTCCAAGATACCTCCCGGGTCTTGATTCACGTACCACAGTTTTACAGTACCTAGTACTTTTCGATTCACGCCTGGACAAACTCAAGTTCTCCGATCAGATCGGTGTGGGCATCGACTCCTTAAGCCGATCTACATACATGCCTCGTGCCTTAACCAGAACCGCGTCGTCTTCACTAAATCCTCTGAGAAATCGGTTGTCTCGTCGCCATATCATCCGCAACAGGGTGTCTCAACTCCACAACATCCGCCGTTTGTTCGAGCATATCACTCGAACCGTCAATCACATCACTCCTTGCATTCATCGCGCTATCCCCTATCTCCCTTTTCTCCCTTCTGACTATCCTCTCGCTGCTCTCCGTAGTCGTATCGGTCATCTCTACCGTCGCATCGATCTTGGAACGCGTCGTCTGCTTCGTCTGCTACGGCTGCAAGAACGTCTCTTTCGTCTCCGTAATCCCGAACTTCCCCGATTCAATTACCCCTCTTGGATCTAGGTACGCTTTGTTCTACTCATCAACTCAGTTGTCTCGATCAACTTAATAACTCAGTTGTCTCTCTTAACTCAGTTAATTCAATCAACGCTGGTATCGATCTACATCTCCAAGAACTTCAAGATGTCTCCTCCAGCTGCTGATGCTGGTGCCCGCGAGACTGAGGGCGTCGAACAATGTCCCTGCTTCCGTTGCTCTCCCACCCACATTGCCCCCGCCAACGCCGGCACCCTCCGTCGCATGCGCTGTCTCCAGCTCAACTGGGTCCATAGTCCCATCCTCCTCGCTGAGAAGCCCTGCCCAATCCACGTCTCCTTCTTCAAGGGCTTCCCCGCTGAACGCGCCAAGATCACTGGCTCTGCTGACTGCCGCACCATGACCATGCTTGGTCTTCACGACAACCCCTACGTTATCGGCGTCACTATGGACATCGAGACCATCAAGTTCCGCGACCAGGACAAGACCATCCAGGGCGGAGATGACGAGTACGGTATCGTCACGACCATTCGCTGTGATGATTCCACTGGCTTGCCCTACAAGTATGGTGAGCCTGGTCAGCTTATGTTGTCATTCATGGTTGTGTTCAAACTCAAGGAGGGCGGCAAGACTTTTGACGAGATGAAGAACTGGGATGCTATCATCGGCCTTCTTAAGGAGGGTACTGATATGTCCTTCACCAAGACGGGCCAGGCCTTGCAGGAATCTGTCAAAGCCAGATTTCTCGAGAACTATGACGCTGGTGTTGAAATCCTCGAGCTTCTTGTCTTTTAGGCCAAGGGATGTGGAGTTGCTGGCTAAAGCTCATTACTGATATGTCCGGCATTCTGCGTCTACTATGGGAGGAAAGGGAGAACAGGAAGGGGTCATCTCATCTGGCTTCTAACATTGCGCGTTTTCAGCTGAAGGAAGCTAGGGGGGGGTAAATGGATAGTCATATTGTCTGGATTGTGTGGTTGCTTCTTTCTTGCTCATTCGCAAAACTGAGAGTTTTATGAGCACACAAGCTAATTAGAAAGCAAAGAATGCAACACCTTTCCCAAACCTAATTTTGATGCCTTATTCAAACTGTAACAGAAGTAACAACACCAGGGTGCCAACTGTTCAACTTCGATTTGTATCGCGATGCTGCCTTCTCAACCCGTCCACAATCTGATTGAGCAACAAACGTGAATGAAATAAATACAAACAAGCCTGAACTCAAATATAGTCTGATAAAAAGAGACTACCTACCTAGCCAGTTCATAGATATTATTAGATTTGAGAGACAGACTACAACAGCGAAAAGGCAGATCGGCCCTAAAATTATCGAACGGCAACAACCGCCAAAATGAAAGGAAAAAAAAGTCGAACCCCGAAAAGGAACGACAAAGATAACGCAAAAAAGTTCTGACTGACAATGATGGGATTCGAACCCATGCTCTTTCGAACCAGTAATTGTGAATTTCAAGTTAAAGCCTGAAACTGGCGCCATAACCGCTCGGCCACATTGCCTGTATGTCAGATGTTTCTTGTCCAGAACCTCTCTCTCCCGCACATGAAAGAAACAGAAGGAGCCCAGTAGCAAAAATGAAAGAAAAGAAATTTCCCACGAGAACAAAAGGAGAAAAAGTGCAAAAATTGAATTTTGACAATGATGGGATTCGAACCCATGCTCTTTCGAACCAGTAATTGTAGATTTCAGGTTAGAGCCTGAAACTGGCGCCATAACCGCTCGGCCACATTGCCTTATGTCGGGAAGTTTCTTATCTGATTACATACGACGAACAGTCCTGACCACTACCTTAGCATCACGCAACAGATTTATTCCAAAAATGTCCATGACATTGCCTCTTAAGATGAGTTCTTATTCTGGACACTGGGTTGGAAGGTGCAGGAGGTGGATGGGAATCTTGTTGTATCTTTTTAGGTTTTGACGTAGCATCCCTGTTTATACTCTTTGGCTAGGAACTATTGGATTGAATGAACTGAAGGTCTAGCAACAGATCTTAAATAAAAATCATATATTTTCGATACTGTAACATACCTATCTATGCTGTGGGTTGCAGACGTGGTTTTAAAGTAGTATTTTTCATTAGTAACTTATTCATCAATCTCATTTTCTGATACTATGTGCACTTTTAAGTTTAACGTACATAGAAGAATGTATTTGTCTCTAAAATAAGAGAGGAAAAAAGAAGGGGGGGGGGGGGGGGGGGGG